TCAGCTCACTCCTTTTGTACTGTTCAAATAAATACATAAATAAAATGTGTTTTGTCTCGAGCCCAAAGAAAATGTAAGTACTGACTTTGGGCAAGGCAAGTTTATTTATATAGCACAATTCATACACAAGGCAACTCAAAGGGCTGAACAAAACAAGAAAGCATTAAAATCATAAATAATCACAGAACATTAAAAAGAAAGATAAAAACATAAAATCCCTCAGTTGTAGCACAGCTGAACAGAACTGTTTTTAACCTGGTTTTAAACATTGTCAGAGAGGAGGCCTGTCTCACATCTTCAGGAAGAATGTTCCAGATTTTCCCCATGTTTAGTTCTCTACAACATTAAATTAAGATAAACAGACTTTCTCATTTTATTGTCAATGACTTTTGACCATTGATAATTAAATTCTAAGTTTCTGGTTTCATTAAGGGAATCATCTTTAAGAGAATGTTTGAAAAAATGATGTAGACAATGGAAACCTCTAAGGTTTGCAATAATCCTGCACCTTTGCTCCCCTCACCTCCTTCAAAAGTATTGTGGTATTGCAGTAGTGATACCATAATACTACTGCGCTTTGCTTGATCCATGGTTCGTATCGACATTTATCGTATCAGCATTTTGTACTAATCAGGAAATGTTGTTTGTTTTTCACATGTTTAAACTCAGTCTCTCTGTGCGGCTCACATCATGATGCTTTCTACACTTAATATCTGAAATGTTCTGTAGATATTTGTCATTTCTTAAACCTTTGGGAAGATTCCTGCTCCAAAGAGTCTCTACCTGGAAGTGGGAGGAGCCTAAGCTTTAGTTAGAGCAGGGGTGTCCACATTTTTTAGTAATAGGGCCCCTGCAGTTGACCAGACGTGTCCAGGGGCCGACTACACAGATGGTAAAACAGCTTTGACTGGATCAGGCTGTTCTGAGCTTTAAAATGAGGAATGATAAGTAAACATGTGACAGACTAGCTTACTATCACACCACGGCTACATTAGCGTCAGAGATTTTGGAAGTCAAAAACAAATGTCAGTATATACAAATAACATCAACGACTGAATTCTAAAGGTCTGAGCTTCAGCAGGAGACAGAGCAGGTCAGTGAGATGGAGCTGAAGTTGGATGACTCTGTGAACAATGGTTAGCAACAATGACATAACACAGAGGGCCGCAACTGGCCCCCGGGCCTTAGTTTGGACATACCTGAGTTAGAGACTCCTAATGCATAAAATCATGATCCAACAATCTCCTGATGATGATGATGATGAAGTATACATGTCTTGTGTGTGTGTGTTGTGCGTGAGTAAGAACAGGCATGAACCTAAGCTACACAAACATGTGTGACAGTGATGAACACACACTGTAACTGTATCTGATTTTCAGAACAAACGGTGAAGGAAACGGTGGTGACTCATGGTTCTTTCTCGGAGCATACGTCCGTTATCGCCGCTGGTTCAACCGGAAAAGCCTCATTTTTTCGGTGCAGTTGTTAAAAAGGTTGAGAGTAAATCATCGGCGGCGTCATGTGTAAAACACCACACCTCATGCATGTGACATCACAGGCTGTGAGACTACAGCGTTTGGAGATGATGTAATAGTGTAGTAAGTAGGGGTGGGAACCTAAGGGTACCTCACGATACGATACGATACACGATACAAAGCTCACGATAACGATAATATCACGATAACGATAATATCACGATAACGACATTACGATAACGATTTTATCACGATATGACGATTATTGAGAAATTGGTATATATATTGGATACTTGGCAAATGCATATCGATAATCAAATCGCGGGAGAAAGTATCGCGATATATCGAAAAATTGATATATCGTCACACCCCTAGTAGTAAGCAAACACAATCTTTGTGTATTTATTTATAGCACATTTCACAGGGATTTTACAAAGAACACATTTCATCTTTTTTATATTTATACAATATTGACCTTTATTTAACAGAACGTCCCAGTGATGTTTCAGAATCCCCTTTTCAGGGGAGTCCTGCCCCAGAGCGAGGGGAGGCTGTTGTACATGTTTCTATCTTAAACTGGAGGAAACCTACGCAGACGCGGGGAGAACATGCAAACTCCACTCAGAAAGGCCCTGTCTGGAGGTGAGTGCTAACCACTCTGACAGTCACTGTGGTTTCTTGGTTAAATAAAGATCAATAACAAATAACACATATTAAATGAAAATATAATTGTTATGAATCATTGTCAATAAAATTAAACGTGATTCAAAACCAGAGTGGCTCTGGATCTCGTTACCACGGTGATGTTCAGAAGGACCAGGAAAGAACCAGAGAATACTGCAAGTGACGACAACAGCCCAAGTCAATAAATCTATTGAGGCCAGTGGACCCGAGTCAGGGGCCTCAAACTCATACGCCTGTGGGCCCCACGGGGCCACATGGAGGCCAATGTTCAGCGTGTGTTTGTGTGTGTGCAAAATATACAAACATTATATTATTATTATTATTTGCATTTTTTCACATCACAATAACAGTTTGTGGAACAGAGACAAAAACACGAGCAACCAGGAAGTGTTTGAGGAACGTGTTTATATCGCTCATTAATCAGCATCAGTAACTTTTTATATTATTATACAGCCTCAGTCCTGGGTCTACGGCCTCAGTCCTGGGTCTACAGCCTCAGTCCTGGGTCTACGGCCTCAGTCCTGGGTCTACAGCCTCAGTCCTGGGTCTACGGCCTCAGTCCTGGGTCTACAGCCTCAGTCCTGGGTCTACAGCCTCAGTCCTGGGTCTACAGCCTCAGCCCTGGGTCTACAGCCTCAGTCCTGGGTCTACAGCCTCAGTCCTGGGTCTACAGCCTCAGCCCTGGGTCTACAGCCTCAGTCCTGGGTCTACAGCCTCAGTCCTGGGTCTACAGCCTCAGTCCTGGGTCTACGGCCTCAGTCCTGGGTCTACAGCCTCAGTCCTGGGTCTACAACCTCAATCCTGGGTTTACAGCCAGGAAATCCACTGGAGGACTGATCATTTTAGTGTGCGGAAAAATGCTAATAAAACATTCAGAATTTCACTCTGAACCAGAGTCACCAGTCCTGGATCTACAGCCTGTCTGTCTGTGGCAGCAGAAAATGGGTCTCCCTGAGGTTTCTCACTTTTCTCTCTGTGTTTCTAAGTGGTGATGCAATCAGGTCTAAGGACAGCGACGAACCAACGGCTTCTGTGTTTGTTATTATTGCATTTCCTGTGTTTTAACCGTTTGATTCTCCGATCTCCGAGACGACTGCTGTTGTGATTTAGAGCGATACACACTTTTTATAGCTGCTTGGATTGAAACTAAACTGGACCAAAGGCCGAACGCCTTCTTACAGACTGGCTTTAATAATGTTTACTTTTAATTATTACGTATTTCGTTCAGGGTTCAATGTTTATCGTTGTATGAATTCTGTGGCTGTTTTTTTGATAAGCTCATCTTTAAAATTATGCCTCTTGTGTGATATTTGCCCAGAATCTCAGTGAGAGCCGCTCTGTGATGTCCACTAGGGGGCCACACAATACCTTTTCCCACACACAGAGTAACGTTGTTCAAAACTCTTCTTAAAAGGTCCCATGTTTCACTTTTCAACTTTTCTCTGCTAGTGCTATTTCCCCAGAGTGGTTTTGTCATTGATTCCGCCAAGCTTTAGTTAGAAACCAATCTTTCTCTTCCATTCTCCAGAGACAGTGACCACATTATACGTGAGAACCCGCCTCAAGGAAGTGATTGACAGCTGGAAAACTGAACCAGCGAATCAGCGAATGAGCGCACACAGCCTCTGAGTCCAGCGTCAGTTCCATAGACTGTAAAGTTTAGTTTGGTCCCGCGTCTATCATCTACTGCTTTTTGTGTGAGCATCATGTGACTTGGAGAACTTTTTTTTTTGGCGTAAATATGCAACAACAGTATTTGGCTGAAGACGAAGAATGAGGCAAATGTGGCTAGACTTAAGACGCTTAACTCGCCATATAAATACGGTAAACTAAATAATTAGGGTCTGATTCTGGATTGAGGACATCGGGCTCTATGTGCATTTAGACCACGACGGAAAACATTGTAGTTCTAGAGCCCGACCAGTAGGGGGCAGTGGAACTTTACAACACGTGCGACTCCCAGCAGTAAAACCACTTCCTCAACAACATCCTCCGGGGGCCTCGGCAAAGATGTGAAAGAACCAACATAGAATAGAGTAGAATTCGAAGCACACGTAGCTAGTTTGTGTACCCGCCGCCATTGTTGTTTATTTTTGTTCTGGGCTTCTGCGCATGTCCAAATGTACGTGTGGGACGGGCTGAGGTCATACAGCAGAAAATTCACACCTTTTTCCTCAAACAGAAACAGCTCCAGCCGCAGTGTATCTGTTCTGTTCATAGACTGTATACTGTAAATATTAACGGACGTAGTCACGCCTATCTCCGCCGTTCTAACTAATGGGCCAAAAGTTGGGCTCTCATGGAGTGATTCTAAATGGCCGCGAGGGCTGGAAAATGTGAAAAAACGCATCTGCGCATGCGTCAGCCGGCACGAGCTCCATTCAGTTAAATTAGTGACTTCAAAAACTCACAGCGAGTAAACTAGAGTGGTCCAAAAAAATCCACCCCCCTCAGCATTGACACACATGTGGAACGGAGCTTTGGGCCAAGAGCCAACTTTTGGTCCATCTTGTAAAGACGTTTTTGAGAGGTAAGAAGATGCTATATGTTAGCATCAGGGAGACCCGGGGTGGTTTTGCAGCATGTCAGCATCATTTTGGCCACTTTTTAGCCGGGACCCGCCCCCACTGGTTCTGTTCCACTACACAACTTACACAACTCCACTGTTGAAGTGTCTCCATCTGAACGGGGCCTCAGAGGAGCAGAAATCCACTCTTTTCGATTGCAGGCTATAATGGCTATCGTTTGACAAGTTTTGAGAGCTATATGGACGAGAATATGGGACCTTTAAACTGATTGGATACAGAGTGATGGCAAATCCTTGAGTCTCTCTTGTCTTCACTAAATGTAAAAGTAGTGTTCTGTCTCTCCACTCTCCGCCATCTCGCTCAGTTCCTGGTTGATGGACTCTTGGAGCGAGCCCAGGTTGAGTTCCAGTTTGGGGCTGGTCTCAGTGAAAGATCCATGGGACAGTTCCGACACCACGCCCTCTGGCTCCGCGTCCACCAGCTGCTCTCCGTCACACAACCTCAGCTTGAAGGGCCCCTGATCCTCGGCCCGTGGACTCTCCGGCTCCATGGCTCCTACTGGACTTGTCTCACTGTGGTTTAAGGCTCCCTGGTCTTCTGCTGGGCTCTCTGGTTCCATGGTTCCTCCTGGACTTTGATTTAAGGCCCCCTGATCCTCCTCTGGTTCCAAGGCCCTTCTTGGATTGGTGGGACATTGGTTTAAGGCCCCTTCCGTCTTGGCTCCTGGACTCTCCGCTTCCAGGGCCCCTCCTGGACTGGTGGGACTTTGGTGGGCTTTGTGGGCCGCCAGTTTCTCGATCTCGTGGAGAAGTTCCTCGTTGTGTTGCTTCCATTCTCGATACGTCTCCGCACTCAAGTCCGACGTGTCCAAGAGTCTGTTGATCTGCTGCAGCTCGGCTTCTTTGGCCTGGAGTAAAAAGTCAAAAGTATTGTTTTTATCATGGAATACTAAATTGTTTAGAAATACAACCTTTAGTCAAAACACAACAGAGACCCCTGCTGGAGAAGTATGGTAACAGCACTATCATCTCCTCTCTCCTTTTTTATCTGTCTGTGCTACAATGCTAACACGCTAGCTCAATGAATCCTAATAGAGAAGTGCTCATGGTGAAGTTTCGCTCTGGCACCTAATGTCTCTTTGGTCTCTCTCTCCAGAAACCACTGTGGGTGAACATTTTATTTAAAAAAAAAAAACTCTAACAAAGCCGGATGCAGAGGACGTTAGAGCTCGGCACAGTCTGGTTCAGTCTGGTTCCGTCTGGTTCAGTCTGGTTCCGTCTGGTCCATCTGGCTCAGTCTGGTCCGTCTGGCTCAGTCTGGTTCAGTCTGGTTCAGTCTGGTTCCGTCTGGTTCAGTCTGGTTCAGTCTGGTTCCGTCTGGTTCCGTCTGGCTCAGTCTGGCTCAGTCTGGTCCGTCTGGCTCAGTCTGGTTCAGTCTGGTTCAGTCTGGTTCCGTCTGGTTCCGTCTGGTTCAGTCTAGTTCCGTCTGGTTCCGTCTGGTTCAGTCTGGTTCAGTCTGGTTCAGTCTGGTTCAGTCTGGTTCAGTCCGGTTCAGTCTGGCTCAGTTCCGTCTGGTTCAGTCTGGTTCAGTCTGGTTCAGTCTGGTTCAGTCTGGTTCAGTCCGGTTCAGTCTGGTTCAGTCTGGTTCCGTCTGGTTCAGTCTGGTTCAGTCTGGTTCCGTCTGGTTCAGTCTGGCTCAGTCCGGTTCAGGCGCAGGACTCGTACCTTGAGCGTGCTGTGCAGCGCCCGCAGCGTGTGCACCTTCTCGTTGATGACCGGGTTCTTGCAGCGTTTGATGAAGGACCTCCTGAAGTGGTCGTGGGTGAAGGGCTGCTTCTGCCCCATCAGGGACACGCCCCCCTCCTTTATGTTGTTCAGCATCTGCCCCATCTCATCCACGGGACCTGGACCACGGAGAACACTCAGAACTCTCAAAACACTCCCAGGATCCTGACACTACCAGAAATCCCAAACTAGAATTCAAATTAGTGGCATTCTGAAAAAAACTGTTTTAGTTTTTCACTACTTTTGTTAAAATTAAGTTATTTGCCAAGTTTTATCTTTACCTCATGTTAAAACAGGTGAATATAACGGAAACACTATCAGACTATGGTAGCTAGCACTTGCTCCAAGCTGAGATTTCTCTGATTTAGTCCAGGACCAGTCCAGGACCAGTCTAGGACCAGTCTAGGACCAGTCCAGGAGCAGTCCAGGACCAATCAAGGACCAGTTCAGGACCAGTACAGGAACAGTCTAGTACCATACCAGGAACAGTCTAGGACCATACCAGGACCAGGTCAGGACTATAGGACTAGTCTCGGACCAGTCTAGAACCAGTTCAGGACCATTTCGGGACCGGTTCAGGACCAGTCAAGAACCAGTTCAGGATAAGCCCAGGATCACTCTAGGACCAGTCAAGGACCAGACCAGGACCAGTCTAGGACCAGTCAAGGACCATACCACAACCAGTCCAGGAGCAGTCCAGGACCAATCAAGGTCCAGTCAAGGACCAGTTCAGGACCAGCCCAGGACACCCCCAGGACCAGCCCACGACCTGTTCAGGACTAGAAAAAGACACAAACAAAAAGACTGCTCTGGGAGTTCTGGTGTTATAGTGTAATGTTGTACCTGTGCTTTTTCTGCCCCCTGCTGTTGGACTCGGTAACGGCGACTTTTGGATCCTGTCCCTTTTACGAGGATAAGTGTTGTAGTTTACTTTCTGTGAGGCACAAAAATATCACCGTCACCAAAATGAATCTTGAATGTAAGGTTTAAATCGTACACACCTTATTCCTCCGTCCAGCAGATGGCGACATCTCACTCTCTGATTCGGTTTCACTGTAACACTCTGGACATAAAACAATTACAAATGATTACATCTTTTTTTAATGCACTAGAAAAAGTTGTAGTTTTGTGTTTTACAATTGGAAGCTGTAAATGTTGCTGCAGCACAGTGTTCATGGTTTTACACTGGTCCAGACCAGAGCAGAGAGGATTCATGGTTTTACACTGGTCCAGACCAGAGCAGAGAGGATTCATGGTTTTACACTGATCCAGACCGGAGCAGAGAGGATTCATGGTTTTACACTGGTCCAGGCCAGAGCAGAGAGGATTCATGGTTTTACACTGGTCCAGGCCAGAGCAGAGAGGATTCATGGTTTTACACTGGTCCAGACCAGAGCAGGGAGGATTCATGGTTTTACACTGGTCCAGACCAGAGCAGAGAGGATTCATGGTTTTACACTGATGATCCATGGTCCGAACCAAGCAGATCAAGTGGAAATCCACTTGAGGAATGCTATTGTTTTTTTCATAATTTCACTCTGAACCAGAGCAGAGAAAATGGTCTGAACCAATCATACTCTGGGACAAGGCCTTCTCTGTGGTCTTAAACCCAGGGGACAAGGCCTTCTCTGTGGTCTTAAACCCAGGGGACAAGGCCTTCTCTGTGGTCTTAAACCCAGGGGGACAAGGCCTTCCTTCTCTGTGGTCTTAAACCCAGGGGACAAGGCCTTCTCTGTGGTCTTAAACCCCGGGGACAAGGCCTTCTCTGTGGTCTTAAACCCAGGGGGACAAGGCCTTCTCTGTGGTCTTAAACCCAGGGGACAAGGCCTTCTCTGTGGTCTTAAACCCCGGGGACAAGGCCTTCTCTGTGGTCTTAAACCCAGGGGGACAAGGCCTTCTCTGTGGTCTTAAACCCAGGGGACAAGGCCTTCTCTGTGGTCTTAAACCCAGGGGACAAGGCCTTCTCTGTGGTCTTAAACCCAGGGGGACAAGGCCTTCTCTGTGGTCTTAAACCCAGGGGACAAGGCCTTCTCTGTGGTCTTAAACCCAGGGGACAAGGCCTTCTCTGTGGTCTTAAACCCAGGGGACAAGGCCTTCTCTGTGGTCTTAAACCCAGGGGACAAGGCCTTCTCTGTGGTCTTAAACCCGGGGGACAAGGCCTTCTCTGTGGTCTTAAACCCAGGGGACAAGGCCTTCTCTGTGGTCTTAAACCCAGGGGACAAGGCCTTCTCTGTGGTCTTAAACCCGGGGGACAAGGCCTTCTCTGTGAACGTCTTTCCTGGTCCTTTACCTTCCTCGTTGCTGGGTCCGGCGTGCGGCGTCCTGTGCTTCCGGATGGCTGTGATCATGCAATTGATCCATCTGCACACACAAGCAAGAAGTCAGAAGAAACAGATGTACCACTGAAAACAGTTACAATAGTTCTGATTTAATGAAGATCTTAGCTTTGAGCGAGAGCCGTGCTGGACCAGGTGGACCAGTGGACCAGGTGGACCATTATTACAGGCCTCTATAATCTACTTTGACCTTGACGGTGGTTAGAGATAGTTAGTTTGACCACATCTACTTGTCGAGTTACAAACTACAGTTACATTATTCCCGTATGCACCTCTATGGGACACACACAGACTCTCATAGACAGAGGTGAGGCCTGATTGGCTGAGAGAGGACAATAGCGATAATGATTAGAGTAATTTTAAGCTCCATGAGGTGGTGCTACTGAGCCGTCTTTGCATATTATTTCTGAGATCTTAAGTCACTAATGGTTAGAGAGATCCTTTATTCGTCCCACGGTGGGGAAATGTCAGTGTTGCATCACCAGTTACAGAGCAGCAGGAATGAGGAGCACAAGATAAATAAACAATATCTCTATTGAAATAAAAAAAAAAAATCTCTAACTTAAAAATACAAAATAAAGCAAATATGTTTCGGATGTTTTTTGCCAGTGTGGACGACTTACTTGCTCATGTCGGTGACGTTGTCGCCCGCAAAGAAAAAGTTCTGGAACCTGGAGTGGCACATTTTGAAGACACTGCGGAAAAGAGAACAACACACATGAACAACACGTAGCATGCGTCTTAACACACCCTCCATCAACCACATCACCCCTGTGCTGAAACAACCACATCACCCCTGTGCTGAAACAACCACATCACCCATGTGCTGAAACAACCACATCACCCCTGTGCTGAAACAACCACATCACCCCTGTGCTGAAACAACCACATCACCCCTGTCCTGAAACAACCACATCACCCATGTGCTGAAACAACCACATCACCCCTGTCCTGAAACAACCACATCACCCCTGTCCTGAACAACCACATCACCCCTGTCCTGAAACAACCACATCACCCCTGTCCTGAAACAACCACATCACCCCTGTCCTGAACAACCACATCACCCCTGTCCTGAAACAACCACATCACCCCCTGTCCTGAACAACCACATCACCCCCGTCCTAAACAACCACATCACCCCTGTCCTAAACAACCACATCACCCCCGTCCTAAACAACCACATCACCCCTGTCCTGAAACAACCACATCACCCCTGTCCTGAAACAACCACATCACCCCTGTGCTGAAACAACCACATCACCCCTGTCCTGAAACAACCACATCACCCCCGTCCTAAACAACCACATCACCCCTGTGCTGAAACAACCACATCACCCCTGTGCTGAAACAACCACATCACCCCTGTGCTGAAACAACCACATCACCCATGTGCTGAAACAACCACATCACCCCTGTGCTGAAACAACCACATCACCCCTGTGCTGAAACAACCACATCACCCCTGTGCTGAAACAACCACATCACCCCTGTGCTGAAACAACCACATCACCCCTGTGCTGAAACAACCACATCACCCCTGTCCTGAACAACCACATCACCCCTGTGCTGAAACAACCACATCACCCCGTGTGCTGAAACAACCACATCACCCCTGTCTGGAAACAACCACATCACCCCGTGCTGAAACAACCACATCACCCCTGTCCTGGAAACAACCACATCACCCCCGTGCTAAACAACCACATCACCCCTGTCCTGAAACAACCACATCACCCCCGTCCTAAACAACCACATCACCCCTGTCCTGGAACAACCACATCACCCCCGTCCTAAACAACCACATCACCCCTGTCCTGGAACAACCACATCACCTGATATTGTTATAGGGTGTTATGGCCTGTCTGAGTAGCCCATTATAGAATATAAATATCGTATCACTTTGTGCAACTCTTACTATTTCCTCTTGTGTTCTCCGGCGCTTTCTATGTTGTAGCTGGAAATGTTGATGAAGCCTTCAGCCTTTACATCCTGTGAACCAAATAATATATTTATTTATACAGCACAGTTCACACACAAGGAAACTCAAAGAGCTATAACAAAAGAAGAAAAGAAGGAAAAGCATTCTTCTTTGAAATTGGTCATAATAATTTGGAGAGTTAATAGTTTTTCCACGACGATGCAGGAGGCTCTAAAGCAGGCATGTCCAAACTCAGGCCCGGGGGCCAATTGCGGCCCTCAGTATCATCGTATGTGGCCCTCTGCCTTGCTAGCCCACAGTAGTCTTTGAGATCATAAACATGGTGACACGGTAATCATTTGTCAATCGGCCAACTTCAGCTCCGTTATAGATCATTTTAAAACTCTGAACAGCCCGATGCCAGTCAAGACAGTTTTTCAGTCTGTGATGTCGGCCCCTGGACTGGTCTGGCCATCTGGTCTGGCCATCTAACTAAAATGTTTGGACATCCCTGGGTCTAAAGACAGTTAAGATCCAGGACACTCCACATTCAGCGACATTTGTGGACTTTGGCCCCTTATGGACCAATGGCTCGATATGTTTGCTAGCGATGCATTCGCATTGGAAAAAGTTATGTTTACTTGTGAATGCGCTGTAACCGGCAGCAAACGGCAAAGTAGCTCAGAAACAGTTGAGGTTTTGTGTTTTACAATCGTTATTTTTCTTATTTCTTCAAGGGTTTGAATGTGTTCATGGTTTTACACTGATCCAGACCAGAGCAGAGTGTAAATCCATTGGAGGAATGATAATTGGTTTGAAAAATACAAATAAAGCGTTGAGAATTTCACTCTGAACCACTGCAGAGAAAAGGGCACAAACCAAGCAGACTCTGCAAACATCAACCAGAGGAAAGGACCTGTGCTGTTGGATTGTTATTGTGAGTAACTTTTATAATTATGTATTTATCTATGGATGTGTTCTTGCTGCATTTCTTCTAAGAGGATCAATAAAGGCTCTACATATATTTCTTGTGTTTGAACCGTTTGATTCTCTGATCTACGTTGGCGAATCGACAGCTTTGTGAAGTCTTCCGAGATACCTACAATAGTGATTTATGGCGGTACAAAAATAAATATAATTAATGTTGAGGTGAATATTCAGATTCGGATTCACATTATTTGCCATTTGCAGTAAAACCACATTGGAATACACGTGCGAAAGTCCCCAGTGTGCACCAGACAAGAACATACATAAAACAAGAAGTACAAGAACAAAACACTCTGATGGTCTCACCTGCTGGCTGATGTACCAGTAAAGTGCTGGTCCTTTGAGAATGAACCAGAACCTCTGCCACTTCTGTGTGACGAAGACTCCGCGGTCCCTCCTCTTCTTCCAGAGCCAACCGTCACAGTCGGGACGTCCCAGCTCCCGACAGGACACTCTGCGCCTGCTGAGGGCCGTGCCCATGCCTGCAGGAGACCCATCATTACTGCTGATGATACTGATGAAACTGATGCTACTACTGCTGCTGTTACTGATGATACTGCTGCTGTTACTGCGATGATACTGCTGCTGTTACTGATGATACTGCTGCTGTTACTGCTGATGACACTGATGATACTGCTGATATTACTGATGATGTTACTGATGATACTGCTGCTGTTACTGCTGATGACACTGCTGATATTATTGATGATGTTACTGATGATACTGCTGCTGTTACTGCTGATGACACTGATGATACTGCTGCTGTTACTGCTGATGACACTGATGATACTGCTGATGTTACTGATGATACTGCTGCGGTTACTGATGATACTGCTGCTGTTACTGCTGATGACACTGATGATACTGCTGATATTACTGATGATGTTACTGATGATACTGCTGCTGTTACTGCTGATGACACTGATGATACTGCTGCTGTTACTGCTGATGACACTGATGATACTGCTGATGTTACTGCTGATGACACTGATGATACTGCTGATGTTACTGATGATACTGCTGCTGTTACTGCTGATGACACTGATGATACTGCTGATGATACTGATGATACTGCTGATGTTACTGATGATACTGCTGATGTTACTGATGATACTGCTGCTGTTACTGATGTTACTGCTGATGACACTGATGATACTGCTGATGTTACTGATGATACTGCTGCTGTTACTGATGATACTGCTGTTGTTACTGCTGATGACACTGATGATACTGCTGCTGTTACTGCTGATGACACTGATGATACTGCTGCTGTTACTGATGATGTTACTGATGATATTGCTGCTGTTACTGATGATGACACTGATGATACTGCTGCTGTTACTGATGATGTTACTGATGATACTGCTGCTGTAACTGCTGATGACACTGATGATACTGCTGCTGTTACTGATGATGTTACTGATGATACTGCTGCTGTTACTGCTGATGACACTGATGATACTGCTGCTGTCACTGATGATGTTACTGATGATACTGCTGCTGTTACTGCTGATGACACTGATGATACTGCTGCTGTTACTGCTGATGTTACTGATGATACTGCTGCTGTTACTGCTGCTGTTACTGATGTTACTGCTGATGACACTGATGATACTGCTGATGTTACCGATGTTACTGCTGATGACACTGATGATACTGCTGATGTTACTGATGATACTGCTGCTGTTACTGATGTTACTGCTGATGACACTGATGATACTGCTGATGTTACTGATTATACTGCTGCTGTTACTGATGATACTGCTGCTGTTACTGCTGATGACACTGATGATACTGCTGATGTTACTGATGATACTGCTGCTGTTACTGCTGATGACACTGATGATACTGCTGATGTTACTGATGTTACTGCTGATGACACTGATGATACTGCTGATGTTACTGATGATACTGCTGCTGTTACTGATGTTACTGCTGATGACACTGATGATACTGCTGATGTTACTGATGATACTGCTGCTGTTACTGATGATACTGCTGTTGTTACTGCTGATGACACTGATGATACTGCTGCTGTTACTGCTGATGACACTGATGATACTGCTGCTGTTACTGATGATATTGCTGCTGTTACTGATGATGACACTGATGATACTGCTGCTGTTACTGATGATGTTACTGATGATACTGCTGCTGTAACTGCTGATGACACTGATGATACTGCTGCTGTTACTGATGATGTTACTGATGATACTGCTGCTGTTACTGCTGATGATACTGATGCTACTACTCCTGATGTTACTGCTGAGGGTCGTGCTCATGCCTGCAGGAGATCCAACATTACTGCTGATGTTACTGATGATTCTACTGCTGATGTTACTGATGATACTACTGCTGTTACTGCTGATGTTACTGATTATACTGATGCTACTACTGCTGATGTTACTGATGATGACACTGATGATACTGCTGCTGTTACTGCTGATGACACTGATGATACTGCTGCTGTTACTGCTGATGACACTGATGATACTGCTGATGTTACTGATGATACTGCTGCTGTTACTGCTGATGACACTGATGATACTGCTGCTGTTACTGCTGATGACACTGATGATACTGCTGCTGTTACTGCTGATGTTACTGATGATACTGCTGCTGTTACTGCTGATGACACTGATGATACTGCTGCTGTTACTGCTGATGTTACTGATGATACTGCTGCTGTTACTGCTGATGACACTGATGATACTGCTGCTGTTACTGCTGATGTTACTGATGATACTGCTGCTGTTACTGATGTTACTGCTGATGACACTGATGATACTGCTGATGTTACCGATGTTACTGCTGATGACACTGATGATACTGCTGATGTTACTGATGATACTGCTGCTGTTACTGATGTTACTGCTGATGACACTGATGATACTGCTGATGTTACTGATGATACTGCTGCTGTTACTGATGATACTGCTGCTGTTACTGCTGATGACACTGATGATACTGCTGCTGTTACTGATGATGTTACTGATGATATTGCTGCTGTTACTGATGATGACACTGATGATACTGCTGCTGTTACTGATGATGTTACTGATGATACTGCTGCTGTAACTGCTGATGACACTGATGATACTGCTGCTGTTACTGATGATGTTACTGATGATACTGCTGCTGTTACTGCTGATGATACTGATGCTACTACTCCTGATGTTACTGCTGAGGGTCGTGCTCATGCCTGCAGGAGATCCAACATTACTGCTGATGGTACTGATGATTCTACTGCTGATGTTACTGATGATACTACTGCTGTTACTGCTGATGTTACTGATTATACTGATGCTACTACTGCTGATGTTACTGATGATGACACTGATGATACTGCTGCTGTTACTGCTGATGACACTGATGATACTGCTGCTGTTACTGCTGATGACACTGATGATACTGCTGATGTTACTGCTGATGTTACTGATGATACTGCTGCTGTTACTGCTGATGACACTGATGATACTGCTGCTGTTACTGCTGATGATACTGCTGCTGTTACTGCTGATGTTACTGATGATACTGCTGCTGTTACTGCTGATGACACAGATGATACTGCTGCTGTTACTGCTGATGTTACTGATGATACTGCTGCTGTTACTGCTGATGACACTGATGATACTGCTGCTGTTACTGCTGATGTTACTGATGATACTGCTGCTGTTACTGCTGCTGTTACTGATGTTACTGCTGATGACACTGATGATACTGCTGATGTTACCGATGTTACTGCTGATGACACTGATGATACTGCTGATGTTACTGATGATACTGCTGCTGTTACTGATGTTACTGCTGATGACACTGATGATACTGCTGATGTTGATGATACTGCTGCTGTTACTGATGATACTGCTGTTGTTACTGCTGATGACACTGATGATACTGCTGCTGTTACTGCTGATGACACTGATGATACTGCTGCTGTTACTGATAATATTGCTGCTGTTACTGATGATGACACTGATGATACTGCTGCTGTTACTGATGATACTGCTGCTGTTACTGCTGATGACACTGATGATACTGCTGCTGTTACTGATGATGTTACTGATGATACTGCTGCTGTTACTGCTGATGATACTGATGCTACTACTCCTGATGTTACTGCTGAGGGCCGTGCTCATGCCTGCAGGAGATCCAACATTACTGCTGATGTTACTGATGATTCTACTGCTGATGTTACTGATGATACTACTGATGATACTGCTGATGTTACTGATGATACTGCTGCTGTTACTGATGTTACTGCTGATGACACTGATGATACTGCTGATGTTACTGATGATACTGCTGCTGTTACTGATGATACTGCTGTTGTTACTGCTGATGACACTGATGATACTGCTGCTGTTACTGCTGATGACACTGATGATACTGCTGCTGTTACTGATGATGTTACTGATGATATTGCTGCTGTTACTGATGATGACACTGATGATACTGCTGCTGTTACTGATGATGATACTGCTGCTGTAACTGCTGATGACACTGATGATACTGCTGCTGTTACTGATGATGTTACTGATGATACTGCTGCTGTTACTGCTGATGATACTGATGCTACTACTCCTGATGTTACTGCTGAGGGTCGTGCTCATGCCTGCAGGAGATCCAACATTACTGCTGATGTTACTGATGATTCTACTGCTGATGTTACTGATGATACTACTGCTGTTACTGCTGATGTTACTGATTATACTGATGCTACTACTGCTGATGTTACTGATGATGACACTGATGATACTGCTGCTGTTACTGCTGATGACACTGATGATACTGCTGCTGTTACTGCTGATGACACTGATGATACTGCTGATGTTACTGATGATACTGCTGCTGTTACTGCTGATGACACTGATGATACTGCTGCTGTTACTGCTGATGACACTGATGATACTGCTGCTGTTACTGCTGATGTTACTGATGATACTGCTGCTGTTACTGATGATGACACTGATGATACTGCTGCTGTTACTGCTGATGTTACTGATGATACTGCTGCTGTTACTGCTGATGACACTGATGATACTGCTGCTGTTACTGCTGATGTTACTGATGATACTGCTGATGTTACTGCTGATGTTACTGATGATACTGCTGCTGTTACTGCTGATGACACTGATGATACTGCTGCTGTTACTGCTGATGACACTGATGATACTGCTGCTGTTACTGATGATACTGCTGCTGTTACTGCTGATGACACTGATGATACTGCTGCTGTTACTGCTGATGTTACTGATGATACTGCTGCTGTTACTGCTGCTGTTACTGATGTTACTGCTGATGACACTGATGATACTGCTGATGTTACCGATGTTACTGCTGATGACACTGATGATACTGCTGATGTTACTGATGATACTGCTGCTGTTACTGATGTTACTGCTGATGACACTGATGATACTGCTGATGTTACTGATGATACTGCTGCTGTTACTGATGATACTGCTGTTGTTACTGCTGATAACACTGATGATACTGCTGCTGTTACTGCTGATGACACTGATGATACTGCTGCTGTTACTGATAATATTGCTGCTGTTACTGATGATGACACTGATGATACTGCTGCTGTTACTGATGATGTTACTGATGATACTGCTGCTGTTACTGCTGATGACACTGATGATACTGCTGCTGTCACTGATGATGTTACTGATGATACTGCTGCTGTTACTGCTGATGATACTGATGCTACTACTCCTGATGTTACTGCTGAGGGCCGTGCTCATGCCTGCAGGAGATCCAACATTACTGCTGATGTTACTGATGATTCTACTGCTGATGTTACTGATGATACTACTGCTGTTACTGCTGATGTTACTGATGATACTGATGCTACTACTGCTGATGTTACTGATGATGACACTGATGATACTGCTGCTGTTACTGCTGATGACACTGATGATACTGCTGCTGTTACTGCTGATGACACTGATGATATGCTGATGTTACTGATGATACTGCTGCTGTTACTGCTGATGACACTGATGATACTGCTGCTGTTACTGCTGATGACACTGATGATACTGCTGCTGTTACTGCTGATGACACTGATGATACTGCTGCTGTTACTGATGATACTGCTGCTGCTGTTTCTGTTACTACTGCTGTCACTATTTACACTTCACAGTCATCACACTAGAGCAGGGGTGTCCAGACTTTTCCATGAGAGGACCACATGAGTCCAGGAGAGTACTACTGTAAAAACTGTTTTCAGCTTCACATGTCCATAGAGCAGCTGAAGTTGGCTGGATGACACTGTGACCTTAGTTTGGACACCCCTGCCTGGTCTGTCGCTGTAGAGAATAAAAACCTCTGAAATCCAAACAAAGACGAACTTGTTACCGTTACCTTTGGTCGAACTTTTCTTTGCTTCTTTGTTTCCCTAAAGATGAAAAGAAACAATGTTAGTCTGCGTCTTCCAGACTGGGTCTACAGCCTCAGTCCTGGGTCTACAGTCTCAGTCCTGGATCTACAGCCTCAGTCCTGGGTCTACAGCCTCAGTCCTGGATCTACAGCCTCAGTCCTGGGTCTACAGCCTCAGTCCTGGGTCTACAGCCTCAGTCCTGGGTCTACAGCCTCAGTCCTGGGTCTACAGCCTCAGTCCTGGATCTACAGCCTCAGTCCTGGATCTACAGCCTCAGTCCTGGGTCTACAGCCTCAGTCCTGGGTCTACAGCCTCAGTCCTGGGTCTACAGCCTCAGTCCTGGGTCTACAGCCTCAGTCCTGGGTCTACAGCCTCAGTCCTGGGTCTACAGCCTCAGTCCTGGATCTACAGCCTCAGTCCTGGATCTACAGCCTCAGTCCTGGGTCTACAGCCTCAGTCCTGGGTCTACAGCCTCAGTCCTGGGTCTACAGCCTCAGTCCTGGGTCTACAGCCCTCCTGGTCTACAGCCTCAGTCCTGGGTCTACAGCCTCAGTCCTGGGTCTACAGCCTCAGTCCTGGGTCTACAGCCTCAGTCCTGGGTCTACAGCCTCAGTCCTGGGTCTACAGCCTCAGTCCTGGATCTACAGCCTCAGTCCTGGATCTACAGCCTCAGTCCTGGGTCTACAGCCTCAGTCCTGGGTCTACAGTCTCAGTCCTGGGTCTACAGCCTCAGTCCTGGATCTACAGCCTCAGTCGTGGGTCTACAGCCTCAGTCCTGGGTCTACAGCCTCAGTCCTGGGTCTACAGCCTCAGTCCTGGGTCTACAGCCTCAGTCCTGGGTCTACAGCCTCAGTCCTGGGTCTACAGCCTCAGTCCTGGATCTACAGCCTCAGTCCTGGATCTACAGCCTCAGTCCTGGGTCTACAGCCTCAGTCCTGGGTCTACAGCCTCAGTCCTGGGTCTACAGCCTCAGTCCTGGATCTACAGCCTCATCCTGTTCAGTCCTGGGTCTACAGCCTCAGTCCTGGTCTACAGCCTCAGTCCTGGATCTACAGCCTCAGTCCTGGGTCTACAGCCTCAGTCCTGGGTCTACAGCCTCAGTCCTGGTCTACAGCCTCAGTCCTGGATCTACAGCCTCAGTCCTGGGTCTACAGCCTCAGTCCTGGGTCTACAGCCTCAGTCCTGGGTCTACAGTCTCAGTCCTGGGTCTACAGCCTCAGTCCTGGGTCTACAGCCTCAGTCCTGGGTCTACAGCCTCAGTCCTGGGTCTACAGCCTCAGTCCTGGGTCTACAGCCTCAGTCCTGGATCTACAGCCTCAGTCCTGGATCTACAGCCTCAGTCCTGGGTCTACAGTCTCAGTCCTGGGTCTACAGCCTCAGTCCTGGATCTACAGCCTCAGTCGTGGGTCTACAGCCTCAGTCGTGGGTCTACAGCCTCAGTCCTGGGTCTACAGTCTCAGTCCTGGGTCTACAGCCTCAGTCCTGGGTCTACAGCCTCAGTCCTGGGTCTACAGTCTCAGTCCTGGGTCTACAGTCTCAGTCCTGGGTCCTGTACAGTTTGATTCTCTGATTTGCTGTTGAAGAATAACAACGTGGTGTAGTCCTTCGAGACGACTGCTGTTTAGTGCGATACATGAATAAATTGACTCACCGTATGCCCCACCATCTCTGGGCCGGAGCTGAGGTCCTCCAGGCTGCCTCTCCCGGGCGATGATCGTCGGGGGGAGGGAGTTCTTTCACGACCCTCCAACACGCCTGGAAACACAGAGTCACACAGAGTCTAAACACAGAACAGGTGTGTCGGATCAGCACCACAGGAGTCTCAAAGCATTTCTCTAAACACGTAAATTTACTGGTTCATGAAGGCGTCACAAACAACCAGAGGAACAAATGATACGATTATAAGAATTTCGTACAAATGAAGTATTCATTTGTATTTAATGAATGTATACAGTAGATTTATTGTAATTATAATGTTGTTTTCTTACGACAATTAACTGTAACTCATTTACCAAAGTAAGTAAGTTATCATTACTCATATAGCGCCTTTCTCAGACCAGAGTCTCAAAGCGGTTTACAATTGTTATTTTTGGGCATTTGTCTCTCACTCCACACAGAGATGGGAGCGGGGCCAGTACAGGAGACGCATGTCAGAACTATTGTACATGTTTTTAGTGGTAGGGGAAACCGGAGTACCCAGAGGAAACCTGCGCAGACACTGGCAGAACAGGATTCCGACCGGGATTGGAACCCAGGAACTCGGCCATAATTACTAACACTATCATATCGTCATATTTTTTGCCAATTCCTACTCCTACTGGATACTGTCTTCCTTCTGATCCCTCCCCTGCTCTGACATGGTCTACAGGCTGTGAAACTCTCCCTCTGTGCTCTAGAGAGAGACCCCCCCCCAGCACAGAATATTAATGTTTTTGCAGCCGCTTAATTTAATTATTGATAATTGGGAAGGCACTTATAAGCTTATAAGCCTTCTCCTTTCGAGCTTTTTTATTTTTGTCTTTCTCGAATTATATGTGCATGTTAAAAAATATATATATATAAAACACATTGTAAAACTGCTCAAAAAAAATACTACTATATACTACTACTAATCCCACCATCCATGCTGCAAGAGACCTGTGTTCTCAATTTAGTCAATATTTTTGTGTCGCCCTAAATCTCAACTGGAGTCGTCTCCGAGGACTTTACGCCGTTGTCGAACTATGGTGTAAGTATTTTCTCGCAGGTGAAGAAGAAACGGTGACAATATTCAAAAACAAATGCATAATGTTGAAAGTAGAAAGTTGCTTCTTAATTATTTTTACCCTTTAATGGTTTCCTCATTCATTTGGTGGATCACTTTCTGAGTCACTAAATCTACTTGAAGCTCGGCACTGAAGTCATTGGGGCATCTCTAGCACTTGGTTAATGCACTTTAATCACTTCAACCATTTGATAAAAGGAATAAAAGATTTTACACTTCATTCTTGCTTCTTTATCAAATGGACACAAGCAGCTAAATGAGATTCCTCCACAGAGAAGAAATCCCTTAGAGATAGTGTGAGGAGCTCAGTCACAAGGGAGGAGCTCGGAGTAGAGCCGCTGCTTCTCCACGTTGAGAGGAGCCAGTTGAGGTGGCTCAGGCATCTGTTTTTAATGCCTCCTGGACGTCTCCTTGGGGAGGTGTTCCGGGCACGTCCCACCGGGAAGAGGCCCCGGGGAAGACCCAGGACAGAGAGAGACTGTGTCTCTCTCTGTCCTGGGAACGCCTCAGGATTCCCCCAGATGAGCTGGAGGAGGTGTGTGTGGAGAGGGAGGTATGAGTGTCTCTGCTCAGTCTGATGCCCCCGCGACCCGGCAACGGATGAAGCGGAAGAAAATGGATGGATGCTATACTTAATTCTTACTTATTTTTTAAACTAAATATAAGAGACTTTATTTGATTTGAATACAGAAGGATTATTCACATAATAATCATCCTCATTCCTACTGCTCTGTAACTGCCGATGCAACACTGAACTTTCCCCGCTGTGGGGCCGTTACAGTCTCTCTTCATCTGAATCGTAGCTGATGGATCAGAGTTTACCGAGTGCCGACCGTGGCCTGAGGAGATGGGAGGGACTGAGGCTTCTGTCGCTGCTTCTCTCTGAGGGCAGCACTGGCTCCTCCACCGCCCTCGGCCCCTCGGGGCCCTGCACGGCTCTCCTGTCGGCCACAAACAAACACAGACAAGTGAGTTCAATTAGTTTTTCATTTATCTGGTGTTATATCTGCCCAGGGACTACAGGTGGAAACTAGCATCTCTGCTATAACCTGGTACATGCTTCTCTCCTTTTGTGTTGATGCTTAACTGTACACTGTCCCTGTTCAAATAAAGTACACACAATACAATACAATTTGTATGTTTTTGTGCTCACTGAGTTTTACTTCCTGACTGTCCTGTTTATGTGTGTCCCTGTGTGTACCTGTGTGTCCCTGTGTGTACCTGTGTGTCCCTGTGTGTCCCTGTGTGTACCTGCGTGTCCCTGCGTGTCCCTGTGTGTCCCTGTGTGTCCCTGCGTGTCCCTGTGTGTCCCTGCGTGTCCCTGCGTGTCCCTGTGTGTCCCTGTGTGTACCTGCGTGTCCCTGTGTGTACCTGTGTGTCCCTGCGTGTCCCTGCGTGTCCCTGTGTGTACCTGTGTGTCCCTGCGTGTCCCTGTGTGTACCTGTGTGTCCCTGCGTGTCCCTGCGTGTCCCTGCGTGTCCCTGTGTGTCCCTGTGTGTACCTGTGTGTACCTGTGTGTCCCTGTGTGTCCCTGTGTGTACCTGTGTGTCCCTGTGTGTACCTGTGTGTCCCTGCGTGTCCCTGCGTGTCCCTGTGTGTCCCTGTGTGTACCTGCGTGTCCCTGTGTGTACCTGCGTGTCCCTGTGTGTACCTGTGTGTACCTGCGTGTCCCTGTGTGTACCTGCGTGTACCTGTGTGTACCTGCGTGTCCCTGTGTGTACCTGCGTGTCCCTGTGTGTCCCTGTGTGTACCTGCGTGTCCCTGTGTGTACCTGTGTGTCCCTGTGTGTACCTGTGTGTCCCTGTGTGTACCTGTGTGTATTCAGACCCTGGGCTTGTTCAAACTAAAGGGCTGTGACAAACAGTGTGAAAAAAAAGTAAAAATAAAATAATATTTGAATCATCAGAAGAAAATGGATGTTTTTCATGTTTCCAAATCAGTCTCTGTCCTTTAGAAGTTGCCAGAACAAAACAGTTTTATAAATTAGTCAAGTTTCCTGAAGCGGCTCTGTTTATTTGTTGATGATTTTACAGAATGAGCTGAAGTTTGTTACATATTTTCAGATGTCCAGATTAAAACATTCTTTTTTACACAGAAAAACAAAGTGATACTTTCATAAAGTAAACCACTGAAATGTGGAACCAGACCAGATTTCGTTCTCAAGCTTAATTTTTTATTTTTTTTATTGACGTAAACCATCACGTTCGTTACACATTTTTCAACAGTCATTTACATTTTTATTGATAATCTATTTTTCATGATTCTTTTTTAAATGAAGTGATTTCCTGATGTGGTGTTGATCTTGTGAGAGTTTATCTGCTGACTCACAGAATGATCGACTCTGAGGCTGATGGACGCCAAATGTCGCCAAAAATGTGTTTGTCAATCTTTCTTTCTGATTTTATCCACACTATCTCTTCGATATGTCAGGTTTTAAAAATGTTTTTCCAATCTGTGATAGTAATTTTGGTTTTTGAGTGACGCATCAAGAACTACTTTAAAAGAAACATTATTTATCCGGTAAAAGTGTTAAATTATGGAACAGTTGCTGTGGTGAGCTAAAAGGTGCTGCTTCTGTTTCAGTAAAAAAAAAAAATCAATAAAATAATGATGTAAAAATATTTGAGAGTGTAACAATCGGACACGTGTCTTGTTGATTAATTGCATTTTAAAGATGATTTGATTTAATGATGTTATTGTGTTTGTTTTGATTGAAACTGGAATGACTGTGAATGACCAAACCACGATAAATGAACCCCCCAGACTGTTTAGAGATAGTTTTCTGGTAAATAAGTTCAGTTACTGAGTGTTTGGACTGAACCAAAATTAGACAAAAGATAAAAAAGGCTTATCAATGTAGACAGGACATTTAATCATTCTTTAATTTGACCGTATAAACTTACATGGTGTGTTCAGATTTTGGATCATCTTTAAAATGAGGTTTAACACGCCATAGTAACTTTAACACTGCATGTGATTCATAATATTGGAAATTCTTTCAGTGACCACAAAGCCGTTGTTTTTCAGATTCAGCAGGAGATGTGTCTCCCCTGCAGCAGCAGAGGGCGCTGTTGTGTCCTGGGCTTTATATCAGAGTCAGAATCCATTTATTTTCTGGTGTGTTACAGATTTATACAAGTAGATATTTCTTGCACTAGAGTATACATTATTTTATTTTTACTTTGGGCCTGGAGGTTGTGGGTTAAATCCCACCACGAGACCTACTTCACGACTCCCACTGATGTCTGCTGTCGTTCTTGGGCAAGACACTTAACCCCACCTTGCCTGATCAGTGAGGGGCTCTGTGAACTGGGTGCTGCTCTGACTGCCACCCTCCCCCCCTGACCCAGAAATGGATTAAGGGGAAGAAAATGGGTGGATGGATGGATAGTTCTGCTGTACTTGTGTGCTCCTCATTCCTACTCTTCTGTAACTTGTAAGTACAGTAACGCATGTTTATTTATACAGCACATTTTACAGACCAAGGTCACCCAAAGCACTTTACAAATGTTCAGAATTCAGATATTTTTCCATTCAACTTGTGATGCAACACTGACAATAAAGCATCTCATAATCTGAATCCTAATCTGAATGCAGCCGGTGTTTTACCTGAAGGACAGAGAGCGCACTGAGGCTGCCACTCGCTCAAAGATGGAGTGTCTGGGGTTGTCCTCCTCTTCGTCTGAGGCCTCCGAGCGGACCTCCTCCTCCTCCTCCTGCTGACATTTCACTCATTCATCAGGATCATCAGGTACCAGCAGCATCAGCACAAAACCACACACGTTTGAATGGACTGGTGTCTGCTTCGTGCCGTGCTTGTCGCCATAACAAAGAAATGGTTTTCCCTGGACATACCAACTTTGACTCTACTACGGTGGGAAATATTGCTAGAAATGATAAGATGGAGGAGCTGACTGCTTTTGTGAATGGCACACACGTTGTTTTGAGTCTTGTTGGAGTCAGGGGGTAACATACACCAATGCAAATGAGTAAAATGAGACCCAATTTAAAACTAAAAATGTAAATAATTGCTGTTTTTGATTACCATTTTCTGCACCTCTTTCTATTTTATTTCACTCCCTGTTCTTTAAATGTTCTTCTGTATAAACTACTAAAGAATTAAAAAAACAAAAAAAATACTTTTGATTAATTATTACAGTTATATTGATGACATGAATAACCAAATCACACTTTTAACAGCTCTTTTTTGTCTTCTTTTCTGTGTTCTATGTCCTGGACCTGTGTCTTGTTTGTGTATCTATGTGTGTTGTTAAATTCATCTGTAAATACTGCGGCTGTGTGCAGTACTGCAATCTCACTGAATGTCCACTTTATCTACTTTATTAATATTCTAATAATTTGACAGCACTAGTTTCTACTCATCAGAAATAAAACACAGTGAACGAAGGGCCTGAAGATCAGTCCAGAAAGAGCAACGCCATCTTGTTTCGGGTTCTCTCTCCTACAGGTGGATTATGCAGAAGTCTCAACAGTACCGTGAAAGGAAAAGGGTTTAGAGGCCGGGGTTAGTATCACAGTGCGGGGATTTGTACTGATTTAGACAAGACAATGTATGGATTTGATTCCACTTTTAAAAAACGGTTTTGAAAAAAAAGAACTGAAGAAATTTGTGGAGGCCGGAGAGAGACGTCCTCAGCACAGAGCGAGGGGAGGGGGTTGGTGAGTGTTTTGGGCCAGTGTCTGTGAGCGTTGGTGTGTCTTGGTCGTGTCTTACAATTTTATTATTTATTTATATAGCGCATTTTACAGATCAATGTCACCCAAACCCTTTTACAATGTTCAGAGTTCAGATATTTTTCCATTTTCTCCACACAAGGTGATGACGGGAGCGAGTCGCCGAACACACTGGTCCATCAAAGCTCCATTCAACACCATCCGTTCACTCTTTCATTTACATTCAGACCTAACGTGCAGGTTTTTAGTGGTAGGGGAAACCGGAGCACCCAGAGGAAACCTACACAGACACAGGGAGAACATGCAAACTCCACTCAGAAAGGCCCTGTTCCGACAAGGGCTCGAACCCATGACCTTCTTGCTGAGAAGCGAGAGTGCTATCAACTCAGCCACTGTGTTTTTTCTCTTGCCGATGGTGCTAATGTGTGTGTGTGCGTGTGTGCGTGTGTGTGTGTGCCTGTGTGCGAGTGTGTGTGTGTGTGTCATTGGCTGTCATGTGTTTTGTCGGAGGGTATTGTGCTGTGGTGAGCGTCTGAAAGGCGCAGAAGGGATTGGATCAAAAAAAGCTTTTTCTTCGACCTTTTCCAACCACACACGTTTTCTTCTTTACTCTTATTGTCATTTTTTCTGCAAATAATAATTTTTTTTATATCAAGGTCAGTGAGAATTCCAATGCCAGCTGCCAATGCTAAAAAAATGCTCTAACTATATAACTCCGCCACAGTTGTTGCCATAGTAACTGCAACAGCTGGATCAAATAAACTGTCAATCAGGTGACAAGCCGTAGCGACTAATAGCGCCAGATAACATGGATTTTGAGGTGAATTTCAACATTTTTGGACATAAAAAAACCTTGGAAGAATGGGAAGAAGAGGAGAACCAAGAAAAAGAACGACAAAAGCAACAATAGCTGTTTTGCCTGTGTTAATGTTCATGTTTTGTCTGAGTTTAATAAAAATAGTTCCCATTTCTCTTGACAACGGTTGCTAAGGCAAAAGTTTTGTTTTCAGACTTATGAAATAATAATATACTTATCAGGACAGTTCAGTAAAGTCAATAAACATTTGTTACGCACTTAAATTCACGGGACCATGTTATTAGCGGATTACAAAACCAAATGAATGATTGCCGTCACAGCAGCCTCACCTGTGCTGTGGTCACGCTCAGCTCAAGAGTCGGAACGTGCCGTGTCTTTGAACCCGGAACCTTCTTCAGAACCAGAGTGACCCCATCAGGATTCTCCTTGAACTTCTTGATCAGGTTGGCTCGGCTCCAGCCCACCTGCACAAACGCACAAACACAGCTAAACTACAGCCGTTGGTCTTTAACCCTGGACATGGTCGGACCCTGGGCCTCACCACTATCTGCTCATTGACTTGAATGACTTCATCTCCCGCCAGGATCCTCAGGCTGACGTCCGCAGAGGGCTACAGCGACGGAGAGAGAGCACAAAGTGGTCAAAGAAGTGTCTGACGAGCGGATGAGGAAACCCTGACCTCACTGTGCGCTAATGAAAACCAAGTATTTCTCCCAAATAACAGCAACATTAATCGCAAGCCCTGTTTCCACCAGCCCTACTCTACACTTCTCTACACAACACTGCAAACAAATGATAAAATATTAGCAAATAATTGCTGTTGTCTTTTGTATTTGTTTTTACAGTGTGTATTAAATTGGTTTTAAATATTGCCAATGTGAAGCATTCTGTATGAACTGTATAAATAAAAGTTGATTGATTGATTATTGAGTTTTTTTTCATCTTAATTTGAGGACATTCTGACTCTCTTAAAACGTAGAGAATCGCATCTTTTTAAAACAAGATAATATTGCTTGTCCCATTTGCAAATCATGTTTTAAGGAGAAGGTCAGAATGTGCTTGAATCCAGATGCCTTTTGCCAAATTTGAGGAATTTGTGACTTATTTTTCATCTACTCTACTCTCCCCTGATTGCAAACTTCTTAAGTCCCTCTTGGTCCTGGTTCTATCCAGGTCTAGCTGGTACTAAAGTGTTCTAACTGACAGTGATTGGCCAGAGTGCTGCTGGAAGCCATGGTTACCAGGGAAATTCCCCAGATAACAGTTTGTTGTGGATTATTATGGATTACAGATTGTAAAAATCCCAAAATCAAATCACCTCAGAGTGTCGCCCTGTCTTCAGCTTTGACCCAAACCTGAGACTTGAACTGGTCTCAGTCTGGTTCAGGCGAGTTACTTCTGAGTTACAGAAGTCCATACTAGTTGATGGCTGTTCCTATTGCTTCCTATTGCTTCCTATTGCTTCCTATTGCCGGTACCACATGATTCTAACAGTGGGCAGGGTCATGTCTCTGCAGATCTGAGCTGTCCGTGGAGCTCACCTCGAGGGCAGTCCCAGACACATAGTGGTTGGCGGAGCTGGTGGAGGTGATCTCGATGCCCTGGAGAAGAGTCACAGATTAGAAGACAACATTCACTTGATCGCATGTGTGCTGACACATGACATCACCTTTCACAAAAAGATATAACGATGTGTTAAGTTATCCTATCTATTTATGCATCTATCAATCTCACTATGTACAGTGGGGCAAAAAATTATTTAGTCAGCCACCGATTGTCCAAGTTCTCCCACTTAATGTGAAAAAAAAAATCCAGGAATTCACATTGTAGAATTTTTTAAGAATTTATTTGTAAATTATGGTGGAAAATAAGTATTTGGTCACTTCAAACAAGGAAGATCTCTGGCTCTCACAGACCTGTAACTTCTTCTTTAAGAAGCTCTTCTGTCCTCCACTCGTTACCTGTATTAATGGCATCTGTTTGAACTCGTTATCTGTATAAAAGACACCTGTCCACAGCCTCTAACAGTCAGACTCCAAACTCCACTATGGCCAAGACCAAAGAGCTGTCGAAGGACACCTGGAGAAGAATTGTAGACCTGCACCAGACTGGGAAGAGTGAATCTACAATAGGCAAGCAGCTTCCTAATCCACTGTGGGAGCAATTATCAGAAAATGGAAGACATACAAGACCACTGATAATCTCCCTCAATCGCAAGATCTCATCCCGTGGGGTCAAAATGATCATGAGAACGGTGATAAAAAATCCCAGAAACACACGGGGGACCTGGTGAATGACCTGCAGAGAGCTGGGACCAAAGTAACAAAGATTACCATCAGTAACACACTACGACGACAGGGAATCAAATCCTGCAGTGCCAGACGTGTCCCCCTGCTGAAGCCAGTGCATGTCCAGGCCCGTCTGAAGTTTGCCAGAGAGCACATGGATGATACAGCAGAGGATTGGGAGAATGTCATGTGGTCAGATGAAACCAAAGTAGAACTGTTTGGTATAAACTCAATTCGTCGTGTTTGGAGGAAGAAGAATACTGAGTTGCATCCCAAGAACACCATACCTACTGTGAAGCATGGGGGTGGAAACATCATGCTTTGGGGCTGTTTTTCGGCTAATGGGACAGGACGACTGATCCGTGTTGAGGAAAGAATGAATGGGGCCATGTATCGAGAGATTTTGAGCCAAAACCTCCTTCCATCAGTGAGAGCTTTGAAGATGAAACGTGGCTGGGTCTTCCAGCATGACAATGATCCCAAACACACCACCCGGGCAACAAAGGAGTGGTTCCGTAAGAAGCATTTGAAAGTCCTGGAGTGGCCTAACCAGTCTCCAGACCTCAACCCAATTGAAAATCTGTGCAGGGAGTTTAAAGTCCGTGTTCACTGCTCTCGAGAAGAGCTGCATGGAGGAATGGGCCAAAATACCAGCTACTGTGTGTGCAAACCTGGTAAAGACCTATAGTAATCGTTTGACCTCTGTTATTGCCAACAAAGGTTATAGTACAAAGTATTGAGTTGAATTTTTGTTATTGACCAAATACTTATTTACCACCATAATTTACAAATAAATTCTTTAAAAATCCTACAATATGAATTCCTGGATTTTTTTTCACATTCTGTCTCTCACAGTTGAAGTGTACCTATGATGAAAATTACAGACCTCTGTCATTATTTTAAGTGGGAGAACTTGCACAATTGGTGGCTGACTGAATACTTTTTTGCCCCACTGTATGTTTGTAGGTATGGTCTATGTTCAGAACCAGAGCTAGATTATTTTACCTATTGTACATAATTTTAGTGGTAGGAGAAACCAGTGCACCTACACTGCACTGAAAACCTACACAGACACGGGAAGAATATGCAAACTTCAGTCATACAGGCCCAATTCTGAACCAAGAACCTTGAGAGAAGTGAGAAGGTTAACCACACATCCAGCTTCCCTCCTCTCAATATGGAGAAATTGAGATAATAGGTTTTTGGTAAAAAATAACATAAAACAGTTTGGTGAGCAATTATTTTCAGCTTCAGAAAGTAATAAAAACTTGATGTTCCATAAATGGCATCAGACAGAAGGTCTGTGGGTGGGGACTATACCAGGGGGTCTCCAGGGGAAGCAGGCACCAGGTGGACGCTCTCCAGTTCCGCCGTGTGGGACAGGAGCAGTTCTGAATTGGACTTTAGGATGTCATCACATAGACCCACCAGCTGCCGACACTGTGGCATCAAACACACACAGGTTACACACCAGCTGCCGACACTGTGGCATCAAACACACACAGGTTACACACCAGCTGCCGACACTGTGGCATCAAACACACACAGGTTACACACCAGCTGCCGACACTGTGGCATCAAACACACACAGGTTACACACACACTGCCTACACTGTGGCATCAAACACACACACAGGTTACACACACACTGCCTACACTGTGGCATCAAACACACACAGGTTACACACACACTGCCTACACTGTGGCATCAAACACACACAGGTTACACACACACTGCCGACACTGTGGCATCAAACACACACAGGTTACACACCAGCTGCCGACACTGTGGCATCAAACACACACAGGTTACACACCAGCTGCCGACACTGTGGCATCAAACACACACAGGTTACACACCAGCTGCCGACACTGTGGCATCAAACACACACAGGTTACACACACACTGCCTACACTGTGGCATCAAACACACACAGGTTACACACACACTGCCAACACTGTGGCATCAAACACACACAGGTTACACACACACTGCCGACACTGTGGCATCAAACACACACAGGTTACACACACACTGCCGACACTATGGCTTCAAACACACACAGGTTACACACACACTGCCGACACTGTGGCATCAAACACACACAGGTTACACACACACTGCCGACACTGAGGCATCAAACACACACAGGTTACACACTAGCTGCCAACACTGTGGCATCAAACGCACACAGGTTACACACTAGCTGCCAACACTGTGGCATCAAACACACACAGGTTACACACACACTGCCGACACTGTGGCATCAAACGCACACAGGTTACACACTAGCTGCCAACACTGTGGGTTCAAACACACACAGGTTACACACTAGCTGCCGACACTGTGGCATCAAACACACACAGGTTACACACCAGCTGCCGACACTGTGGCATCAAACACACACAGGTTACACACACACTGCCGACACTGTAGCTTCAAACACACACAGGTTACACACACACTGCCGACACTGTGGCTTCAAACACACACAGGTTACACACCAGCTGCCGACACTGTGGCATCAAACACACACAGGTTACACACACACTGCCGACACTGTAGCTTCAAACACACACAGGTTACACACACACTGCCGACACTGTGGCTTCAAACACACACAGGTTACACACCAGCTGCCGACACTGTGGCATCAAACACACACAGGTTACACACCAGCTGCCGCACTGTGGCATCAAACACACACAGGTTACACACACACTGCCGACACTGTAGCTTCAAACACACACAGGTTACACACACACTGCCGACACTGTGGCATCAAACACACACTGCCGACACTGTGGCTTCAAACACACACAGGTTACACACCAGCTGCCGACACTGTGGCATCAAACACACACAGGTTACACACACACTGCCGACACTGTGGCACCAAACACACACAGGTTACACACCAGCTGCCGACACTGTGGCATCAAACACACACAGGTTACACACCAGGTGCCGACACTGTGGCTTCAAACACACACAGGTTACACACACACTGCCGACACTGTGGCTTCAAACACACACAGGTTACACACCAGCTGCCGACACTGTGGCATCAAACACACACAGGTTACACACACACTGCCGACACTGTGGCACCAAACACACACAGGTTACACACCAGCTGCCGACACTGTAGCTTCAAACACACACAGGTTACACACACACTGCCGACACTGTGGCTTCAAACACACACAGGTTACACACCAGCTGCCGACACTGTGGCTTCAAACACACACACAGGTTACACACCAGCTGCCGACACTGAGGCATCAAACACACACAGGTTACACACCAGCTGCCGACACTGAGGCATCAAACACACACTGCCGACACTGTGGCATCAAACACACACACAGGTTACACACACACACTGCCGACACTGTGGCATCAAACACACACACAGGTTACACACACTGCCTACACTGTGGCACCAAACACACACACAGGTTACACACACTGCCTACACTGTGGCACCAAACACACACAGGTTACATACACTGCCGACACTGTGGCATCAAACACACACAGGTTACACACAAACTGCCGACACTGTGGCACCAAACACACACACAGGTTACACAACAGCTGAAGACACTGTGGCATCAAACACACACAGGTTACACACACACTGCTTACACTGTGGCACCAAACACACACACAGGTTACACACAAGCTGCCAACAAAGAGGCACAAAATACACACACAGGTTACACACGAGGCAACGACACCGTGGCATCAAACACACACAGGTTACACACTAGCTGCCAACACTGTGGATTCCACAGTGTGAAATCAAACACACACAGGTTACACACACACTGCCGACACTGTAGCACCAAACACACACACAGGTTACACACCAGCTGCCGACACTGTGGCATCAAACACACACAGGTTACACACACACTGCCTACACTGTGGCACCAAACACACACACAGGTTACACACAAGCTGCCGCAACTGTGGCATCAAACACACACAGGTTACACACCAGCTGCCGACACTGTGGTATCAAACACACACAGGTTACACACACACTGCCAACACTGTGGCATCAAACACACACAGGTTACACACAAGCTGCCGACACTGTGGCACCAAACACACACACAGGTTACACACCAGCTGCCGACACTGTGGCATCAAACACACACAGGTTACACACACACTGCTTACACTGTGGCACCAAACACACACACAGGTTACAGACAAGCTGCCAACAAAGAGGCACAAAATACACACACAGGTCACACACAAGGCAAGGACACCGTGGCATCAAACACACACAGGTTACACACCAGGTGCCGACACTGTGGCATCAAACACACACAGGTTATACACACACTGCCGACACTGTGGCACCAAACACACAAGCTGCCAACAAAGATGCACAAAATACACACACAGGTTACACACGAGGCAACGACACCGTGGCATCAAACACACACAGGTTACACACCAGCTGCCGACACTGAGGCATCAAACACACACAGGTTACACACTAGCTGCCAACACTGTGGCATCAAACGCACACAGGTTACACACTAGCTGCCAACACTGTGGGTTCAAACACACACAGGTTACACAATAGCTGCCAACACTGTGGCATCAAACACACACAGGTTACACACCAGCTGCCGACACCGTGGCATCAAACACACACAGGTTACACACTAGCTGCCAACACTGTGGCATCAAACACACACAGGTTACACACTAGCTGCCAACACTGTGGCACCAAACACACACAGGTTACACACCAGCTGCCAACACTGTGGCATCAAACACACACAGGTTACACACACACTGCCTACACTGAGGCATCAAACACACACAGGTTACACACCAGCTGCCGACACCGTGGCATCAAACACACACAGGTTACACACTAGCTGCCAACACTGTGGCTTCAAACACACACAGGTTACACACTAGCTGCCAACACTGTGGGTTCAAACACACACAGGTTACACAATAGCTGCCAACACTGTGGCATCAAACACACACAGGTTACACACCAGCTGCCGACACCGTGGCATCAAACACACACAGGTTACACACTAGCTGCCAACACTGTGGCTTCAAACACACACAGGTTACACACTAGCTGCCAACACTGTGGCACCAAACACACACAGGTTACACACCAGCTGCCGACACTGTGGCATCAAACACACACAGGTCACACACACACTGCCGACACTGAGGCATCAAACACACACAGGTTACACACTAGCTGCCAACACTGTGGCTTCAAACACACACAGGTTACACACTAGCTGCCAACACTGTGGCATCAAACACACACAGGTTACACACCAGCTGCCGACACCGTGGCATCAAACACACACAGGTTACACACTAGCTGCCAACACTGTGGCATCAAACACACACAGGTTACACACCAGCTGCCGACACTGTGGCATCAAACACACACAGGTTACACACACACTGCCTACACTGTGGCATCAAACACACACAGGTCACACACACACTGCCTACACTGTGGCATCAAACACACACAGGTCACACACACACTGCCTACACTGAGGCATCAAACACACACAGGTCACATGTCTGACCTCCGGCTGACTGAATGGACGTTTGATAAAGACTCACCACAGAGATGATGTCCTTCTCCTTCTCAAAAGTCGAGCTGTCCTGTGGAGAGGCACAACAACAGTATCATAAAGTAGGTTTGAGAACTGTTATCTGTGATGTGGTTGTAAAAATCCAGAACTTGTCATAAATGTAGTCATAAATGCTACCATCAAAGAACTGAACTCAGCAAATCCTGCCAAACTGGAGACGTCTGAAGAGCAGAGAACCTCGAAGCTTCTGTAGCCCAACACTGCATATACACCAGGTTGGCATTCTTGTTCAGATTTATATTTGATGGATCCAAGCGTATCTGACGTCTAGTGAATGCGTCTCATCCTTGACAGATACAGATAGATTGATAGATGGATTGTATATCGTAATTGTACGAATCGAGCGAAATGACGGTAGAGCAAACGACAGCAGTAAGAGAAACATAAACATTTGAAAGCTTGCTGCCTGCTGTGGCTGATACTGAAGCATCTCTGGGATCTGAATGAACACTTATATTATTCAGCTTGACTCAGCCTAAATAGTACTGTGCAGAATGCATGGATACTGGAGTGTGAAAAGACAAAATGACAAATCATCTGCGAGGTCAATTATGTAAGCATGCTGCAAAAACAAACTCCTTTCTTATATTTAGCTTAAACAGAATAATTCAAGCTTCCCGTAAATCACGGAGTTACTTTAAGTTTCAAAAGGTCCAAAGACATCTTTAAGTTTTCCCCGCAGGAGTTTAGGGAAATCCAAACATGACCAGGTTTGAAATGGCACAGAACTACATAATGTTACCCCCAGTGCAGTTGTTTCAAGGCCTTTTCAATAGAAAGCAGTGAGGAATCAGAGTAATTTTGTCTACCTCCAGTAAAGACAAAGACACAGGAAGTTATTTAAGTGAGAGAGAAGCTTCCAGTTCCTTTAACATAATCTTCCATGTGAACAGACTCACACCAGATTCATACCGAAGGACACCTCACGACTGCATAGTGCTAGCCTGGTCTTACCACACCATCGTACAATTTTCATTTGGCACTAAGGTCTGGATTTGCTCCATTGACTCCGTTAACAAGTGGGGGGGTAACTCCTTTTGCAGATTGAAACGATTGGATCTGAGTTTACCGTGACGTATGTAATGAGCCCGAGTGAGTCGCAAGCATTTAGCATTTAGCCTAGCTTTAGCCATCTCCTTTGCCACTACCGGAGCTGTGGGGAGTTGTTTTATTATATGACTCTTGTCTGTGTCTTTACCAATGCTTTTGAGACATTTATGAAGTATGTTCATGTCCAACTTGGTTTTGTGTGATACGCGCTGCGGACTGATTGTCATGGTAACGGTCCGAGGAAAGATATCAAATGTGATACGCGCTGTTCGGACCAATTGTCATGGTAACGGTCCGAGATGGGAAAATATCAGACCGGTAATCAGCCAATCAGAGCGCGCGTACGGTCCAAGTCATATAATAAACATTCCTCTTGCTCCGGCTTCAATTTCTTGATATTTGGAGCCGAACCAGGACGGCTTACTTCCATTGCCAAACTACAACAAACTCTTGACGTCACCAACACCAACCTACAACACCCGCCTCCCCCGCTCTCTGATTGGTCAGAGGGGATTCAACCGAGGAAACTGCAGCCACTAGGATCAGACCCAGACGTACATGTAGGAAATGATAATTGACCCGAGTCTACGAATGGCTAAGGCCAGGCTAGTCAGCAAGTTTTACATTCTAAATCATGTAAGTACAAAGAAAAGACAGTCTATATCTATCTGACAACATCAACGCCATCTACTGGTGACAATGGGAATAAAACACAAGAACAAAGGAACAGACCTGGATGTATTCAACAACACACAGTTGTAATGGCAGAAACACTCAGATTTGATAATGAATAAATCCGAAAAAGGGAAAAAAGACTACGCAGCTCTATCTATGATGTCACAGACCAACTCCAGGTCTTTTCATGGAAGAATGAACCAAACTTTACCATAATTTAGCTCACGACGTCTATTATATGAAATGTAATCTGCTCATACCTCGAAGTAAGACCATAATCTCAGTCCCACAGCGTCATATTCCCGTCCTGGTGCTCAGTCGAATGATAAAACTCAGCTACACATACAGTATGTCACACAAACCCACACACACACGCACACACCCACACACATACACACCCCCACAGACACGCACAAAAGCAGCTGACCAGGGTCCTCCCTCACCCTCGGGCCGGTACAACAACACACTCTCAGTACTGACGTTCAGAGACACAGTTTTCCCAACAGCAAAGAAAATGTGTTGGGAAGAAATGTGAAGTTTGCAGAGTTGAGGAAAGAGAAAGAGTCACACCAGGTCATAACTCTGTGTGATGGACATTGAGTCTGCAGTACCGCGAGAATCCCCCGAGCACATGGGTTATTCATCTCCAAGCTAGTAATACCCTATCCAGTTATTATAATAGATCCAACTCACAATCCAGACGTGTGACAACTCACGGGGAAAAAACCCTCACCCCAGTAAAACTTTCTACCATAATCAGAGCGCCCCCATGTGGTAGTAAACAGACAACACAGACCTATTACACAAGGAACGAATACAATATTAAAACGTAAAGCCATCAAAAGCTGCCATCTCCGCTCGTAGCTTTCGCTAGCTTTACTAAAGTACTAAAGTAGCTATTACTAAAGTAGTTTTCAGGCGTTTTGTTGATGGGTTTTCCTCGGGAACTTTACTATGCTGAGATTCTAAATCTCTGCGCATTCCACTTGTCGACCCCCCAGAACACCTGGCAATCCGGTCACACAACATGCACTTTTCATTTTCAAGTCTTTTAAAATGCCCCCAAGAAGACATCCGCCGTAGCTACTGCTGCGTAGGCTACTAAATGCAACCTTATCGCAAGACAACAAAGGAAGCGCACTGGAATTTTTGTTTACTTTAATTTCCCGTTTCCCGTCACAACATTGCCCGGGAATAGGGAAATAGTTTGGATGAGATTTCCCAGGCATCCCGTTTCCCCGTATTAAACCCTAATCCCCATGTCATGGCTGTAGATCCTGGTGGTATGGATCAGGGAGTCCCGTTAGCTCTTTCCCTACAGCTTGATGCCATCCATGTAGAGGAGGTGACTGATCTTTGCTTTGTTCCTGATTACTTGGCTTAGAGGGTTCAGGCCTAAGCAGAACAGTACTGGGGACAGAGCATCTCCTTGGTAGATACGTGGAAGTTGCTTGCCATTGGTCATAAGGGTGATCTTCCACATCCCCATTGAGTTTGCAACGAAGTCCCTTAGAGCCCTGTTGATATTGTACAACTTCAAGCATTCCATGATCCATGTGTGCGGCATTGAGTCGTAGGCTTTCTGGTAATCAATCCAGGCTGTGCACAGGTTGGTGTGTCGTGACCGGCAGTCTTGGGCGACTGTTCTGTCAACTAGAAGCTGGTGTTTGGCTCTTCTGGTGTCTCTACCAATGCCCTTCTGTGCTCATGCAAGTGCTGTGCGTTACATCATTTGTATAAAAAGTGCTTTATAAATATGGTTTAATTGACAGTTGCTGCTGGTGGGTCAGGCCTCCCCAATAAACAACAACAGGCACATGCAGGGAAAGAGCAAGGGTTCTAATGCAGGAAAATAGACAAACAATCACATTCAATAACGACTGAATGTGGAAATAATGAGAAAATAATGGAGTACATTTTCCCCCGACATGTCCCCTTTTTACCTTCAGAGTTCCCTGATACTGTACGACAATGACCTCAGATCACTTTACTGCCGTGACTGGAAAAAGGTAAATGAAACCATAGCTTCTACTTTCAGTTCAACAACGTCACAGATTCAGAAAACAGGAGTGACGTGAACCGCCGTGAACGGCCCACTGTGGTGGGGAGGGGGGCTGAGTGTGGGGGGGGGGGGGGTGTCTTTGTCCCAAATCTGGTTCACAGCCTGTTCTCCCGCTTTAACAATGCAAAGGCCGACGTGTTGTTCCAGAGTGAAATCAAACACTGCTCTTTAGGTGTGGGTCTTATCTAGAGCAAATGAGACCGAGTCAACGTCTCATACAGACTAAAGGGATGGATCCTGGCCTCCTGCTGGGACTCTGAGGAGCACAGGGACTGGCCTCCTGCTGGGACTCTGAGGAGCACAGGGACTGGCCTCCTGCTGGGACTCTGAGGAGCACAGGGACTGGCCTCTTGCTGGTCCCAGAGTCAGGACTAAACATGAGGAGGCAGTGTTTCAGATTTATGTAGCTAAAATCTCGAACAGTCTTCCTGAAAATGTGAGACAGGCTTCTTCTCTGACAATGTTCAAAACCAGGTTAAAAACAGTTCTCATTTTATTTTATTTTATTTCATTTCAATGCCCTGCATGATTTAAATGACTTTTTTTTAAAAATCTCATTTAAAACATTAAACAAGACATATATTTAGTCTAAGACAATTATGGTTGAATTATTATTGTTAAGGAAATAGATAAATTGTCAATGCCTCCGTGTGTGTGTGTGTGTGTGTGTGTGTGTGCGTGTGTGTGTGTGTGTGTATGCGTGTGTGTGTGCATGTGTGTGTGTGTTTATGTTTGTCTGTATGTGTGTATGCGTGTGTTTGTGTTGCGTGTGTGTGTGTTTGCTTGTTGGTAAGATTGCAGAAAATATGTGGCTGGTCCCGTAACATTCTGTTCTTTTCTCCAGGCTAATAATTAACCTTCACTAAATATTAGAAAATCTACCCTTTACATGTTTGTGTTTGTTCAGCACCAAGTCCAAAAGCTTTTTCATCAACTGAATATATCAGGTCATACAGTGTTTCATATCAAGAGAAAATTCAGATTCAGTGTGTGTGTGTGTGTGTGCTTTGTTTTGAGGGTCTTATACCAACTGTGGTCATGTCATGTGTTGGTTTACTGGTTTTTTTTCTTCCTGCCCCATTATATTATTATAGCATTGTGTGTCTGTGTGTGTGTGTGAGTGTGTGTGTGTGTGTGTGTTTGTGTGTACGCGTGTGTGTCTGTGTGTGTCTCTGTGTGGTTTGTTTTGTCTCTCTTATACCAACTGTGGTCATGTCATGTGTTGTTGAATTCTAGAGCATAATATCATTATAGCATTGTGTGTGTGTTTGTGTTTATTTGTGTGTGTGTGTGTTTGTGTTTATTTGTGAGTGTGTGTGGGTGTGTGTCAAACTGTGTACTTGATGAAAATATGTGTTGTGCAGGTTTGATATAAATAATCCTAATTTAAAAAAAGAACGTAGAGCAAACATCACAGCGCCAAGTCCTGTTACGAACTGAGGACACACTGTAATGTATCGTGTGTGTGCGTGCGTGTGTCTGTGTGTGTGTGTGTGTGTCTACAGTATGTGTCATTAAGTCCACTTCTATTCTAATCCAACAGCACCTAGTTAAGAATAATCCAATCAGGAAGTGAAGGCGTACCTGTCATTCCAAAGGTCCAAGATTAAACCAAATATAGAATCCTCCTTCTCCAGCCGCTCCTATAACTTCTCACACAGTGTCTCTGTGTGTGTGTCTCTGTGTGTGCCTCTCTGTGTGCGTGTGTGACTGGCCACAAAGTAAATCATTTCTCAGCAACAGTGTGAGAGTCCCACTGGCCCCGCCCCCTTTCCCAGCCGAGCCCCGCCCCCTACTGCCTGAAGTGACACAGCAGCTCAGCAGATCAAGACCTGTCCCGAACCACTAAGAACCTAATTGTGTGTCTGATTGTGTGACTCTGGAGGTGACTGTGTGCGACCCTGAGCCGGAAGTGACAAACCCTAACGAGATCCGTCCAGGAATCCTTCAGAATTATCCCAGGAATGTTTGAGGATAAAGGAGTTCGAGCAAAGCCGAGGAACAGGCTTCTACTTTAGAGTGGGGAGTGGAGAGAGAGCAGAGAGAGAGAGACCAAAGAGAGAGAGCAGAGAGAGAGAGCAGAGAGAGAGAGACCAAAGAGAGAGAGCAGAGAGAGAGAGCAGAGAGAGAGACCAAAGAGAGAGAGCAGAGAGAGAGACCAAAGAGAGAGAGCAGAGAGAGAGAGCCGAGAGAGACCAGAGAGAGAGACTCGAGAGAGAGAGAGAGAGACCAGAAAGAGACCAGAGAGAGAGAGACCAAAGAGAGAGAGCAGAGAGAGCAGAGAGAGCAGAGAGACCAGAGAGAGACCAGAGAAAGACCAAACAGAGAGACCAGAGAGAGAGAGACCAGAGAGAGACTAGAGAGGGACCAGAAAACAGAGAGAGACTAGAGAGAGAGGCTAGAGAGGGACCAGAGACCAGAGAGAGACTAGAGAGAAATCAAAGAGGGAGAGAAGAGAGAGACCAAATAGAGAGCAGAGAGAGAAAGACCAGAGAGAGAGATCCGTCCAGACCACCTTTTGAATTATTCCAGGAATGCTTGAGATAAAGAATTTGGGCTAAGCCAAGGAACAGGCTTCTACTTCAGTATGGGAAGGGGAGAGAGAGCAGAGAGAGAGAGAGAGAGAGAGAACAGTGGGGAGCAGAGAGAGAGAGAGAGAAAGAGAGAGAGAAAGCAGAGAGAGAGAGAGAGAGATAGAGAGAGAGAGAACGGTGGAGAGCAGAGAGAGACAAGAGAGAGAGCAGAGTGAGATCTGAGGGAGTGATAGGGGTTGAAAGCAGGAAGAACAGAGAGAGAGCAGAGAGAGAGGCCAGAGAGAGACCAGAGAGAGACCAGAGAGAGACCAGAGAGAGACCAGAGAGAGAACAGAGAGAGATCAGAGAGAGACCAGAGAGAGACCAGAGAGAGACCAGAGAGAGAACAGAGAGAGACCAGAGTGAGACCAGAGTGAGACCAGAGAGAGACCAGAGAGAGACCAGAGAGAGACCAGAGTGAGACCAGAGTGAGACCAGAGAGAGACCAGAGTGTGGGGAGTGGAGACTTCTTCATTTTGCAGACAGAGTTCCTGCATTGTGTTCCTGCAGTTCCTCTTTAGGTTTGAATTATTTTGTTTGTGATTCACCGACATTTATAATAGTGAAGAGGGATGTACCAGCACCAACACCAGCACCAACACCAGCACCAACACCATCAGCAACACCAGCACCAACACCAGCACCAACACCATCACCAACACCAGTACCAACACCATCAGCAACACCAGCACCAACACCAGCACCAACACCAGCACCAACACCATCAGCAACACCAGCACCAACACCAGCACCAACACCAGCACCAACACCATCAGCAACACCAGCACCAACACCATCAGCAACACCATCAGCAACACCATCACCAACACCAGCACCAACACCATCAGCAACACCAGCACCAACACCAGCACCAACACCAGCACCAACACCAGCACCAACACCAGCAGCAACACCAATACCAACACCAGCACCAACACCATCAGCAACACCAGCACCAACACCAGCACCAGCACCAGCAGCAACACCAGCACCAACACCAGCACCAACACCATCAGCAATACCAGCACCAACACCAGCACCAACACCATCAGCAACACCAGCACCAACACCAGCACCAACACCAGCACCAACACCAGCACCAACACCAGCACCAACACCATCAGCAACACCAGCACCAACACCATCACCAACACCAGCACCAACACCAGCACCAACACCAGCACCAACACCAGCACCAACACCAGCACCAACACCATCAGCAACACCAGCACCAACACCATCAGCAACACCAGCACCAGTGAGGCCGGTCCCAGCGAGGCCGGTCCCAGCGAGGCCGGGCCCAGAGCCACACTTCTCTCTGAAGTCAACAGCTGCGACTGACTCAGGACTTTCCCGACTGCTCTCACCCAAGTCTGAGCTCACTTCCACTTTCACAGACTTTGGACTGAACGAGAGACTGTTCAATTCTATTCAATTCCATTCTATTCAATGTGTTTGTGCATCGCCATAAATCACAACCGCAGTCGTCTCGCAGGATTCACCAACAACAGGTCAGAGAATCAATGCAACACCGTGTTTTCCGGATCACATGTCACAGCAGAGAACACAGCGAGTCGCGTGTTTTGTGGAAATGTGTGTGATCAAATCCAACACCAAGAAAAGACATTTCAACTTGAGTCAATTTAAAATGAAAATGGAAAAGAGAACAACAGACAGACTAAGAGTACGTTATGACCCATGAACAGGGAACTGAGAACTGCCTGCTTTGCTAACATAGCAAATAATTGAAGCACATATTACTCATTTTTAAGCAGACTAATTATAATTATTTTACGAGTTTGATAATAGGCCGGGCTATTGTTTGCTATTTTACGGTAAATAAAATATAATATGTTAAATATACAATGTAATAATTTCACACTGTAAGTCGCGCCCCCGGCAAAAGTATGACTAAAACTCTGAAAAATACAGTAATAACAAACACAAAGGAGCCATCGGTCCAAAGGGAGCAGGAAATAAAATGAAAAATGTCCATAAACACTTTTATTTTTTTATTTTTATTATTATTACTATTATTTTGTTTTACCATTTGTATAATTATTATAATTATTTTTATTTTCTGTTTTAATTTTTTTAATTTTATGTAATCCTTTATTTGCATTATAAATGTTGCCTTGTGAGGTTTTTTATTAAATTATGACATTCTCCTTGAATTCTAAAGGCAAAAACTCTAAAATAAAGTATATAAAAAATAAAAAAGAGGTGTAATAATTGTATATTTTCCTAAAGACTGAGTGAGTGTTATTATGTCCTTTCTCCAGCTTGAAAATATTACATGCTCTGTTCAGAACCAAAAAATCCCAGCTGTGTGGAAACTGTTTTTGGATTACTGTGAGGAGGTATTGATGGTAATTCATTGTAAAAATTAGGAATACTCTCCCCTTTTTTTTATTATTTTACTTTTTTTATAATTAATTTTATTTACTGTATATACTTTTTATATTTTGTCCTTGTTTCCATGTTATATGATTGTATTCACTTAAGGGGATGACATCTCTGTATTACTACAAGTGAAGAAGTCTTTATTTCGGTTTGTATTTAAAAACAATAAAAACTATTTGAAATAAAAATATATATATATATTTTCTGAACATGTGTTTTCTCTTTGGTGGTGACTCACGTTGTGCACAATATCCCCGAGTTGTCGGCAGCTGCTGAAGATGTCCTGAGTGCAAGAGTTTTGGTTCAACTGGAAGAACTGATATCTGCAGAGGAACAAACACAACACCTTAGAGACCAGAAGGACACCAGAGGGAGACCAGAGAGAGACCAGAGAGAGACCAGAGGGAGACTAGAGGGAGACTAGAGGGAGACCAGAGAGAGACTAGAGAGAGACCAGAGAGACCAGAGGGAGACCAGAGAGAGACCAGAGAGAGACCAGAGGGAGACTAGAGGGAGACTAGAGGGAGACCAGAGAGAGACTAGAGAGAGACCAGAGAGATCAGAGCAGAGGGAGACCAGAGGGAGACCTGAGAGAGGCCAGAGACACCAGAGAGAGACTAGAAGGAGACCAGAGGGAGACTAGAGGGAGACCAGAGAGAGGCCAGAGGGAGGTACCAAAAAGAGGGATCAGAGAGACAGAAACCAGAGAGAGACCAGAAGGAGACCAGAGATAGGCTAGAGAGAGGCCAGACAGAGACCAGAGAGAGACTAGCGTGAGACCAGAGAGAGAGAGAGACCAGAGACAGAGACCAGAAAGCGACTAGAGAGCGACTAGAGAGACCAGAGAGAGAGCAGAGAGAGACCAGAGAGATACCAAAGAGAGACCAGAGAGAGACCAAAGAGAGAGACCAGAGAGAGACCAGAGAGAGACAAAAGAGAGAGACCAGAGAGAGAGAGAGAGACCAGAGCGAGACCAAAGAGAGAGAGAGACCAGAGAGAGACCAAAGAGAGAGAGAGACCAGCGAGAGACCAAAGAGAGATGCCTGAATTTTTTAGCTTTAGAAATTCACACTTTTTTCTAAAACATTCAATACAATTATGTGACATCATTTCGTTGCCTCTCCAGAATGATCGGACTCAGAGGTTCTTAAATACTTAAACACACACATCCCTGAGGTGGCAGCTCTAAAATAGCGGCGTCAGGAATAGCCCTGGCGTGGAGTGTGTTCGATGACAAACCTGTTGAGCAGAGAGAAGAGTCCTTTGGCAGAGGTGATGAGCTCCACCACCAGCTGCAGTACCCCCACTGACAGCTTGGTGGTGCTGCGGCCTTCGTAGATGTTGCGCCTCCATCGGGCCTGGATTCCCATCTGCAGCGTGTAGCCCAGAGCCCGGAGTTTCTCTGTCAGACTGCGCAGGCTCTCTCCACTCAGGCCATACGTCTGCAGAGAGCGACACACAAGACATCTGTACACACATGGACTAGAGGACACCCGCGGTACTGCAGCCTGAATCAGCATGGGCGAGAGGACACCCACGGTATTGCAGCCTGAATCAGCATGGACTAGATCCCACCCGCCGTACCGGAGAGAGAACAAAGAGAGACTAGACCTGATATAGAGAATAGAGACCAGAGAGTGAGACAAGAGAGAGAGAACAAAGAGAGAAGAGAGACCAGAGAGAGATCAGAGTATCATCCAGTGTGTCATTCAGACAAAGCCGGCTCTTTTGGGGTCTTAAAACCAGGTTCTAGAGTGGAAAGACCAGTCAAAAGAGACCAGAGAGATATCAGAGAGAGACCAGAGAGAGACCAAAGAGAGAGATCAGCGAGAGACTAGAGGGAGAGGCCAAAGAGCGACCAGAAAGAAACCAGAGAGAGATCAGAGAACACTATAAAGACTATAGAGAGATCCGAGAGAGACCAGAGAGAGACCAGAGAGAGACCAGAGAAAGAGAGAGACCAGCGAGATCAAAGGGATCCAGTGTTTCTTCCGGGTGCTCCGGTTTCGGATGGTAATCGACTTCAGGAGAAAACCACTTTCCCACACGCCGCTGAACATCCAGGGGGAGGACATTGAGCTGGTGGACAGCTTCAAGTACCTGGGTGTTCACATTAACAATAAACTGGACTGGTCCCATAATAAAAACGCCCTGCACAAGAAGGGCCAAAGTCGTCTCCACCTTCTGAGGAGGCTGAGGTCCTTCTGAGGAGGCTGAGGTCCTTCTGAGTGAGCAGGCTTCTGCCCAGGACTTTTTATGACTCTGTGGTAGCATCTGCCATTTACCACGCTGCCGTGTGCTGGGCCCCGGGCAACACAGAGCGGGACAGAAACAGACTGAACAAGCTGGTCAGGAGGGCCAGCTCCACTCTGGGCTGCTCCCTGGACTCTGTGGAGGAGGTGAGGGACAGGAGGCCCCTGGACTTTGTGGAGGAGGTGAGGGACAGGAGGCCCCTGGACTTTGTGGAGGAGGTGAGGGACAGGAGGCCCCTGGACTCTGTGGAGGAGGTGAGGGAGAGGAGGCCCCTGGACTCTGTGGAGGAGGTGAGGGACAGGAGGCCCCTGGACTCTGTGGAGGAGGTGAGGGTGAGGAGGCCCCTGGACTTTGTGGAGGAGGTGAGGGACAGGAGGCCCCTGGACTCTGTGGAGGAGGTGAGGGAGAGGAGGCCCCTGGACTCTGTGGAGGAGGTGAGGGACAGGAGGCCCCTGGACTCTGTGGAGGAGGTGAGGGACAGGAGGCCCCTGGACTTTGTGGAGGAGGTGAGGGACAGGAGGCCCCTGGACTCTGTGGAGGAGGTGAGGGAGAGGAGGCCCCTGGACTCTGTGGAGGAGGTGAGGGACAGGAGGCCCCTGGACTCTGTGGAGGAGGTGAGGGAGAGGAGGCCCCTGGACTCTGTGGAGGAGGTGAGGGACAGGAGGCCCCTGGACTCTGTGGAGGAGGTGAGGGACAGGAGGCCCCTGGACTCTGTGGAGGAGGTGAGGGACAGGAGGCCCCTGGACTTTGTGGAGGAGGTGAGGGAGAGGAGGCCCCTGGACTCTGTGGAGGAGGTGAGGGACAGGAGGCCCCTGGACTCTGTGGAGGAGGTGAGGGACAGGAGGCCCCTGGACTCTGTGGAGGAGGTGAGGGACAGGAGGCCCCTGGACTCTGTGGAGGAGGTGAGGGACAGGAGGCCCCTGGACTTTGTGGAGGAGGTGAGGGAGAGGAGGCCCCTGGACTCTGTGGAGGAGGTGAGGGACAGGAGGCCCCTGGACTCTGTGGAGGAGATGAGGGACAGGAGGCCCCTGGACTCTGTGGAGGAGGTGCTAGTCAAAGTCACCTCCATCATGGGCAACACCTCCCACTGCACAGGACTGTAGAGGAGCTGAGGAGCTCCTTCAGTGGAAGACTGAGACACCCTCAGGGTAAGAAGGAGCAGGGCCTTTATCCCCACTGCTGTCAGACTGTACAATAAGTCACTTTAAGTCACTTTCAGTCACTTGCATTAGGACTGAAATACCCGCACTACTATTGACACTGTTTCTTGATTGCCACTTTTGAATCTTCATTTTTTATTATACATAATATATACATGTTGCACATTTCTTTCTTTTGCACATGTACATTTTATCTTATCTTTCCCTCACCACTGAAAACATGCACACTAGCTCTAGTCCTGACCAAGCCGAGCATGGACCATCTGTTCTTTGGGCTCTGAACACTCCATACTCTGTATTTGCAACTCAGTGGTTTCCGTCCTGTTGGATTGTGAGACAGTTGTGTCATCAGTGTGTGATTGTGGCCTCAGTGTGCGACCGTAACTTGCTCAGCTACCATCGAGATAAACAAACAGGCCTCTCCACAGAGCCTCCTGCTGGGATCCTGACAACAGCGTCACTATAGACACGAGTACACAACACAAACATACAACTGAACACAGGAGGATTGGGACAACAACGGACACGCAACTGTCTGAGCCACTGCACACAATCATAACAAAGAAGTCTGTATTATTGAACTTTTATAATTAACGAACAATAACGTGTGTAAAGATTAACACTAGGACTCCCATGAAACTACTAGAACTCCCAGAGCCGTCATTTTGACTGCTCTCATCCAAACCAAAGGAATTCTGACAAGATTTTGCCTTAAGTGTTAAAAGTAAGTCATTGATTATGGTTTTACCTTTTACTCACTTTTAAATTAACAAAAAAGACTAATACCAACTTCTGCCAGTAAACAATGTGTGTTGCTATGGTAACCAGCACTTTATTTTATAAAGTGGAAAATGAGTTAAAGACAGAACAATCTAAGATAGATAATTTCATAAATAGATGACATTGAAATAAACTATATAAAGAAACAGAAAAAGTTAAACTTTTAAAGACTAAAAACAAGAGTTACTGTATTCTGTCCAGAGAAGAGACCCCTGCTGGAGGAGTGTGGTAACAGCAATATCCTCTTCCTGCTTTATCTATCATCATTCAGCTGTAGTCTGTTCATTGCTATTCACCTGCTGCTCCATTGTTTCATGGCCTGATGGGACCCTGAACCCGGCCTCTTTGACCTGCACCTGTGAACTGGACTACCCCAAACTCGTAGGCTGCAACCCTATCTCTGCATGGGAGTCTTCTCAGTCCTACATCTACAGCCTCAGTCCTTGATCTATAGCCTCAGTCCTGGATCTACAGTCTCAGTCCTGTGTCTACAGCCTCAGTCCTGGATCTACAGCCTCAGTCCTGGGTCTACAGCCTCAGTCCTGGATCTACAGCCTCAGTCCTGGATCTACAGCCTCAGTCCTGGATCTACAGCCTCAGTCCTAGATCTACAGCCTCAGTCCTGGATCTATAGCCTCAGTCCTGGATCTACAGTCTCAGTCCTGTGTCTACAGCCTCAGTCCTGGATCTACAGCCTCAGTCCTGGGTCTACAGCCTCAGTCCTGGATCTACAGCCTCAGTCCTGGATCTACAGCCTCAGTCCTGGATCTACAGCCTCAGTCCTGGATCTACAGCCTCAGTCCTAGATCAACAGCCTCAGTCCTAGATCTACAACCTCAGTCCTGGATCTACAGCCTCAGTCCTGGATCTACAACCTCAGTCCTGGATCTACAGCCTCAGTCCTGGATCTACAGCCTCAGTCCTGGATCTACAGCCTCAGTCCTAGATCTACAGCCTCAGTCCTGGATCTACAGCCTCAGTCCTAGATCTACAGCCTCAGTCCTGGATCTACAGCCTCAGTCCTGGATCTACAGCCTCAGTCCTGCATCTACAGCCTCAGTCTACCACCGAAACATGTGGGAACTGAGCAGACGTTTTTTTTTACACTTTTTGTTACTATAAGAACATTCTAAGCCTTCAATAAAGTTCTATATTGTCTATTTCACAATAAATGTATCAAAAAGCTGGTGCTCAAATTAAAATACATTTTGCCCATGTATTTATTTATTTTTATGACTCTTTGTAGTGTCAGAAGAACTCTGCATTTACTTCTTTTGGACAAATAACCCACTGACGGCTCATTCACATGATGGAGAACAGCGCCCCCTGTCTGCAGACCCGCCAAACTGTGGCCTTTACTCTACAGTGAGTGGGGTCAGATGAGTCACAGTGTCTCTGTGTCCTGGGTCTTCCCCTGGTCTCCTCCTGGTGGGACATGTCCAGAACACCTCCCCAGAGAGACGTCCAGGAGGCATCCCACACAGATGCCTGAGCCACCTCAACTGCCTCCTCTCCATGTGGAGGAGCAACGCCTCTACATCGAGCTCCTCCAGAGTGACTGAGCTCCTCCCCCATCTCTATAAGAGCACCATCCACTACATTATTTGACTATAACATGATATTGTTACAAACCACTTTTCGAAGCAGGTAATGAGTGGTTTGGATTCTGCCCACTGAGCACAGACAAATGCAGTCTGATGCTTCTGTCGTCACAGTGCGGGTCCTTCAACGTCACATCCTGTCAGCCCCAAACGTCCAGCATCAATAACACCATTCACCAACGGAACCAAAGGGCGTCAACACTAGAACATACTTTAAATTAAGTTTATATGTATTTATTTGTCCCCACTGTGAGACAATAAGGATCATCTTGTCTCTGTAGGGAAATGGGACCTCTGCATTTGACCCGTCTTTGACTGCCTCTCACACCTCTGCCAGCAGCAGTGGTCGCCGTAGTAACAGGGACCATCTCCAGATGTTGAGGATTTCATCTATTGTACATGCGTTTAGTGGTAGGGGAAACTGGAGTACCCAGAGGAAACCTATACAGACACAGGGAGAACATGCAAACTCAGAAAGGCCCTGTTCTGACCAGAATTCGAACCCAGGATATGAGTTTTGTCTTCTACAACTACATCTAGATATTTAGCAAAAATTGACCAATTCAGGGCAAAAAAAGTCACAACCAAAGACGATCTCAGAATCTAAGCAAGACAAGGCCTGGTAATTACTGTGATGGGAGCCCATTTGGGAACACCAGGTGTCACAGTGGGGCGACTGCGGCTGAACCCAAACCATATATGTGTGTGTGTGTGTGTGAGTGTGTGTGTGCGCATGTGCGTGTGTGTGTGTGTGTGTGAGTGTGTGTGTGCGCATGTGCGTGTGTGTGTGTGTGTGTGTGAGTGTGTGTGTGCGCATGTGCGTGTGTGTGTGTGTGCGCGCGCGCACATAGCAGCTGTGGCTACAGTAGTAGCATAACTTAGTGTATTATTGATGTTTGTGATTAAAAACACAAACATACATTTTTGAACTAATAACTGTTCCATCTCCCCTAAATGACATATTATAAAATGATTGATGTATTGTTGATAATTATGAGAGACTCTGATTGTGTTGAGGGTGAGCCTCACCAGCGAGCAGAGCTTCTCCACCGCCTCCAGCAGCAGCTCCTGATGACCCACTTTCTGAACGCCCAGTTTGTCCAGGTCCAAGGAGGTCAGCTGCAGCAGGTCCACTCCACTCAGCCTCCATTCACTCACAGGGTACAGGTGCAGAGGGGCGTCCAGGCCTGACACACACACACACACACACACACACACACACACACACACACACACACACACACACACACACACACACACACACACACACACACACACACAACATCACAACATGTTCTTCAAACTGCAAACACTGTTAAAGGACCCTATGAAACATGCACTCCTTGAACAAATGTGTGGTGAAATGCAGCCTGTGGCAATGCAGTCCGCTACCCTCCAAGCCCCTCCAAGCCGGCCCCTTTCACCCTCGGCCAATCACACAGCGCTGACAACCTACGCCGATTAAGCAGATATTTGAAAGCAGAAACTTCCAACAACTAACTCTTTTCCAGCCTCGCCTAATGCCACCACCCGTTCCTTGGTCTTATGCCAAGGTATTATCATTTAATGCATTTTCTGTCTCTCCAGATTGAAATGTAGCTGGTTTTGGCTCCAACAAACTGGAAACCCAAAAGGGAGCTTCATTCTGCTCTCTGCTGTTATCAATCTGTGACCTCCAGATGAGGATTTTAATACTCTCTGCACTATACGGACGATAAGATAAGATACAACTTTTTTGATCTCACAAAGGAGAATTTTACAAGAAAAGCAACCGCATTTGAAATTGAATGAAATTGAATGTAGCCGGGTCTTACCACACCATGGTACTGTATTCATTTCGTACTAAGGTCTGGATTTGCTCCATTGACTCTGTTAACAGGTGGGAGAATTTTTTTTCCTTTAGCAGATTGAAACAATTGGATCTCAGTTTACTGTGACGTATGTAATCTGCCCAAGTGAGTGAGGCATTTAGCATTTAGCCTAGCTTTAGCATTTAGCCTAGCTTCAGCCATTTCATTTGCCTCTAACGGAGCCCATGGGTAGTAGAGCCACAACATCTTTGCTAAACAGTCCTCTTGCTACGGCTTCAGATTCTTGATATTTGGATTGAACCGGAACAGATTATTTTACTATCACATTCGCCGCCAAACTACAACCAGAAAATTCGGCGCAAACTCGTGATGTCACCCACACAACCTACAATACCCGCCTCCCCCGCTCTCTGATTGGTCGGAGGGGATTCAATCAAGGAAACTGCAGCCACTAGGATCAGACCCAGACGTACATGTAGGAAATGACCATGGACCAGAGTTTACACATGGTAAGACCAGACGTACATGTAGGAAATGACCATGGACCAGAGTTTACACATGGTAAGACCAGACGTACATGTAGGAAATGATCATGGACCAGAGTTTACACATGGTAAGACCAGACGTACATGTAGGAAATGATCATGGACCAGAGTTTACACATGGTAAGACCAGACGTACATGTAGGAAATGATCATGGACCAGAGTTTACACATGGTAAGACCAGACGTACATGTAGGAAATGATCATGGACCAGAGTTTACACATGGTAAGACCAGGCGTACATGTAGGAGATGATCATTGACCAGAGTTTACACATGGTAAGACCAGGCGTACATGTAGGAGATGATCATTGACCAGAGTTTACACATGGTAAGACCAGACGTACATGTAGGAGATGATCATTGACCAGAGTTTACACATGGTAAGACCAGGCTACATTCATTGGTGTTTGAAGCCTAGGAACTACACTTTGAAATTAAGTTCATTCTGTCATTGTATTTGCACTTGTTGATGATCACAGTTGTTAGCATGGTCCTGGAGCAGTTTGCTTTTGGACAATGATCGTGAACAGATTAAAACCAGCTCAATCGGTGCGACAAGGGTTACAGCAGTTTTGGTTTACAGTTGGTGATTAATTTGCTTTTCTTTTCATGCTGTGAAAGTGCAGATACTCCACTGCAGAGAAGAACAATCCTGCTGCAGCAGCGGTATGTTCAAGTCCAGACATGAACGAGTGAACTGCAGGTTACAGCGTGGAACAGAGAGAGACTCAAAAACAAACTCCACAGCTCACTACGAAGGTCACTCTCATCTCCTCTGATCTGCTTTGTCACACTTGTTTAAATAATAATAATAATGATATAATACATTTTATTCCCTAGACGCCTCTCTTGAAACCCAAAGTTGCCTTACATTACAAGTTATGAAAGATTTGCATCTAAGTAGTTATAATAATTCAATATAAGTAAATAAGTAATGTTTTTTTTTATAGCGCATTTTACAGACCCAGGTCAGTTGGAACACACTGGACCATCAAAGCCTCCGACCAAACACCATCCATTCTTTTGGATGCGCTGGAAAACGGCAGCAGGTCCTAAGTGTCTCTGAAACACTTGTTGTTTTGTGCTTTTCAATTTTTATTTTTATTGCTTTTTTCTGCCTGAGATGTTGCTGCAGCACAGTGTTCATGGTTTTACACTGGTCCAGACCGGAGCAGAGAGGATTCATGGTTTTACACTGGTCCGAACCAAGCGAATATGGTGAAAATCTACTGGAGGAATGCTAACTTTTTGAAAAATGAAAATGAAGCATTTTGCTTTGGACTAGAGCTGAGAAAATTGTCTGAACTAAGCGGCTGCTCCACCTGGTGACCTGTCCTGCTCCACCCAGAGGCTACTCCACCTCTGCTGCTGTGACCCGTCCTGCTCCACCCAGAGGCTACTCCACCTCTGCTGCTGTGACCCGTCCTGCTCCACCCAGAGGCTACTCCACCTCTGCTGCTGTGACCCGTCCTGCTCCACCCAGAGGCTACTCCACCTCTGCTGCTGTGACCCGTCCTGCTCCACCCAGAGGCTACTCCACCTCTGCTGCTGTGACCCGTCCTGCTCCACCCAGAGGCTACTCCACCTCTGCTGCTGTGACCCGTCCTGCTCCACCCAGAGGCTACTCCACCTCTGCTGCTGTGACCCGTCCTGCTCCACCCAGAGGCTACTCCACCTCTGCTGCTGTGACCCGTCCTGCTCCACCCAGAGGCTACTCCACCTCTGCTGCTATGACCCGTCCTGCTCCACCCAGAGGCTACTCCACCTCTGAAGGGCTGTTGCGGATAGTTACTATTGGAAGCTTTTTAGAATTATCAATTTTATTTTTTTATTTTGCTGCTCCTGGACACCTGAATTTCTCCGATGGGGATCAATAAAGTATCTATCTATCGATTCACTCTCTCATTACATTCAGACCTAGTATTTTACATGTTTCTAGTGGTAGGGGAACCCGCAGCACCCGGAGGAAACCTACACAGACACAGGGAAAACATGCAAACTCCACTCAGAAAGGTCTGGAGGTGGAATCGAACCCAGGACCTTCTTGCTCTAACTGCTGTGCCACCGTGCCCTGTACTTTTGTATCGCCATTAATCACAACTGCAGTTATCGCCAAGGACTTTACAAAGTTGTCGATTCGCCAAAACAGATCAGAGAATCAAACAGTTCACACACAGGAAATGCAATGATAATAAAACACATAGAGCCGTTGGTGCAAAAGGGGCAAAGACCACTGTCCATAAATGTCCTGGGTCATCCCTGTTCTCGGACCCTCCTCGGGGGAAACCCACATTGAGGGAGGGATCTGCTCTGATGGACAGACTGTAGGTCCAGGACTCAGACTGTAGAACATGGACCAAGGCCCACGCGATGCAGGACTGAGGCGGTTACTAAAGCGAAACAACAACATACCAAGTCTTTTTATGGAGACATCTCTGGATAAGTTTAGTCTGGCTAAAAGTCTCTTTGTAGAATAATGATCTAAAACAACCCATAAAGAACAATATTCCACGGCTCCTCTCAGCAGCAGTAGAACTCTCCACTGATTTGAATGAAATTTCAAAACGTTTTACCGGTCATTATTTCTTGATAACGGACCTCTCAAAACAATAATGACCGCTACACATGGCAACGCACCCTCCGCTTGTAATTCAGATGTGTAGATTACTCCGCAAGTAGTTCCGGCCACTTCATCGGTATCGGAGCTAGCCACGCTCGATAAACGCAAATACTAATCAATTGACACATTTCAATGTTAATCTGAGAATACATTATACATTAACATTATACATATACGTCTTAATACACGTGCACGGAGGTTTTCAGAAGTATCTGTTAAGGTTTTTGGGACAAAAATACTGTTTTAATGCAAGAAAAAGCGATTGCGAAAAACCCGGAAGTAGATTCCGGGACATTTTAGGAACATTTGCAGAAGATCGGATTATGGATTTAGATTGAGTTTATTTTATGTTCAGGTCACTTTCTGCTCATGTTGAGTTTTTATTCAGTTTGAGAGAGTTCTAGTTTGGGAGTTACTAGCCTAACTGTTAGTCGCATAGCCACGGGAAAACCTTTGGGAACTATTTTATTTTCTGTCATTAATGCCTTTTGGCATTCATAAAAGTGGACTGAAGTTTATCTTGTGTGTTCTGTTGGTACAAAGCCGTATAATAAGCATAATAGCGAAAATAAGTACCTTCAGGGCGGAAGCAGAACCCTCCCCTGCGCGTCGGGGTCCGCGTCGCCCTGTCGGTGCTTATTTTCCGGTAATGATCTGCGTGATATACATTATCCCTTACATATTAAACACTAAACTACACCTCGTCATCACAGTGCTGCAGTCCTCACTGTTTATGACTGCCGTGGATTGAACTAGACACATTTCTGAGGTTTGGTTCAAAACTACATTCAGAGGAGGGAAAAGTAGGGATGCAGCTGAATATCGGTATGGGCCGATGTTTGCCGTGTTAACGACCATTGGTGGGTAGAAACAAAGAAAATGGCGGTGGTTGTGTGGAAATATTTGGTGGTAACAACCTGGAGCTGAACGCCCAGAAGACAGTGGAGATGATTGTGGACTTCAGGAAGAGCACTGTCCCCCCGCCCCCACCCTCCGTGATGGACTCCCCCATCACCTCTGTGGAGTCCTTCCGTTTCCTGGGCACCACCATCACCCAGGACCTCAAGTGGGAGCCGACCATCAGCTCCCTCATCAAGAAGGCCCAGCAGAGGATGTACTTCCTGCGGCAGCTCAGGAAAGCCAAGCTGCCTGCACAGATGTTGGTGCAGTTCTACACGGCCATCATCGAGTCCATCCTCACCTCCTCCATCACCGTGTGGTTCGCTGGAGCCACAGTCAGGGACAAACAGAGACTACAGCGCATTGTGCGCTCTGCAGAGGAAGTGATCGGCCGCAGCCTTCCATCGCTGCAGGACCTATACGTCGCCCGAGCTCGAGGCCGGGCTGGTCGTATCACAGCCGACCCCTCTCACCCTGCACATGGACTATTCCAACCACTCCCCTCAGGCAGGAGGCTGCGGTCCATCAGGACTAGAACCTCCCGCCACAAGAACAGTTTCTTCCCCTCTGCTGTTGGACTCTTGAACACTTCTTAACCTGTCCCCCCGCCCTTTATAAAGTCACTTTACTGCCCATCATACGTCACTTTACTTCACTGTACTGCTGTCACCTTACATTGTGTGCACCATGTGCACTTGTATATTGTAAATAGTAACTGTAACTCTATTTTAAATTTAAATTTATTCTTTAGAAGTGTTTTTTATTCTTATTTTTATTATCTCTTTTTGACTGTTGCACTGAGCCAAAGCAATTTCCAAGTCTGTGACCTCCCGTTACTTACGTTGGCAATAAAAATGATTCTGATTCTGATTCTGATTCTGATATTTGACAGTATCAGAAAAAGATCCGTGTTTTGCAGTTTATATGTGTTCAGTGAGATTTCAAGCGCTGCGAGAAAATCATTTAACACAAAATAATCTTATTGGACATTTGAGAATTATGAGGTGGTGCACGGTGCATGAAGCTGAAGAAACATGGAAAACTGAAGCAGCCAAGAAATACATATATACAAATAACAAAAAGAAAAATATTGGCCAAATTGTTATGTTAAACATCGGTATTGGCCCAAAATGTCACAATCAGTGCATCCCTCGGGAGAAGTGTTAAGCACCTAAGTGGACACACAGGTACTTATTAAAACAAAACAACTCTGGTAAAGTTAAATATGATTATTGTTCGGCTCCTCACAGCAGCAGGAGAACCGCTCCTTTGATTTGAATGTCATTTCAAAACGTTTTACCGATCATTATTTCTTGACGATGAACCTCTCAAACCAATACTGACCGCTGCCCTTTGGCAATGCACCCTCTGCTTGTAATTCAAGTGTGTACAAGCCTGTCACTTATTACTTCTGCCTGAGCGAGAGAAGCTATCAGAGCTAGCCACACTCATTAAACATGAATAAAAATCAATCAACACATTTAAATGTTAATTGGAGAATACATTATACATATACATTCTTAACACATGTGCACGGAGGTTTTCAGAATGATCTGTTCACGTTTTCATGACAAAAATAATGTTTTAATTTGACAAAAAGCGATCGCGGTAAACCTGGAAGTAACTATTAACATTAGTAGATAATTTAGGAACATTTGTAGACAATCGAATTGTGGATTTAGGTTAAGTTTATATTTGGGTTTCTTTGTTCAGTTTCATAGATTTGAAGTAGCTTGCAGTCATTAAATAAACCTTTTTGTATTCATAAAAGACTGAAGTTTACGTTGGGTGTTCAGTTGGTACAAAGCCAGATAATGTATAGGACGCAGGTCAACTGTCAACAGAAAGCCTGATACCTGGTTCATACGGTGACACCATAAAGGCTACCAGAACACAGCCCTGTTTCCACCATAACAACTTGGTCCTACTCTATCAATCCATCAACATTTGTTTGTTCATTTCCTGCACAAAAAAACACAACCTGCTTCACACTCGTCACATACACATAAAACATAGACAATAAAAACAAACATTAAGATCACACAACCTGGATCTGATCACTGTCACAGCCGGCGTCTCACATTTTCAGGAAGACTGTTCCATCCAAATCCACCATACCATATTCTGCTGTACTCGACTCTACTCAGCTCTATCCTACTCTGCTCTACTCTACTCTGCTCTGCTCTGCTCTACTCTACTCTACTCTACTCTACTCTACTCTACTCTACTCTACTCTACTCTACTCTACTCTACTCTACTCTACTCTACTCTACTCTGCTCTGCTCTGCTCTGCTCTGCTCTAGGGCTGGTGGAAACGGGGCTTATGTAAACGCCATGAAGTGAAAGGATAAGTTAGAGACTTGTGTCACGTGTGTAACGCAGGTATGTGAGTAATAAGTAGTTTCCAGTTGATCTCTGGTTGTTATTCCTCTGTAACTACACGCACACGCACACACACACACGTCACACGTCAGCAGCCGCTAACGCCACACGGGGATCTGAAACTCTGAAGTGTTCGTTCATAAAACACAACCCGCTGCCACGTTTATAACACACTCTGCTCGGCTCGGCTCGGCTTCAGTGACACCTCCTTCCTCATTCCACACCTCTCTCTTCCCAGAGGATTTGTGCGCGTTCTATTCTCGGAGCGCGTAAACACCCGCCTGCACTAACCCCCAGCAGGCACCGCGGGCCTGGCTCACCTCGCAGCCACTCCATGACTCGCTCCTCGCTCCAGGACGAGATCGGCTCCATGCTGGGGGACCTGCGGGGGGGCCTGCGGGGGGGCCTGCTGGGGGGCCTGCTGGGCGCGCTGGGGCACTGGCCTGGCGTCCTCTCGGAGTTCTACCTCTCTGGGCTGCGGCAGGATCAGGAGGAGCAGGAGGAGCAGGAGGAGCGGGAGGAGGGGACTGCGGAGGACAGGCGCGGCTCCTGGCAGGTACGGGCCCCAGCTCTGCTCAGGTGCTGCTGTAGTGCAGTGACGTAGACCCAGCTGTCCACTCCCTGCCTCCCACAACACCCCTCTCCCTGAGCTCAAGACCAGTAAGTACATTGTTGACACCAGAACTCACACAGCAGTCAATTTGACGGCTTTCCCTTTTTGGAAGTGTTTTTACTCCACTAATGGAATTTCATAGTCTTTATAACTGTGTGACTTGTTCTATGTCAGAGTTTATTTATTTGTTATTATGAAATTATCTTGACCCAGACTAGTCCTAGACTGGTCTTGGACTGGTCCTTGACTGGTCTTGGACAGGTCCTAGACTGGTCTTGGACTGGTCCTTGACTGGTCTTGGACAGGTCCTAGACTGGTCTTGAACTGGTCCTGGACTGTTTCAAAGAAATCTCAGCTTGGAGCAAGTGCTGGTTACCATAGCAACACACTGTTTACTTGCCGAAGTTAGTACTACGTTTTTGCATGTATGAAAGTTAAAATCTGTATGAATTACTTTTAATTTAACAAAATCAACTTTAAGAAAAGTAGTGAACAACTGTTTTCTTGGTTTCCATTTCCGTTTATTGGAAATGGAGCCATGAAAATGACTGCTCTGAGAGTCCGAGTGTTACGGTGTTTTCTTTAGTTTATTAAATAATCCTTCAGTTCATTCACAAGACTCAAAGTGCTGAACAAAACAAACGTTCAGTCATTCAGTGAAAATACGATGCTTCAGTTGTTGCAGAAACAGTTTTTAACCTGGATTTGAACATTAGAGAAGAAGCCTGTCTCACATTTTTAGGAAGACTGTTCTAGATTTTAGCTGCATAAATCTGACACACTGCCTCCACATCTTTAGTCCTGACTCTGGGACCAGCAAGAGGCCAGTCCCTGTGCTCCTCAGAGTTCCAGCAGCAGGAGGCCAGTCCCTGTGCTCCTCAGAGTTCCAGCAGCAGGAGGCCAGTCCCTGTGCTCCTCAGAGTCCCAGCAGCAGGAGGACAGTGCCTGTGCTCCTCAGAGTCCCAGCAGGAGACCAGTCCCTGTGCTCCTCAGAGTCCCAGCAGGAGGCCAGTCCCTGTGCTCCTCAGAGTCCCAGCAGGAGACCAGTCCCTGTGCTCCTCAGAGTCCCAGCAGGAGACCAGTCCCTGTGCTCCTTAGAGTCCCAGCAGGAGACCAGTCTCTGTGCTCTAGGACTCTGAGGAGCTTTCTTTTTGACCAATGACCAAAGTTACTACTACATTATAAAAAAGAAAAATTCCACATCCATAGATCGACCATTTTAAAGATTCTTTCACAAATTCTTTAGCCGTTTATTTGAGGTATTTGTCGGCTGCACACCGGGGACCTTTGCACAAATATTCCAATGTTGTTTTACTGCAAATGGCAAACAAACTCAATCTGCATCTGACATGTGTTTTTGAACAGCACCGGTCCATGTCTCTGACTGTGGTGTGAGTCTGCTGTACATGCACTGACATCAAACCACACTTTAAGTTTTAGGAGCAGTGTGGTCGGTCCCTGTGCTCGTCTGGTGAACTAAAGTATCTCTCTCACTGAAACGCTTTTGTAAAATGTCAAATGTTTTTGTGGGTGGTCTGGACTTAAGCACTAAAAGCAGTGGTCCGTCTGATGTCTGTCCCGGAACATGAGGCATCTTTTAGAAATGACACCTTTTTACTGCAAGAAATGATAAAATATCTGAGTTCACTCTGACTGATTCTCCAACGGGACAAAGCCATTTAGTCTTAAATCTGCTTTATTTTCTCATTCCAAAGGAGACATTTCTTGATTCTTTTTAAAACAAGATCATTTTGCTTCCCATTTGTAAATCCTGTGGTCAGAATGTGCTGAAACCAAGACTTTTGGACTTATCTTTTTGCAGTGTTAATCCACATGTACCTTCCACAAACACATGCTTTTTTTTAAACTGCTTTTAATAAACATATTTAAACTTCTACTTTAGACTATTTTTTTTGAGGAAAGCACACACTGACGCAGAGGAGCAGAGTTTTCCCAGGGCTCCGGGCAGAAGCAGGCACAGACCAGTAGATCCAATAATCCGTCAAGTCCAAAGTCTGAGCTCAAAGGAATTTATTGGAGGGAAAAAAAAAAAACGTAGGATTTGAAATTTTATTGTAGACGGCCCTTTCTCCACCTCTCCAGCCCTGGGTTTAGATTAGCCTGGACCAATCTATCAAGATGTTTACTTTAAAACCTGTACATCATAACTCAAGATTCTATTTATTTGGCATATGCAGTAAAACCACATTGGAATACATGTGCGAGAGTCCCCAGTGTGCAGTAGACATGAACAAAAGACAAGTACGTAACTAAGGCCATGTTTAGACGGAGACGCTGCGATGCAATTTGCAAAAACGACCACGCTCCGTATCCAAAGTGCATAGCGTTTACACGACAACAGAAAACAACGCAGTTCTATAGCGCCCGGCCAGTAGGGGGCAGTGGAACTTTACAACATGACACACACAACCTGCAGTGTATCTGTTCTGTTCCACTCTGGAGGCTGTTTCTCAACGTTTTCACCTGAAACGCTGTCATCGTGTAAACCAGGGGTGTCCAAACTTTTTAGTAAGAGGGACACTTTAGTTCACCAGACTAGTCCAGGGGTCGACATCACGGACTGAAAAACTGTCTTGACTGGCATCGGGATGTTCTGAGCTTTAGGATGATCTATAACAGAGCTGAAGTTTGCTGAATGACACATAGTTACCATCTCACCAGCTACGTTAGCATCATTAACGGAAGTGACACAATCAAAAACCACGTCAGTACAGTAGATGAAGTCAACAACGTACTGGGCTTTAGAACAAGGTCTTTTTCTGCTGAGCTGAAGTTGGATGGATGACATAGTGAGCTTGTGTTTTTGATCTCAAAGGTTAGCGAGGCAGAGGGCCACATAAAGTAAAAAGGTCCAGGAAACAACACTGTGAAATCAATCAACAAGAACAGCGTAGATACAAGTGCGAGATCATTAAAGTGCTTTGTTCAAACTGAGAACAGCTTGTGGAAAGGAAGTTAGCATGTTAGCATATCCAGATAGCCAGCATCTCAGGGAATGATATCGTCTGCCAGGGGGAAGAAGCTGGAACAGGAATTTTCCAGGGACCAGAAGAGTCATTGCTTATTCTGAGAGTCTGTTGTGGACGTTTGATAACATTTGAGGCGACTGTGGCTCAGTTGGTAGAGCATTGGCCTTTGAGCCTGAAGATCGTGGGTTCGAGCCCACCACGACTTTCACCATTGACTCCTACTGTCTGCTGTTGTTGTGTCCTTGGGCAAGACACTTAACCTCTGGGAACAGCAGGTGCCACAGTGAGGCGGCTGCGGCTGTAAACCACCAAACTGTCGTTGTGTCCTTAGGCAAGACACTTCACCCCCATTGCCTAGAATGAGTCTGGTGTGTGTGTGAATGGTTGGTGGTGGTCGGAGGGGCCGATGGCACAGACTGGTTGCCTCGCTTCTGTCAGTGTGCCCCAGGGCAGCTGTGGCTGTAGTAGTAGTTTATCACCACCGTGTTTGGAGTGAAAGAATAAGGACATGTGAAGTGTCTTTGAGTGTCCAGAAAAGCGCTATATAAAACCGATGCGTTATTATTATTTGTATTATTATTATTATTATGCTACTATTTTTTCAAAAGTGATCCTGAAGTTATAAACATGTACATTTTTGTAAAGTATTATCTACTCATCAGGGGAGGGGGGAGTGATTCATGTCGTATGTACAAAGCCAAACTCTTCCCGGTGACAGTGGCGCCCTCTGCTGGTCGTACACAGTCAGTCCATCACTCAGACCTATGTGTTTATACAGGACATGGTGCGGATTCATAATGCATGGCAGCAACACTAATGTACCCAATATGGAAAGGCAAGTTTATTTATATAGCACAGTTCATGCACAAGGGGCGACAGTAGCTCAGTTGGTAGAGCATTGAAGGTCGTGGGTTCAAGCCCACCATAAGACCTACTTCACGACTCCCACTGATGACTGCTGTCGTTGTGTCCTTGGGCAAGACACTTAACCCCACTTTGCCTGAAGCTCCCACTGAAAGATCTCAGCTCCTGTGGACTCACCACCTTCAGGAGGGTCAGTGAGGGGCTGGTGCTCTGTGAACTGGGTGCAGCTCTGGCCACCCCCCCGACCCAGAAATGGATTAAGGGGAAGAAAATGGATGGATGGATGGAGTTCATGCACAAGGCAACTCAAAGGGCTTAACAGAACAAGAAAAGAAACATTGAAATCACACAAAGGTAAAAAAGAATGAAGATACAGTTGTCTGGTTGTATGCACAGAACTGTTTTTTTATTGTTTAAAGGCAAAAACACGGGGAGAAAAAACATAGAACATTAAAGAAGCGTTAAGGAGATGCATGAATGAAAACTGGGGATTGTGTTCTTCTCTGAGTCTGTGGATGGTCCTAAGTCATATTTTGAGATCTGGTCTCTCTGGTCCCTCTATGGTCTCTCCCTGGTCTCTCTCTGGTCTCTCTCTGGTCTCTCTCTGGTCTCTCTCTGGTCTCTCTCTCTGGTCTCTCTCTGTTCTCTCTCTGGTCTCTCTCTGGTCTCTCTCTGTTCTCTCTCTGGTCTATCTCTGGTCTCTCTCTGGTCTCTCTCTGGTCTCTCTCTGTTCTCTCTCTGGTCTATCTCTGGTCTCTCTCTGGTCTCTTTCTGGTCTCTCTCTGTTCTCTCTCTGATCTCTCTCTGGTATCTCTCTCTGTTCTCTCTCTGGTCTCTATCTGGTCTCTCTCTGTTCTCTCTGGTCTCTCTCTGGTCTATCTCTGGTCTCTCTCTCTGTTCTGTCTCTCTGGTCTCTCTCTGTTCTGTCTCTCTGGTCTCTCTCTGGTCTCTCTCTGTTCTGTCTCTCTGGTCTCTCTCTTTCTCTGAAAACCATGTTAGGATCAAACAGTTGTGAGAGAGTGATGCACATGTACTTTATCTTAACCATGTGAGGCCTGATGGTTTCTTCAGAGCGGATGTGGATAAAGAGCGAAGTCAAAGTCAGCTCAGTGAAATCGGTTCAGGAAATCATTTATGAATTAACCTTTTACTTAAAATGTTTTCTTTTTTTATGAAACATTTCTATAAGAAAAGATAGACTTTATTGATCTCACACAGGAGAAATGTACATTTCTTCTTGTGCACAAGATTGTGAAAAAGAAAGAAATGTGCAAACATGTTAAATGCAGGAAATATTATGTACAATAAAAAGTGGTAATCAAGAAACAGTGTCAATAGTAGTGCAGGTTTTTCAGTCATAGTGCAGTGACTTAAAGTGACTTATTGTACAGTCTGACAGCAGTGGGGATAAAGGCCCCGCTCCTTCTTGCACTGAGGGTGTCTCAGTCTTCCACTGAAGGAGCTCCTCAGCTCCTCTACAGTCCTGTGCAGTGGGAGGTGTTGCCCATGATGGAGGTGACTTTGACTAGCACCTCCTCCACAGAGTCCAGGGGCCTCCTGTCCCTCATCTCCTCCACAGAGTCCAGGGGCCTCCTGTCCCTCACCTCCTCCACAGAGTCCAGGGGCCTCCTCTCCCTCATCTCCTCCACAGAGTCCAGGGGCCTCCTGTCCCTCACCTCCTCCACAGAGTCCAGGGGCCTCCTGTCCCTCACCTCCTCCACAGAGTCCAGGGAGCTGCCCAGAGTGGAGCTGGACAGTCCACAAACCCATCGTTGTTTACCTTCTGGGCTTTAGTAACATTATAATATAATTATTATTATCTCACACTGATGAACAATTATACTCTCCTGATTGAATAAGAAAATGTCACAGTGAGTTTCAGCAGTAGTAGCAGCAGCAGCAGCAGCAGTAACAGCAGCAGTAACAGCAGCAGCAGTAGCAGCAGCAGTAGCAGCAGCAGCAGTAGCAGCAGCAGTAGCAGCAGTAGCAGCAGCAGTAGCAGCAGCAGCAGCAGCAGCAGCAGTAGCAGCAGCAGTAACAGCAGCAGCAGTAGCAGCAGCAGCAGCAGCAGTAACAGCAGCAGCAGTAGCAGCAGCAGTAGCAGCAGTAGCAGCAGCAGCAGTAGCAGCAGCAGTAGCAGCAGCAGTAGCAGCAGCAGCAGCAGCAGCAGCAGCAGCAGCAGCAGTAGCAGCAGCAGTAACAGCAGCAGCAGTAGCAGCAGCAGCAGGAGCAGCAGTAGTAGCAGCAGCAGCAGCAGCAGCAGCAGCAGCAGCAGCAGCAGTAGCAGTAGCAGCAGCAGTAACAGCAGCAGCAGTAGCAGCAGCAGTAGCAGCAGTAGTAGCAGCAGCAGCAGTAGCAGCAGCAGTAGCAGCAGCAGTAGCAGCAGCAGTAACAGCAGCAGCAGTAGCAGCAGCAGTAGCAGCAGCAGTAGCAGCAGCAGTAGCAGCAGCAGTAGCAGCAGCAGCAGCAGCAGTAGCAGTAGCAGCAGCAGTAACAGCAGCAGCAGTAGCAGCAGTAGTAGCAGCAGCAGCAGCAGCAGCAGCAGTAGCAGCAGCAGTAACAGCAGCAGCAGTAACAGCAGCAGCAGTAGCAGCAGCAGTAGCAGCAGCAGTAACAGCAGCAGCAGTAGCAGCAGCAGTAGCAGCAGTAACAGCAGCAGTAGCAGCAGCAGAAACAGCAGCAGCAGTAGCAGCAGCAGTAGCAGCAGCAGTAACAGCAGCAGCAGTAGCAGCAGCAGTGTGTTAGCGTTCATATGTAGCTCGATAGCTCCTCAGCCCCTGACCTCTGACCTTTACAGAGTGAACCAGAGATAAGTTCTGGACCTGGTCTCTGCAGACAGAGTTTGTTTAAATACACATGGTATGGTTTTACAGGGACAGTGTACAATAAACATGAGCCAAGAGAAGAGATGCATTACACCTGGTATTAGCAGCATTGCTAATCTACAGCTGTGGTCCTGAGCAGGTTGTTGTAAAACAGAAAAATACAAATAGATGGAAACATGACCTACATTTATCAAAAATCACAAGTTATAATAAAACCACCCAGCTCCCATTCTTCACTCTCTCTCTATACATAGACACACATAGACACACACAGGCAGGCACACACACACACACACACACACACACACACACACACACACACACACACACACACACACACACACACACACACACACACACACACACACACACACACACACACACACACACACACACACACACACACACACACACACACACACACACACACACACACACACACACACACACACACACACACACACACACACACACACACACACACACACACACACACACACACACAGATGCACACACCCTCACATACACACACACGCACGCACACGCACACTAGTCTCTACGTGTTTGTCCATTTAGGCTGCGTTTCTATTAAACAACATGAGGTAGATATTTCAATTTAAAAGTCTGTTAAAGGTTTATCGGATGATTTTCTACTTCCGGGTGGATCATTAAGACTCTTGGCCCTGTCAATCATTCTGCTGATACGTGATCGTCAAATAAGACCAGAGTTTGTATCCTTTTTTAAGTGGAGAGGGCGGTTCTTTCCCAAAATGTGGGGAAATCCTCAGATATATCTCTGAGAATCGGTTGGATTTGTGGCGTGTCTTGATCCGAGGCTGTGGTCAGAGTTGTATAAAACCTCAGCGTCCAGATTGTGCATGACGTCGTTGCAGTACTGCTCTTTGCCCGCAGGGGGAGCGCGCGTCGTCGTGGGTTAAGAAAGAGGCAGAGTAGAGAAGAGCGAGAGGGGGGAGGGAGCGAGAGGGGGGAGGGAGCGAGAGGGGGGAGGGAGAGGGGGGAGGGAGCGAGAGGGGGGAGGGAGCGGAGGGGGGAGTCCAGTAGAGGTCCACCAATCACAGCTCGAGTTGTGGAGCCTGCCTGTACTACACCAGTCACGCCGATCGCTGCTTTGCGCACATCGCGGTGAGATCTGAGGCCAGAGCGTTTCACGAGCCCCAGGTTTTTTCTTTCTTTTTCTTTTATTTCATGTCAGCAGAATCCGCGGTGACTCCACACACGGACACACGGATCTAGTAAGGACCGGAGTCTGCGCTGTCACTGCCGCTTGTTGTCGCTACCTGCGGATCTCTCTCTCTCTCGCTGCGTCTCTGGGATTTCTCAAAGCTGTCAAGTTTACGCACGGTGGGATTACGGCGGTCCTTCCTGTTGGCCGCGTCTGTGAGTCGGAAGTGGAAAGGAGAGTTCAGGCTTCAGCGCACGGGGACTGAGGGCAAGCACCATCACCCCCAGGGCACCAGGGCAAGTTGACAGCATCTCGAAGGGGAGTTTGGAGAGAGGGAACCAGAGGGAGAACCAGAGGGAACCATGCCTCTTGCGCAGATCGCCGAACCATGGCCCACTATGGAACTGGTGCAGCTGGAGACGGAGGTATGCTCTCCCGCTACCCTCCACCTGGTGCAGGGGTCTGCTCTTCCTCTACCCTCTACCCTCCACCTGGTGCAGGGGTCTGCTCTCCCTCTACCCTCTACCCTCCACCTGGTGCAGGGGTATGCTCTCCCTCTACCCTCCACCTGGTGCAGGGGTCTGCTCTCCCTCTACCCTCCACCTGGTGCAGGGGTATGCTCTCCCTCTACCCTCCACCTGGTGCAGGGGTCTGCTCTCCCTCTACCCTCCACCTGGTGCAGGGGTATGCTCTCCCTCTACCCTCCACCTGGTGCAGGGGTATGCTCTCCCTCTACCCTCCACCTGGTGCAGGGGTCTGCTCTCCCTCTACCCTCTACCCTCCACCTGGTGCAGGGGTATGCTCTCCCTCTACCCTCTACCCTCCACCTGGTGCAGGGGTCTGCTCTCCCTCTACCCTCTACCCTCTACCCTCCACCTGGTGCAGGGGTATGCTCTCCCTCTACCCTCTACCCTCTACCCTCCACCTGGTGCAGGGGTATGCTCTCCCTCTACCCTCTACCCTCCACCTGGTGCAGGGGTATGCTCTCCCTCTACCCTCTACCCTCCACCTGGTGCAGGGGTCTGCTCTCCCTCCACCTGGTGCAGGGGTATGCTCTCCCTCTACCCTCTACCCTCCACCTGGTGCAGGGGTATGCTCTCCCTCTACCCTCCACCTGGTGCAGGGGTATGCTCTCCCTCTACCCTCCACCTGGTGCAGGGGTATGCTCTCCCTCTACCCTCTACCCTCCACCTGGTGCAGGGGTATGCTCTCCCTCTACCCTCTCCCTCAGGGATGTCAAACTCAGGCCCGTGTCTGATCAATATAAACTCGCAGCATTGATGGTAATGGACCGTGGCATGTTTTACATCACACATTTTCTCAGATAAACAACTGCGTGTCATTTATTCTAAACATTTGAACAACACATCATTAGAAGTTTATAAAACAATTTCGACTTTATATTTGGTCCAGTTTTGGTGAAATCCACATAATAAACACATCATGACAAATCTAAGCCATAATAAACCTTCACACTGTAGAAAACAGTTATAATGTGTTCTTTTGTCCCTTTTTGACCACAATGAGTTTGCTGTGTGCAGCTGTGTGCACCTGTGTGCTGCTGTGTGCACCTGTGTGCAGCTGTGTGCTGCTGTGTGCACCTGTGTGCAGCTATGTGCACCTGTGTGCACCTGTGTGCAGCTGTGTACGACTGTGTGCATCTGTACACCTCTGTGCTGCTGTTTGCACCTGTGTGCTGCTGTGTGCTGCTGTGTGCACCTGTGTGCAGCTGTGTACGGCTGTGTGCATCTGTACACCTGTGTGCTGCTGTGTGCAGCTGTGTGCGGCTGTGTGCAGCCGTACACCTGTGTGCTGCTGTTTGCACCTGTGTGCTGCTGTGTGCTGTGTGCGGCTGTGTGCAGCTGTACACCTGTGTGCAGCTGTGTGCACCTGTGTGCTGCTGTGTGCACCTGTGTGCTGCTGTGTGCTGTGTGCGGCTGTGTGCAGCTGTGCAGGGCAGGGGAGGAAACCAGGCTAACTAAAGGCAATAATTAACCTGTCTGTGTTTGGAGGTGTTTCACTCGTGATCGTTCGACTGTGAAATGAATCAAAATGAAAGTTTGTGTTTCTTTGAAAGGAGACAGTTTCCCGTGAGACACAAGTGTTAATATGATTAAATATCTTTGGATTATTGGAGATATTGTTTTCAAACCGAGGCAGAAGTAAAGAGCGGAGAACGACAGTCTGCGCTTTACATCTGAATGAATGTTTTCCAACATCTATTTTGACTCAGGAACCACAGCAGAAGGTGTGGGAGGACCGGGAAGGATCAAATCATGTTCAAAATAGTCCACTTCCACTTCTTGCTTTGTTTTGGTCGAGCTTTTTTTACTCAAAATCAAACGAGTACAAACCTCTTTTTAATCTTTTCCCTTTATTTAACATCAGGTGATTTTGGATCATGTCCAAACGCTTTCAAATCCACAGCTGTGTCTTTATGGAGCATGGAAGATCATTGTGAAAAGAAAAGTAATGAAAGTGTAAAGGACAAGAACAGGAACAGATGTATTTGTGTATCGTCTTAAGACAACAGCAGTCGTCTTGCAGGACTTTACAAAGTTGTCATTTCATCAACAACAGATCAGAGAATCAAACAGTTTGAACTCAGGAAATGCAATAATAACAAACACATTTGTCCAGAGGGAGAAATGCCCAGAAATGTCCCGGATCATCCCTGTCCTTAGGCCGTCCCGCTTCAGAGAGGAACAGACAGAGGTGAGAAGGGATCCTCATGGGACAGTGGGCGAATAGCAATGAACAGGCGGCAGCTGAAGTTGTCAGTGGATTGTATTTGTCAAACACTGTTGTCACATGCTGCAGTACTTCAATATCAACGATGCTTCTTTACATTCATAAAATGGCCGCCAAAAATGTGAAAACTGAACACATGCTCTAGCGTCCAACTGCGTGTTGTGACCTGCGCCTCTGACTGGTGCGTCAGAAGAAAGGAAGTCTAAAGTTTGACTAATTATTGCAACAGCAGAAGAAGTAAAAGGAATTTGGACTTTATGGATGTAACATGATAAAGATTTGGATTTGGACTCAGTAACGTCGCAATGGATTCTCTCTGGAGTCTGCCCCGGTCCTGGACTACAGCCTCAGTCCTGGATCTAGAGCCTCAGTCCTGGACCTACAGCCTCAGTCCTGGATCTAGAGCCTCAGTCCTGGATCTAGAGCCTCAGTCCTGGGTGTAGAGCCTCAGTCCTGGATCTAGAGCCTCAGTCCTGGGTGTAGAGCCTCAGTCCTAGATCTAGAGCCTCAGTCCTGGGTGTAGAGCCTCAGTCCTAGATCTAGAGCCTCAGTCCTGGGTGTAGAGCCTCAGTCCTGGGTGTAGAGCCTCAGTCCTGGATCTAGAGCCTCAGTCCTGGGTGTAGAGCCTCAGTCCTAGATCTAGAGCCTCAGTCCTGGGTGTAGAGCCTCAGTCCTAGATCTAGAGCCTCAGTCCTGGGTGTAGAGCCTCAGTCCTAGATCTAGAGCCTCAGTCCTGGGTGTAGAGCCTCAGTCCTGGGTGTAGAGCCTCAGTCCTGGGTGTAGAGCCTCAGTCCTGGGTCTAGAGCCTCAGTCCTGGGTGTAGAGCCTCAGTCCTGGGTGTAGAGCCTCAGTCCTGGATCTAGAGCCTCAGTCCTGGGTGTAGAGCCTCAGTCCTGGATCTAGAGCCTCAGTCCTCTCTCACTATGGGTCTCCCTGATGCAGCAGTGTCTAAGGACAGTAATGATCAGGGACATTTGTTGAGATCGTTGTTATCGTTGCGTTTCGTGTGTTTGAAGTGTTTGCTTCAACAACTGCAGCTGGTGGTGCTGGTGGCGGGGCATCAGGGGGTTGTGAGTGCACATGCCATTGATCCATTACTCTTGCCGTACAGTAGATGGTTGATGCGTTCTGTCCGTAGGGGTCACCGCACTGTTGAAAGCCGTAGATTGCGCACAAAAAAAGGTCCCCAGTGTATTTATTTCTATAATGATTTTTCTGATGTAGTTCAACGATTCTGCACTGATGTGACTGAGTCTAATAATGGAATGGGGATGTAGTAGTAGTAGTAGTAGTAGTAGTAGTCTTAATCGGGGACACTCAATTCTAAGGAAGTACTATAAATATTTCTCAAAAGGGTCTTGATGTTGGGCATTTTTTGAAAAAATAAAAGAAATTGCTGTGTTTCATTTGGGTGGCCTGCAGGGGGCGCTTATCTGTACTCCTTTATATGAGACCACAGTTGGAACACGGAACAAACTCTTGTCTTTTTCTGTGTTTGTGCGGTTGTTACAAGCGTACACCGCACAAAAAGATGGCATTTTGACAGCTCTTCTTCTACTCTATCTCCATGTATAAACCCGGCAGACTGCACCGCCAGGATACGTCACGTCCTGTCCTGGTCCTATCTTTGTGTCAAATTGCCCCACCACAGTGATTAAAAAAAACGTTGCAATATATAATGTTTTAGCTCAATTTTGATTGTGTTTTTGAGACGTGACCAGCTCTGTGTCAAACCCTTACCCTAATTTAGGAGTTTTTTTCTTCAACTTTTAATCACTGTGGTGGGTCATTTTGACTCGAGGACGGCACAAGGGAAATCTCAAAAGCAGAAGCCAGAAGCCCCCTCTCATTGGCTGTTCTGTTTTTTGTTATTAGTGTATTATTAATGGCCTCTGAGCACCCGCCAAACTCTGCACAATCAAACTTCCTCACCCGCCACAGCTGCAAAAAGATGATTCTGTACTCTATGATCCGAGACCAGGTTTGAGAGGATCCACAGCTCAGACCCTCACTCTCTTTACTGTGTTTATTGATCAGTGTTCAGCAAATTATGTTAAAAACGTTATACATCATGTGTTACTTGTTACTGTTGTTTCAAACTAATGTGTTACGCTACAATATCACTGTCTCTGAATTACCACGACTGCATTACTTTAACTTTTCAATACTTTACACAAGCTAAATGTAGCTTATGATGCTAACGTGCGGTTGATGGAGTTTTGGGTTTGGACTATAAAAGAGGGAGTCTGTCTATCTTTAAAATGTACTATTGTCCACGTAGTAAGTAATATTTTCTTTTTTATATAGCGCATTTCTGCAGACCAAGATCACCCAAAGTGCTTTACAATGTTCAGAAGTGCTGCTTCTGCTTCAGCCTCAGCCGTCGTCTTCTACCCGAAAGAAACGCACTTCTAGCCAAGTACTATTGGAGCAGATGTTTTTTCTTCTGCTGATCTCGTGGTGGCACAGAAACAAAAATACGATTCATTTTTGGGTCAAAGTACAATGGAATTTTAGACTTTTTGTACCGAGTAAAATATTTCCTAGTTTTTTTAACATAACCGCGTTACAGCAACAAGCAACACATTACAGCAGGGTTTCCGACATTCATCAATCGGAGAGCTACTTTTATACAACAGAAGAGGCAGAGAGCTACTGGTTTTTACAGGCGTGATAAAAATCTAACAGTTGGTAGAGCATTGGCCTTTGAGCCTGAAGGTTGTAAGTTCGAGCCCACCTCAAGACTTTCTCCATCGACTCCCACTGATGTCTGCAGTCGTTGTGTCCTTGGGCAAGACACTTAACCTCTGGGAACACCAGCCACAGTGGGGCGGCTGCGGCTGTAAAGTGCCAAAATGCCGTTGTGTCCTTAGGCAAGACACTTCACCCCCATTGCCTAGAATGAGTCTGGTGTGTGTGTGAATGGTTGGCACAGACTGGTTGCCTCGCTTCTGTCAGTGTGCCCCAGGGCAGCTGTGGCTACAGTAGTAGTTTATCACCACCGTGTTTGGAGAGAAAGAATAATGACATGTCTTTGTTCAAAAAAGCATGATATAAAACCGATTTATTATTATAATTATATTTACAACAACACGTAGAGAATAGGGTGTGACGATATATCGATATATCCCGATACTTTCTCCCGCGATTCGATTATCGATATGCATTTGCCAAGTATCGATATCGAATTTTTATTTTATTTTTACATACAAAAAAAATGGTATAAATACTTAATATATGGCTACATTACGCATCTCCATTCCATTTATCATGAAATAAAGTGTATTTTTTCTTTTATTTATGCCATAAATTGGCATATTGTATATTTCTGACAAATATATCGATAATCGTTATCGTGTTATCGTGATATCGTTATCGTGAGCTTTGTATTGTATCGTATCTTAGGTTCCCACCCCTAATAGAGAACACATGTAAAATATTCTATAAACCATATGACCCCATATTTATACTTATAATAGAGATGTTATTACTCAATGTATTCATTCAATATCATTTGTTAAATTGTTTTTTCTTTTACACACAAATATCAAGGCTCATATGAAAAACAATGCTTTGTTCATTCGTCTTAGTAATCTATCCTTGAACATGTATTCATGTGACTATATTTTCCTTTAACCATAAAAACAACAGAAAAGAATCTAAAATAAACACAGAAAAAAAGGGGGAAAAATTTAGCTTATAACTAGGGTGTATTAAAATAGTTTTGTAAGATACTTCTTGTTCAGTGAATGCACATCTCTCATTCTTTTGACCATTTGTTGAATTCTAAATCCTTTGGCGAGCTACCGGAAAGGGGTCTGGCGAGCTACTGGCTGGAGGCCCCTGCATGACAGTAATTACAGTCTCCCCCGACTCCGGCACCGACTGCAGCCGTGTTAAAATCTACTCGAAGCACAAAGAAAACGTTGGGAGAAGTGTGTGTTTGTGTGTTTGTTGTTGATGTGTGTTCTGTGTGGTTCTAATGGAATGGAAGTCCGCCCATAATAAGGATGTTTTAATAAGTTTTCTTTCAGGGGGAAATGGTTTGTTTTCAGTTTTATTGCCGCTCTGTGGAGCTGTGGGCACCAGCTGGAGACCTCGGCGTTTCATAAACCTTTTGAGTCGGTGCTGAAGCCAAATAATGTGTACACAGAAGATCTACAGCGATTCAGATAGAAATTAGGTTTAAAGTGTTTGTCTGGAGTTTGTCAGAAAAAAGAGAGAGAGGTACAGGATTTGATTGGTCTACACCTATGTTTCCATAACACATTTAAATGTTAATCAGAGAACACATTATACATATACATTATTAATACACATTATTAATTATTAATACACATGCACAGAGGTTTTCAGAATTTTATTCAATATTATTTTTTTTATTTTTTTTATGCACAAAAAAAGCAATTGCGGCAAACCCGGAAGTAGCTATTTATATTATTTGAACATTATAGGACACATCGGCAGAGGATCTGATTATGGATATAGGTTCAGTATATAAATGATTATGGATATAGGTTCAGTATATAAATGATTATGGATTATGTATGTATTTATATTATGTATATAAATGATTAAGTTAGATATAAGTTCAGTATATAAATGGGTAACTCAGCGCGGAAGTTCAGAATTCTTTGTTCAGTTTTCATGTTGTTCCAGAGCCTATAAAGGCTTGATTCTAAGGCTCCTCCAAAACAAACAACTGAGCATGAGGCCGATGATTGACAGCCCTTGGCATCACTTGATTGGCTAACGTTGACGGCATCGTGGATTCTCAGCTATAGCGAAGAGAGGGGAGGGCAGGACTTACCCGTAATATTAGAATTCCTAAAATGACTTATTTTATATCAACATTCAAGCCCAGGAGGTCCATTTAAAACAATTCTTAACATTTGTAATTCATTTGGAGTTCCAGACTATTACTTTAAGCAAACAAAAAACTAAAAAGGCGCTGTGATATAGGAAGTACAGCACAATTCATAGATAAGGAATCTCAAAGTGCCCCAGTTGTAGCACGGCTAAACAGGCTTCTTCTCTGACAAATCCAGGTTAAAAGCAGCTCTGTCTCACATTTCCAGGACGACTGTTCCAAATTTTAGCTGCATGAATCTGAAATGCAGCCTCCCCAGGTTTAGTTCTGACTCTGGGACCAGCAGTAGTAAAATATGCAAACATAAATACATACCATCTTCGATCCCTCTCATGTTATCTAAGGCCATAAAGTCCCTAATTATAATTTTGAATTGATTTTGGGATCAGATACGTTTCATTCTGACGTAAAACTCTGGTGTGATATAAAACACATCCCTCTCGGTTCGTCTGTTCTTTCGTCCAATCACGATCTGACACGTGTCACAAACTCGGGAACTCTGGGACCATTGACGCAGCTCGAGTCCCAGCCCGAGTTATGGAGTTGACCCATTTCTCTGAGTGGGAGTGGGCATCGGTCCTGAAATGACATGATGTAATTGCAGCACATGACAGTGTCTGGTCCAGAAGTGCTGTATCTGTTCTCTCCACGAGGATGTCCACCTCTTTTTACATCACACGGTGCGCAGGCTTTGCCCTTATAAGTTCTAGAATTGATTATTATAATGCCCTTTATTTTGGAGTTTCCCAGTCCTGTCTTAATCATCTATAGTTGGTGCAAAATGCTGCAGCACGTTTTTTAACAAACACCCCCAGACGTCAGCACATCACCCCAGTCCTTTTCTCTTTACATTGGCTTCCAGTTTCTTTTAGAGTGGATTTTAAAATTCTTCTTTGTTTTTAAAGCCCTCAATGGTCTCGCACTTTCAAACATATCCGAACTTCTAACAGTTCGTGACTCGGGCAGATCATTGAGGTCATCAAATCAGCTCGTACTGGAAGTGCCCAGGACTCGGTCCAAACATTGGGGTGATCGAGCCTTTTCAGTTCTGGACCAAACCTCTAGAACAAGCTGGCTCCTGATCTATGCACCATCACTGACTTTGGCCTTTTCTAAGACATATTTATTCAGACTGGCTTTTAATACTCAGTAGCACAGCGGCACTTTAGTTTCTCATGGTTTTATCTGACTGTTTTATTGTTTGGTTGTATGAATGTTTTTAAACAGATTTTATGTGATTTTACTGTAAAGCACATTGGTCGCCTTGTGTGTTGTAAAGGGCTCTATAAATAAATTTGATTGATATATGTAGGTCTTATTCGCCCCCCGCTGTCTGAAGGAAAGGGTTCTGCAGGGTTTTCCTTCCTGCTGCTGTCAGACTGTTCAATGAGAACTGCTGAGCCTGTACATGTCATCTCTTCTGTAAATAGTAAATACTGCAATCATCATTTCAGAATGTCCACTGAGTGTCACGTTATCTACTCATTAGCCTGCCAGACATGTATGTAATTTATGAGGCGGTGAGAGAGACGGGGAGAGAGACGGGGAGGTCTCTGTGTAGACTCTGTGGTCTTTGTGTGGTCTCTGTGTGGTCTCTGTGTGGTCTCTGTGTGGTCTGTGTGGTCTCTGTGTAGACTCTGTGGTCTCTGTGAACTCTGTGGTCTCTGTGTGGACTCTGTGTGGACTCTGTAGTCTCTGTGCTGTAGAGGAGGATGAGGCCTCTCCTGCAGGGCATCCTGGGTAACTCCAGACACACTACTGCATGACACTATGGCCGCTCAGAGAACCGTAACCGTAGCAACAGGTCTCTATCTCTGTGCTGCAGAACAGAACATTTTAAGAGATCCTTTGTTCCTTCTGCTGTCAGACTGTACAACAGGTCTGTGTGAGTTAAACCTGGGCGTTATTGTGTGTTACTTGGAGACCTTCAGATGGATGTGTTTGCTTGGATTGATGTGTTTTTGCATTTCTCTTACAGGGATCAGTAAAGAATCTTCATAACTTCAAACACATCCTACTGTGTTAATACTCCTTACTGAGAGCTTTAGTTCAGTTCTAAGTCACTCACAGATGATTTAAGGGGATTGTTTCCTCAAATCATGTATAATTGTGTTATGTTCACGATGTTGATTTGTGAAATAGAGAAATGCTTTGTGTAGATTCCAAAGATCATTTCTGTTTTCTGCTTTCTCTTTTGAACAGAATGGACAGAGCACCACAGAGGACGGAGTGGACGCAGAGGACAAGGTACACACTCACACATGGGCTTTGACAACTGGAAGTGATAATCTACTTCTGTAGCCACAGCTGCCCTGGGGCACACTGACAGAACCCCCCCCTCTCCGCCAAACACACACACACACACACACACACACACACACACACACACACACGACTCATTCTAATGTGCATGAAGTGTCTTGCCTAAGGACAATACAGCACTTTACAGCCGCACTCACCCCAGAGGTTACCAGAGGTCTCCCCTCACAGTTCTAACCAGGCTCTGTCCTACTTAGCTTCATAGGTCTTATGGAAGCTGTCTTTCGCGTGCAAGTATGGATACAAACGGCTGATGCAGACTTGAGATGGCTTTGTTTAGCTCCATATAATTCAAGTCAATGTATTTGTTTATTGCTCTAAATCACAGCCGCAGACGTCTTTGAGGACTTCACAAAGTTGTGGATTTTTAAACAGATCAGAGAATCAAACTCAATCAACACAGGAAATGCAATATTAGCAAACACATTGGAGCCGCTGGTCCACAGAGATGAATGGTTGTGAGAGCTTCACTGTAAACCCGGGCAAGTAAAGTATACTTGAAAAAACCTTGGAAATAAATTGCACATTAACGTCACTTGAATTCCTCGAGTACATTCTGAACTTGATGCTGCAGTGAACTCAGTTGATTGCAATATAGTTTGACTATGATTTCAGCTTATACATATATCAGAAAGGTCCTGCTCATGGGATTCGAACTCAGAAACTTCTTGCCGAGAAGCGAGGGTGCTACTCACTCACACTGCTTTCAAGAAAACCTAACATTTAGAAAACTGTACATGTTTAAAATATCAAAAGTGCGGCTTACTTGAACAGAGACAGCTCAAGTCAAAGAAGGCCCTGAGTGATATCGCCAAGCTTTAGCTAAACTATCAATAAACGAGTAATATATACAATACATCCATCCATCCATCCATCCATCTTCTTCCCCTTAATCCATTTCTGGGTCGGGGGGGTGGCAGTCAGAGCTGCACCCAATTCACTTAGCACCAGCCCCTCACTGATCCTCTGCAGGTGGTGAGTCCACAGGAGGACGGCTGCTCTGTCAGTGACAATACAGCCTTGATTTTTCAGCGGGGGGTTATACAATATATAAGAGATATACAATACAGTACATACATAATCTATACATACTGGGAAAAGTCCATTTAAAATAACTTTGATATCTGAAGTTAGATTGAAGTTAGAGTTTACACTGTGGGACTACAGATTGAAATGAAGTAATCCATTTTATATAGTGCTTTCACAGACCAGAGTTGTGCACATTTATTTCACTGCACACAGAGGTCTCCATAAGGACCTGCACAGCCACGGGGAGAACATGCAAACTCCACACAGAAAGGTCTGGAGGCGGAACCGAGCCCAGGACCTTCTCGCTGTGAGGCACAAATGCTGACCACTGCGTCATTTTGTCCCAAGATTCTCATTTATTTCCGCGTCTCCAACCGCAATGTAGCAACCCGCTCCGAGCTCCGAGCGCACGCACTGACGGCAGCTGCCTCGCCTTCGCAGCAGCAGGAGCGCGTTTACACCAGAGGGAGGACAGGCAGGGGGGGGTCTGGGCTGTGTGGGGGTCTGTGCTGGGGGGGGGTCTCTCTCTAGAGCACAGAGGGAGAGTTTCACAGCCTGTAGACCATGTCAGAGCAGGGGAAGGGATCATAAGCAAGACATTATCTAGTAGGAGTAGGAATTGGCAAATAATGTGACGATATGATAGTGTTAGTAATTATGGCCGAGTTCCTGGGTTCCAATCCCGGTCGGAATCCTGTTCTCCCAGTGTCTGCGTAGGTTTCCTCCGGGTGCTCCGGTTTCCCCTACCGCTAAAAACATGTACAACAGGTCTGACATGTGGCGACCCTGCTCCCATCTCTGTGTGGAGTGAGACAAATGCCTACAATTGTAAAGCACTTTGTGACTCTGGTCTGTGAAAGGCGCTATATAAAAAAATATTACTTACAAACTTACTTACTAATATTGCGATTCTTAACGTATTGCGATACAGAAAGTATTGCGATTCGATTTAGCGATATATTGCGATTCATGTCAGTCATTTTTTTCACAGGCCTTAAAAAAATTGAGGAATCAACTCAAAAATCACATTTGTTTTGATCGCTACATGAGCTGAGGCAAAAAGCACTGAAGAGGATGGAGCAAAAACCTTCTCCTTGAACATTCAGGACACTGGACCTAGATATTAGTCTCTGCACACTCTGAACAGGGGAAACAGAAGAGAGGTAGAAATGTTTGAGCAGACGACTCTCACATGAATAGTGGGCTTCCTGTAATAACCCGACCACAATATCCAGGCTGCCTCCTCACACTTCCACCTCACACTGCAATCTCAGAAGATTCTTTTCATGTCTGGTTTTTAAGCCATTTCTCCTTTACTTCAAAACTGACTGCAGGAGAACATGGACCAGTGGACTCACTCCTTCACTGTATCCAACAGATCAGTGAGTGGATGCAAAACAACTTCCTTCAGCTAAACGCAGACAAAACTGAAATGATTGTCTTTGGTCCCCAGAAACAAAGAGAGAGCGTCATCTGTCACCTCCAGTCTCTCTCCCTAAAACCTTCAAACAAGGTCAGAAATCTAGGGGTAATACTGGACTCAGACTTAAATTTTAATAGCCACATCAAATCAGTAACATCAGCAGCTTTTTACCATCTAAAAAACATTGCCAGGATCAAAAACATAGTGTCTAAAGCAGACCTGGAGATTCTTATCCATGCATTTGTCTCCAGTAGGTTAGACTACTGCAATGGCCTGCTCACAGGTCTGTCCAAACAGGCTGTAAAACAGCTGCAGTACATTCAAAATGCAGCAGCTTGAGTCCTGACTAGAACCAGGAAGTACGACCACATTAGTCCAGTTCTCAGGTCTCTGCACTGGCTTCCTGTGGCTCAGAGAATAGACTTTAAAACAGCTCTGCTTGTGTACAAGTCTCTCCATGGCCTCGCACCAAACTATATTAGTGACATGTTAGTCCCATATGAACCAGCCCGGACTCTGAGGAGCACAGGGACTGGACTCCTGTTAGTGCCCAGAGTCAGAACTAAACATGGGGAGGCTGCTTTTCAGATTCATGCTGCTAAAATCTGGAACAGTCTTCCTGAAGATGTGAGACAGGCCTCCTCTCTGACAATGTTTAAAACCAAGTTAAAAACAGTTCTGTTTAGCTGTGCATACAACTGAGGGATTTTATATTTTTATCTTTCTTTTTAATGTTCTGTAATAATTTATGATTTTAATGCTTTCTTGTTTTGTTCAGCACTTTGAATTGCCTTGTGTATGAAATTGTGCTATGTAAATAAACTTGCCTTGCCTTGCCTTGCCAAAACTATTACAAAAGGAGGTTAGCATTGGTTAGCTCGATTCCTCGCCTCTCCAGTTAAAGCCGATGACATTATTTCATACTGTTGACTTTAATGGAGTCATGTACAAGGGTCTAAGGCAGGTCTCCCACTGGGTTTTTTAAGAGTTTTTCTTTGTCGATGCAGGAGGGTCTTGTTGGACAGTTAGTGTCCAACAGAAAGGATTGGTGATGATCAGGACACTTTAGCATTCTACAACATGTATGGACATTTTCTTCTGTGTGTGCTTTATATTCTCCATGTGTTTTGGCTGTTGATTCTCTGACCTGTGTTGGTGATTTCAATGGTTTTGTTAAGTCCTCTGAGATGACTTCTGTTGTGACCTAGGGCTATACAAGAATAAATTGTTTTGTATTGTATGTCCAAACTCCGGCCCAGGGGCCAATTGCGGCCCTCAGTGTCATTGTATGTGGCCCTCTGCCTTGCTAACCCTAAGTAGTCTTTGAGATAGTAAACACAAGTTCACAGTGTCGTCCATCCAACTTCAGCTCAGCCAAATAGACATGTCGTAACTCGTTCTAAAGCCCAGTACGTCTGGAATTCAGTGGTCAACTTGTGAGGCTGGTTAGATGGTAAACATGTGTCATTCAGCCAACTTCAGCTCCGTTATAGATCATTTCAAAGCTCAGAACATCCTGATGCCAGCTTTTCAGCCCCTGGACTAGTCTGGTGAACTCAAGTGGCCCTCTTACTGAAATGTTTGGACACCCCTGGGTCATTTATGCACTTTATCAACATTTATGGACATTGGTCTCTGCCCCTTATGGACCAACGGCTCTGTGTTTTTTATCATTGCATTTCTTGTGTTTCAAGTGTTTGATTCCCTCTGCTGGCGTATCAACACCTTTGTAAAGTCCTCCGAGAAAACTACTGTTGTGATTTTTTAGGGCTATTCAAAAATACATTGAATTTAATTGACTTTAAAATCCCACCTATGAAAATCCTCTGGAGCCCGAGACTAGAGACGGGGCTGGACCTGAGACCAGATCCAGACCGGAGCAGCGCTTTGACCTTTTGATAGTGATCAGGGATGAGACTCAGGTCTGCATCTGGTTCTCAGTTGCAGCTGGATAGACTGTCAGTAGTGATGGAAGTAGTTTATTTAAAAATTGTCAATATTCCTACCTCTCTTCTGTTTCACCCGTTCAGAGTGAGTAAAAATTTAAGACTAATATCTAGAGCAGGGCCTTTCACCTTACATAACAGACGAGCTACACACAACCACAGAGAAGCACCATCCATTCAGGTCTGCTTCGGCCAGTCGCCATGGGAACTGTATTCTTCTCACATCGCTAAGCACTTGTCAGATACCCATTCATACATCACTTTTTCCGCTCTGTTACTATGGGAGCTCTGTCATTAATGAGCTGCTACTGATCACGGCTCCAACACACGTTAACAACAGTGTCGTTGAAAATCTGCCCTATCCAGGCGGCGAGAAAAAGTGGAAGAAGTCAGTTTTGTTAAAGGAAACAAAGGAAACAAACCCCTCTAGGTCAAACCGGTTTTCAAAGGACCGTGTGGCTGAAGGATTTCATTCCAAACAAGCAGGAGCACACCAGACTCCACCCGTTTCAAGTGAGTCCAGTCTGAACCTGGAGACTTGAGGAAATGGGAGGAGTACTGGGTCTACAGCCTCAGTCCTGGGTTCCCTGCCTCGGTCTGGGTCTACAGCCTCAGTCCTGGGTCTACAGCCTCCGTCCTGGGTCTACAGCCTCCGTCCTGGGTCTACAGCCTCGGTCCTGGGTCTACAGCCTCGGTCCTGGGTCTACAGCCTCGGTCCTGGGTCTACAGCCTCGGTCCTGGGTCTAATGTGTTTGTTAGTATTGCATTTTCCGTGTTCAAACTTTTTGATTCTCGGATCTGTTGTTGAGAAGTCGACAACTGTGTAATGTCCTCGGAGTCGGCTTCTGTAGTGATTTCGGGCGATGCACAAATACATTGAACTGAGTGTGGTGTGCTCCTGCTTGGTTGGACTGAAGCCCTGCAGCCACTCGTTGCTTGTTCTGCTCCTTCTCTCTCGCGGTGACATTGGTTTGTGAAGCAACGCTGTGTGTTTTACAAAGAGGAAGCACTGGAGACGAGAACTGTTGCCATAGTTTCACAGTGCTGCAGCGCACGGCCGTCCTCCGGCTCTTCTGCTCGTCCTCTTCATTATGAAGATGAAGATGGTTAATGTGGCGACGGCCTCTCACATTCTGATGGATCAGAGACTCAGATTATGGCTTTAAACAATAATAAAACACTGATTCTGTAAACAACATGGTCCTGTGAAGGATTTAATTTACAATGCAAATGTTTTTAATGCAAACATTAGAGTTGAGTGATATTTAGTCATATTGAACCATCTGCAGCTGATGTTATTGTTTTACATGAGAAATGGCAAATATCTGTCAATTGTTTTGGCTGGAACCTCTTGGCAGAGGTATGCACTCTGAAGCCTAGTGTATACTTGCGCGGCGTGGCTTACGTTAGCGGTTGCGGTGGACCTACGTAAGCACAATTGATGTTATACTGGCGCGTTTCCCTTACGGAGTTTTGAGGAGAATGTTGTAATCCCACAACAAACCACATGAGGGCGATCACACAGGAGCGGTCCCATTTACGCTGCTACTTTGTCCTCTTCAGAACAACAATAGCAAATGAGCTCATTACATGTGTTTCTACTGCAGGTTTATGTGATAGTTTTATGGATTCATTATTTTATAAGTCATTTCAACTGTGATGCTGTGAATAAAGACACAGTTCTTGTTGGATACATAGTTATTATTAAATAGTTTTCAGCACAAACAGCAAAACAATAATAGTGGTAAATATCTGAGACAAACATGAACGATTTACGAGTGCAGGAGGAAAGCAACAAACGCAGCTACGATTCAAACAAGACAGGAACAGTGCAAAACAAACGACTGCACAGTTTATAAGTTATATATATGTTAGATAGTCCACAGTCTCCTGTATATCAGGCTCTGAGCCCAAACTGCTTTTCCTTCGAAGCACAAAGCTCTCTGCTCCATAGTGCCTCGTCCATGCTCCTGCTGCAGCCGCTCCGTGCTTCCTTCCAATACACACACACGGACCAATCACAGCGGAGATTCCTTGCGGCGACCCTTACGTAGTTAGAAAATTTCGATGCTGCGCGGCAGGCATCGTAAGGGCCTTGCGGTGACCAACGCGTTGCGCAAGTGACGTCACGTCACCTCCGTAAGCTCCGCGCCGCGCGAGTATAAACTAGGCTTGAGAATAGCAGAGCGCAGACCTCTGTCATGTTTGTGCTACAGCCAAAATGTCCACACAGTGGGACTAAGATCTTTCCTCAATTAGTTTTGGAAAATTTATACTTTTTATTTAGTTTTTAATTATAAGAAACTTAATTTCTCCTTATAATATTTACAATATATACACAAAAAGCCACACAAACATGATTAACAACAAATCATAACCAAACCTCCGTCTGAAATCAACAAGTGAAGGGTCACGTCTGCATCGGTCAAAACCAAAAGTCTTCAAACTCAGGAGTTGGGCCTAAATAAAGAACAGGAACAGTTTGATGTTCGACTGAACTCATCTGAGTTTAAAGGTTTCAAAGTGACTCATCGAAGCTCGAGAGTCCACTTCAAACTCCACAGGACTTTCACAGGAGCCTCAGAGGTATGACCTCGGTCAGAGCTGCCAGTGTGTTCAGAACTGCGTCATTGCCATGGTGATGAGACATTTATTAACAGATTACTTCCTGAGTGGGCGTGGTCAGCTGATGTAACTTCCTGGGTGGGCGTGGTCAACCAGCTTAACCTGACATGGCTCCCTCATCTCATTTAATGGGCCTTCCTCCTGTTTATTCAATGTAACAGCAGTTATCTCAGGTCTTTACAAAACTGTTGATTCGCCATAACAGATCAGAGAATCAAACCGTTCAAACTCAGGAAATGCAATGATTAAAAAAACACGCCATTGGTCCATAAGAGGCAGAGACCACTGTTCATGAATGTTGTTGAATGACGAATGCCCTGGATCATCACCACTGTCTTTAGGCCCTCATGAGGCCCTAGTGCACGTCAATAATAGGGTTAGAGGCCCTAGTGCACGTCAACAATAGGATTAGCGGCCCTAGTGCACGTCAACAATAGGATTAGAGGCCCTAGTGCACGTCAACAATAGGATTAGAGGCCCTAGTGTGCATCAACAATAGGATTAGCGGCCCTAGTGCACGTCAACAATAGGATTAGAGGCCCTAGTGCACGTCAACAATAGGATTAGAGGCCCTAGTGTGCATCAACAATAGGATTAGAGGCCCTAGTGTACGTCAATAATAGGGTTAGAGGCCCTAGTGTACGTCAATAATAGGATTAGAGGCCCTAGTGTACATCAATAATAGGGTTAGAGGCCCTAGTGCACGTCAATAATAGGGTTAGAGGCCCTAGTGCACGTCAACAATAGGATTAGAGGCCCTAGTGTGCATCAACAATAGGATTAGAGGCCCTAGTGCACGTCAACAATAGGATTAGAGGCCCTAGTGTGCATCAACAATAGGATTAGAGGCCCTAGTGCACGTCAACAATAGGATTAGAGGCCCTAGTGTGCATCAACAATAGGATTAGAGGCCCTAGTGTACGTCAACAATAGGATTAGAGGCCCTAGTGTGATTATTTATGGTCCAAATAAACAGATAAACTTGCTTGTGCTCTCATGAATCTGAGCAAAGGTCTGTGTTATCTCTGACATGGAGCGCTGCAGTGACCCCCTGTGGTCATTCCTGTGCACTACATCAGGAGGCTTTGTGTCTGACCAGGACAGAAGGCTCCAAAAAGTGATGTTCCAGTGAAAGTGGAGGAGTTGAAGTCTCAGGTATTGCTCCCAGTGACAGACAGAGTTAGAGGGAGAGTGATGCAGCCGCTGTGTGGGACTGTGAAGAGGGAGCAGCGTCTGCAGTCAGAGCTGTGTCAGACTGCTTTCACATTTTTCTTTACAAAGCAGTTTTGAACGATTCTTCTCCGAGATAACCTTTGATACTGTGCGTGTTCCGCTCAGTCCCTTCCCTCTTGTCGGTTAGCTCATGAGTGTGTCCAAATTCAGGAAGTCAGCAAACGTCAGCTCCTCTGCACTTCTCACTCTGCTCAGCGCTGTCACTGCTGCTGTCACTGCTGCGGCTGCTGCTGCTGCTGCTGCTGCTAGTGGTGGTGGTGGAGCAGGACCCACCCAGCAGTGACATGTGGCGCCTGCTTTTTCGGACCACGACTCCCATGACCGCAGAGGTAAGTGGAGGCGCTCTGTGTGGGGTGTGTTGGGTGTGTGCTCTATGGGGGGTGGGGGTTCCTGGTTTGGGGTCAGATACTGAGTGTATCAAAAACAAATGTTGTCGTTGCTGAAGCAGGAGGCTCTAAGGACAGTTAATAACATTTATAAACCTCTATTAACATTTATAGACGGTGGTCTCTGCCCTTTATGGACCAATGGCTCTATGTGTGCTTGTATCATTGCATTTCCTGTGAACTGTTTGATTTTCTGATGTGTGTTGGTGAATTCAACGGTTTTGTGAGGTTCTCCGAGATAACTACTGTTGTGATTGAGGGATGTACAAAAATGCATAGAATTGAATTGAAATACATGTGTTTAAGATTTAACAAACTACATGATTAGCCTTAACCAGTGATTGATTGATTGAGATTGATCTGGGCCCCACACTTTGGTCCAGACCTGGATCCAGACCAGGGCCCAGACCAGGACCAGTATCCTGTCCCAGGCAAAGACCCCGACTAGGACCCGGACTCAGAACAGGACCTGGAGCAACAAGAGAAACTTTCTACAGAATTTTTGCTGTTGTTGTGTTTTAATCAACTTGACATCAGCTTCAAGTCTCTGGATCGCTGACTTTATTTTATTTTTTTGGTATTTGGTTTTCATTGTGTCACAACATTCAAATATGTCTCTAATGTATCTGGTGAAAACATTTGTCTTCAGTTAACTTCAGTTCTGTCATATGTGAATGAACCAGGAAGTACCATCACATTAGTCCTGGTCTCAGGTCTCTGCATTGGCTTATGTGGTTCAGAAAATAGACTTGAAAGTACTTTGGTGCAAGGCCATGAGAGACATCTGTTAGTGCCATATGAACCAACTCGGCCTCCTGCCTTGCTTCTGTCAGTCTGTCCTTGGGCAGCTGTGGCCACAGTAAAACCCATGCATTATTATTATTCATGTTTTTCTGTTCTGTGGTAAATCCAATGCAGCGTGTGTTTTGTGTGTTGTCAGGACGATGCGGAGATCAAGGAGATCAACATCACAAATGTGGTGAAGGAGGGATCGGAGAAAGCGGAGGCGTCGCACTTCGAGCTGCTCAAGGTCCTGGGACAGGGCTCCTTCGGAAAGGTACAACTGTTCAATCATCAGCCCATGGAGCAGTGTCGCCCAACCTTCATCAGCCCATGGAGCAGTGTCCCCCAACCTTCATCAGCCCATAGAGCAGTGTCCCCCAACCTTCATCAGCCCATAGAGCAGTGTCCCCCAACCTTCATCAGCCCATAGAGCAGTGTCCCCCAACCTTCATCAGCCCATAGAGCAGTGTCCCCCAACCTTCATCAGCCCATAGAGCAGTGTCCCCCAACCTTCATCAGCCCATAGAGCAGTGTCCCCCAACCTTCATCAGCCCATAGAGCAGTGTCCCCCAACCTTCATCAGCCCATAGAGCAGTGTCCCCCAACCTTCATCAGCCCATAGAGCAGTGTCCCCAACCTTCATCAGCCCATAGAGCAGTGTCCCCCAACCTTCATCAGCCCATAGAGCAGTGTCCCCCAACCTTCATCAGCCCATAGAGCAGTGTCTCCCAACCTTCATCAGCCCATAGAGCAGTGTCCCCCAACCTTCATCAGCCCATAGAGCAGTGTCCCCCAACCTTCATCAGCCCGTAGAGCAGCCGCATCACTATATAAGCGAAAGAAGTAGAACAAAGTCAGTGCTTATTGTCTGGAAATTATGGTACATGTGTTCGTCTCCCAACATCTCAGAGTTGAAGATGTTTTCAGTAAAGAAAACATCAGCACATCTTTCCCTTGAGCTGTACCTTCTCTCCTGCCACGGGAATTGGCAAAAATGCGACAGTCGATCGTATTGAGATACTTGGTCCACAATTTAATATTAAAGCAAATCTTGGCATATTGCGATATAGCAAGTATCGTGATTCAATTCTGTGATATAGACATTACAAACATGGAGGAAAATAACTTACATAATTCACATACAACAAACTAGAGCCACAACCATAGTCTGTAAATATTAACGGAGGTAGTCACGCTTATGTCCTACTTTGAAACTAATGTGCCATCACTTTTTTCGTCTGTGGGGCTTTTTCAAAATGGCCGCGGGGTCAGGAAAACCGTTTGCGCATGCGTTAGCCGGCACTAGCCCCATTTATTTAACGAGTGCATTCTAAAGCCCACAGAGACTGAACTAAACTGGTCCAAAAAAGATACTCCCCTCATTATTAACCAACATCTGGATCGTAGCGTTGGGCCAAGAGCGTCTTTGAACCATCCTGTAAAGCCGTGTTCGAGAGGAAAGAAGATGCCATACAAAAGCTTAGGATAATTCTCTTTCCGGGTACACCCCCACCGGTTAGGTGTGGTATTGCAGCATGTCAGTGCACATGCTCAAGGACCTTCTTGAGCCGGGGCCCGCCCCCACTGGTCACAACAAACAGACATCTTAGAGGAACCTAAACCTTGGATGGAAATTACAAAGTAAACTCAGAGAAAACACAAATGCCAAACATGATTTAATTGAAAATGGCAAAACTATTCTCTACTGTTTAGTTTATAGGGGAGAACTAGGTTTCCCTAGTTTTCCCCAAGGGTTCTCACTTTTTCCCACTGGGTTTTTTAAGAGTTGTTCCTTGTCGATGCAGGAGGGTCTTGTTGGACAGTTAGTGTCCAACAGAAAGGATTGGTGATGATCAGGACACTTTAGCATTCTACAACATGTATGGACATTTTCTTCTGTGTGTGCTTTATATTCTTCATGTGTTTTAACTGTTGATTCTCTGACCTGTGTTGGTGATTTCAATGGTTTTGTTAAGTCCTCTGAGATGACTTCTGTTGTGACCTAGGGCTATACAAGAATAAATTGTATTGTATTGCATAAATTTAATTGTGTGCCCAAAATATGGCGACACTGAACAGAATACATGTTTCCCACTACTACATATGACAGAATGCACTCTGTGTGGAAAACTCGGTGTGGTTTTGCGCAGAGGAAGAAGACCACAGGTTACGCTGCGACACCTGTTGGTTTGAGTTGTTTGGACCAGAGTCATTTACACATGACACATAGTGTTTACAGCTTCTGTGGTGTGCACATGTGTCGTTCTTATCTGTTGTTGTGTTTTCCTTTTCAGGTGTTTTTAGTTCGGAAGGTGACGCCTCCCGATGACAACCAGCTCTACGCCATGAAGGTCCTGAAGAAGGCTACGCTCAAAGGTACGAGGCCCTGCAGAGAACTGTACCGGCTCTGTGTCTTTAGAAACATGGAACTAGATCCATAAGTTCATCTAAAAATACATATATAAAAAGATACCTGTGGAGAGTTTCAATTGAAATGACAATTGTGATGCGATCTGGGAAAACCCATCACATGGTGAAATTTGACCAACTTAAAGCTGCTTTAAATCTCTTTTCAAATCTGTTTTCCTTTTTTTCATAGCATGTCTGTAACAAAAGTTATTATCTGAAGTCAGCGAATTCACATGGTTTTATGAAACAGAATTCTGAAAAAAACCGGTTTAAAGACATTCTAAATAGAATCACCACAATCAAATATAACATGTTACATTTGGATTACTCTGTTATGACACACACTTATTTTAGTCACTATGTTGTAAAAGATAAACAAATGTTACTTTGGCACCAATGAAACACACAACACTCATTAAATAGATGAAAATCAAGAATGATTTCAAAATTCAATTAATTGAATTTGTTTTACAAAACTTTTCTAACTCTTCTTTTTTAGTTGCTTTCTCTTTATAAGTTACTGAACATTATACATGTATTAGACAATATAGACAGTATTAGACAATTAGGTACCCGAGCTTTAATTCCGTGAGCGCATAGGAGACACGGGGAGACCTGCAACAAGCTGGGGATTGTCTGAACGCGTGTCAAGGGTTCTGTCCGCGTATGGTTCTGTCTATGGTCCTTTCCAACTGTCTATGATCCGCGTGTATGGGTTCTGTTCGCGTGTCTATGATCTGCGTATGGTTCTATCCGTGTGTGTCTATGGTCCTGTTCACGTGTTTATGGTCCTGTTCGCGTGTCTGTGGTCCTGTTCACGTGTCTATGGTCCTGTTCACGTGTTTATGGTCCTGTTCGCGTGTCTGTGGTCCTGTTCACGTGTTTATGGTCCTTTTCACGTGTTTATGGTCCTGTTCGCGTGTCTGTGGTCCTGTTCACGTGTTTATGGTCCTGTTCGCGTGTCTGTGGTCCTGTTCACGTGTTTATGGTCCTGTTCGCGTGTCTGCGGTCCTGTTCACATGTTTATGGTCCTGTTCGCGTGTCTGCGGTCCTGTTCACATGTTTATGGTCCTGTTCGCGTGTCTGTGGTCCTGTTCACGTGTTTATGGTCCTGTTCGCGTGTCTGTGGTCCTGTTCACGTGTTTATGGTCCTGTTCGCGTGTCTGTGGTCCTGTTCACGTGTTTATGGTCCTGTTCGCGTGTCTGCGGTCCTGTTCACATGTTTATGGTCCTGTTCGCGTGTCTGCGGTCCTGTTCACATGTTTATGGTCCTGTTCGCGTGTCTGTGGTCCTGTTCACGTGTTTATGGTCCTGTCTATGGTCCTGTTCGGTTTATCAAAACATATCACCATATTTAATGTATAAAACTAGTGAATTTCACCTAGATATTTTCATAAATTAAAGACAAAACGTTATATAATAATTATTTAATGAAAACACAATTTAGCCAAAAAAATGACACTCGACCTATTTTGTCGCACCTCTTCTTTAAACTCTCCTCACAACAGTCTCTAAACATATTCTGTGTTGCACCATTCTGCACCATGTGTTCTTGTATATTGTATATAGTAATTGTAATAATTGTATTTAATCCCTGTACCTTTTATAAGTGTTGCTGATTTTTATTATGCTTTACTCTATTCTTTACCCCTTCTCTGACTGTTGCAACGAGCCAAAGCAATTTCCTAGTCTGACTTCCTGTTACTTAAATAACAATAAAAATGATTCTGATTCTAAACTCGACTAAGACCAAGTGTGTGTCCGTGTCATCACCAAAATTAAGCAAATAAAGCCAATTGTACATTTTATTTGCTTTACTCAGCAATAGTGACCTCTTACATTAAATGATAACACATTTCTAAATGCATGGAAACCGAGATGAGGCTCACACACTTCAGACTCATTTATGATTCAAAGACATCAGATTGTTGTGTTTTGTCGGCATTTAAAACTCCTAATAAACTGTAAAGCAGTTTCATTAGTAACCACTCAGCTAGTTATAAAACACTTGTTATCTATATGGTTTCTTTGAAGACAGGAAGTCGTCTGGACTTCCACCATCTGTCATCATGAGAGCTCTCAGCTTTTTCTCTCTACTCTTTTAATATTAATAAACTAATTATTTTTAAGTCAATGGAAACATTAGAGGTACTTTAGAGGTAAATACTGCACATACTATAAGACTGAGAAGTATATTGTGAACTTCTATCATTAAAGTATCTATCTAAAAAGTGACCCCTAAAACTTTTAAAAACTAAATCAGGCACGTCCAAACTCAGGCCCGCAGGCCAATCACGGCCCCTGTGTGATGTCACGTGGCCCGCTTCATCGGCTTGGTCGGGACCATCCTCTCTGCTCTGGTCTGGATCAGTGTAAAACCACGAACATTGGACTAAAACATAAAACAAAAGTTTCAGAGATCCTGAGGACCTGCTGCTGTTTCCAGAGTGTTCATGGTTAATTACTGCTGCGCTAAAATTGTAAAGCGCTTTGTGTGACCTCAGTTTGTGAAATGTGCTACATAAATAAACATGACTGACCTACTTTCTTGTGTTTAGTGAGGGACAGAGTGAGGACCAAGATGGAGCGGGACATTCTGGCGGACGTCAACCATCCCTTCGTGGTCAAGCTCCATTATGGTGTGTCTTACTGCTAATTTACACATCATGCGTTACAGCACGTACGTCTCCCATTGAATACACATGTGAAACATGATTTTTATAGTGACCCTTGGCTTTAGATCGCATCTACACACACACAGCACTTGTATCTAAACATTAGTAGTAGGACTGGCAGGTTTTACAGTGATTCTGGACATTGTTTTTTTTTTCATCCATAAAGTCTTGTGTCTGGCCAAACCAGCGCACAAAGACCATGAAGACAAACACACATGTGATTTGTGTTGCTCTTGTTGTAGAATTATATACCCCATGAAGGAGAAAACTCAAAGGTCCTTTGTCTGATCAAAAGCGTAAGTTTATTGTTAACGCACGTGCGGAGAGCCAGCACATACACTCAAAAAGCAGCATGTACCAGCTCTGAGCGCCGGGCCCCGAGTTTCCTGTATTACAAGACACACACGAAAGCCAGTCCCGCCCACAACAGATGGGAGGGGGCCACCGGTGCAGGAGGCGCATAGGGATGCAAACAGGCTGCAGGATGTAGAAAGTGCACACATACAGACCGATACATATGCAAGAGGTGAAAGGGGGCAAGAGTGATCGCCATTGTCTGTAGGTGTCGGGGGGGGCCCGGCTCCTTCCTGGCAGCAGGGACATATGGATAGAAGCAGGCATACAGATTCAAGATACGAAAGACACAAGGGTGTGACAGACAGCAGGGGCCCTCACAAAGCTCAGCATGGCGTCAGAAGGTCGTCTCTGCCTTGATAAAAGGCCTTTGACGTCCGTGTATTAGCTGCGGCTGGTTTTATGTAATTACTCCAAAAACTGTCACCACACTCCCCTCTTTTGATAATTCAAAACCATTTTTGCATTAATCAGTTAAATACCAGAGGCATCGTAATCACACCACCTTCAAGCTTGAAACACTTAAATTATTGCTGTCCAAAGTGGACAAGAAAAGAAACATGCTTGTCAATAAAAGAAAGAGCACATTATAATAACACAATGGATCCGGACAGCGATAAGAGAAGACAATATTAACATAATAAACACGGTCAGCACGGAAAGTAGTGTCAGTGTGGCCAGCATAACAGTCCAAGGGCCCATGCCGGTCTTAGCCGGGCTACGTTCGGTAGTCTTTTCCGCGGGAATACTCACGAGCAGTGCCGTCTCGCAGTCAGTGGCACCGCTCCCTATGAGCGTGTGTGGAGCGTTAGTGGTCATGGCGATGTTTGGTCTTGGAGCGGCAAGACTCTAATTGCGTTGAAGGCTTGGCCTCAGCACTCGGTTGGGCAGAGTGCTCGGGGTTTGGGGTGTGGAGACCATGGCTTGAGCACGCTCCAGATCGGCCAGGCCCAAAGCTCGTTTGATGGGAGACCTCATGACAGCACGCTTCACCATGTGCCTCATCAGGAACTGTAGAGCAGCCCTCATCTCCACCTCCTCCGGACACACGGGAGACGAGACACCAGGGGGCACTCCAGCAGAGCTCAAATCTGCATTATGGCCAGAGGGAGCAAGCTCTGGAGAAATCTTTGGAATGGGCAGCAGCTCTGCATACTTGCTGCAGCTGAGCAGAGCGCTCAGGGCCTTCATGGCTCCCAAGCCTTGGGATCCGGGGGCTGGGGAGTTGGGCAGAAGGGGGGTCGCCTCGGGAACGCTGGGATTCTCTGGGTGTTGTTGTTGGCCTGCTTCACCGACGGTGGCCGCACGCCGGCCGACTTCTTCAGCGTAGGGAGCCGCGGATGGGCCTGGTCCGTCCGCGCCCTCGGTGTCCTCGTCTATGGCCCTCAGTGGCAGCACCGCACGACAGTGGTTGGCGTGGATCCAAGTTGTCCTCTCCGCGACCTTAACGGCAGTGTCCGTCACCAGGAGGACGAGGAATGGGCCGAGCCAGCGCTTGGACCGCCAGTGCTTTCGTCTCGTTTCCTTCACCAGGACCCAGTCGCCTGCGCAGCCTGTGGCAGGGCGCTCCTGACCTGGGCAGAAATAGAGGACAAAAGTGCATTAATTTCCTTACAATAGGACAGCATGTCGTCATCACACAAAGAGGTGCTTGGCAGATCTCTGTTCGGGGGTCCCGCGCCCAAGTTGGGTGGTCTGGCACAGAGGATTTCGAATGGGACTCTCATGCGCATGTACATGAGGGCTAGCGGCAGAGCTTTGAGTGCCATTCTCTCGCTCGCACGCGCCTCGGCTCCAGGGGGCGTAACTGCAGTGTTTACGTATATCAATGCCCAGAAATTCACCCACTTCCTCAATGACTTTTGCTACAAAGTGACTGCCATCGTCACTAGAGATTTTCCCTCGGGACACCCCATCGTGGCACAATTTCTGTGAGCAGAGCTTTCACCACCGCGTTGCTCGTGGCGTGTATGCCTGCAAATATTCAGTCCATTTGGACCAGAGATCCGCCAGACCCAGACAGTATTACTTACCTTGGCATGGTGTGAGTTCAACAAAGTCCCTTTGGACATGTTGAAATGGGCGCAGGGGCGGAGGATGAGCAGCCTGTTGGATACTTTTGGGACTTACCTGGGTTGTGCGCGAGGCATATAGCGCATGTTTGGCTGAATCTCTGTGCAAATGCCGTAAACCCCTTTGTATACCAATTTTGTGTGATTAAATCACACATCATCCCTCCTTTTGAGGCATGGTCTCGACCATGTGCTAAAATTGCAAACTGTCTGAGGAAATGCCGTGGTAGGCACGGTTTGCTGTCTGGTCCCAGCCACACACACCATGCCGTCGTTGAGCCCCATTCCCCTCCCACAGCAGCGTCTCTGCTGGAGTAGAAAATATCAACGTCTTGAGTGAGGTAGTGTGTGTGTGTGTGTAGAGGTGCGTATGCCGCTGCCTTGTCCGCGCGCCGATTCCCTGCAGAGATGGGATCAGTGGCATTAGTGTGGGCCTGGCATTTGCATACAGCGATCTCTAAGGGCAACATTACAGCTTTCAGCAGACGTTCAACCTGTGTGGAATTAAGAATTGGTTTACCATCAGATTTCATAAAATTGCGGTGTTTCCACAGTGCTTCCCAGTCGTGCACCACAGAGAAACCATAACGCGTATCACAGAATATGTTAACAGCTTTGCCCGCTGCCAGCTCACAAGCCCCGGTGGGCGCGACCAGTTCAGCGGTTTGTGCTGAATGATGGTGGGGCAAACTACCAGAGTCTATAGTATCAAAATCAGAACACACAGCATAGCCAACTCGGTTCTTCCCAGTGTTGTCACGTGACGCGGCTCCGTCTGTATAAAAAAAAATCAAGTCAGGATTAGTCAGAGGCACCTCTTTCAGGTCTGGCCTGGGAGTGCATCTCTGTTCTATTGTGGCGATACAGCAGTGTGCCTCCCCTTCCTCTGGCGTGGGCAGCAGCGAGGAGGGGTTCAGCTGTGTGCATCTTTTCACCGTAGTTCAAAGAGCACCGTGTTGTACCCCAGCCAACGAGCCGCAGAAAGGCGAGAGGCCCTCTGCTCTAACAGGATCAGGGAAACAGCATGGGGCACAAGCAAAGTTAGTTCAGTGTATCCCACAAGGTCACGTGATGCTAGGGCCGTTTTCTCAGCGGCAGCCACAGCCCGCAGGCAGCGAGGCAACCCTGCTGCCACGGGATCGAGTTTTGCTGAGAAGTAAGCAGTGGGTCTCAGTGGCCCTCCGTGAGACTGCAAAAGTACCGACTGTTCCGTTCATCTCCAGTTGCTTTCTCCCGGATCGTCCTCAATTCATATTGTGGGCTTTGGTGCCAAGGTGGAGGCTCATTTCCTCATGATCCATACTACTGTCATCCCTGAAGCAGGGGTAGTTTATCTCTCATCTGAAAAAGAAATATTAGAACACAAAAAACACAAAAAATGCCCACTTTCGCTTGTCAATCTTTTTTCCAATTGGGCAAAACATAACTGCATTGACAGACTGTGTGTGGCATCAGGGCGGAGGCTGTAGCCAAATACAGAACAACAAAATGTATGTTTCTAATTTTATACTCTCCTAAATGTGAGTTTACAAACCAAAGTTGTCCTCCGCCCAATGACCGCTCACTGCGGTTGGACCGAATCACTGTCAGGGCAAACAGCAGAGGGAGGAACTCCCAATATCTTCAGCGAGGTATTTCATCTCCGAGTACTTTCCGCAGAGTACTTTTCTCAGAGTACTCATCCCAGAGTACTCTCACTTTTACACCTGTTCAATAAAGGGTGTTATCTTTGAATCTCTAGTACTTACACCGTATGCTGTTGACAAAAAAGAATTATTCCATGATCACATTAAAACATTACAGACACATTTGTTATTCCATGATTCCGTTCAGCACTCCTCATTTCACTCCACACTCACATCACAGTCATATCACAGTCACATCACAGGCCGATTCCCCACGTTAGTATTGGTCCAGAGTTTGTTAAGGTCAACGTAGTGTACTTTGACATGACACACAAACATATAACATACACAAAACATATAACACACAAACATGTAACACACACAGAAGGCCTGTAATTTTAACTTTGTTATATTTTCCATGTCCAATTACAATTGTCTCATTAGCTCTTCTTATTGTTGCAACTTTCAGAGCTTGCAGAGCTTTAAAAGAGTTTTCCTAAAAAAAAGAAATCCATTTCCAACTTTAGTGTTTACCACGTGGTCTGTAGTCGGGCTTATCACAAATGGTGTCCCCTATATCTCTAATGAGCTCTTGTCACCTAAAAAATGTTTATGTTCCTTATTTTTTCTTTTTCAATAAAGCCAGGTCGGATTCATTAAAAATGTAAATTAGTCTCAAACTTTAATACTTCACCTTTGTTTCACGATAAAAATGTTTTTGTTACTCATTAAGTCGCACAAATACCATAGCGTGGTGCCTATCCCAATAAACATACTCCGTTTGTAGCCTATCTTTACTACACTGAAGCCATGAATTTTCAAACTCTAAGTTATTGTCTGGGAACGACCGGAGAGAGCAGCATAGGTCGTTCGCGTGGTTGACCTCCAAATTTTGTGCGGGCGTAACTCTATTCACTTGTTGTGGCTAATAGCTTAGCAATCTCAGGGTTTGGTGTCAATTTCCAGTGGTAGTTAACTTTTGGGACCGGTGCCTCCTTGTGCATGCCGGTGAAACATGGAGCATTTGCTAGGTCACTAGCGTGTACCACCCGTAGGCCGCTTGGTGTTGGGAGCAGATTTAAGTTGAGTCTGCACATAAGGTCTCGGCCTAGTAGATTAACCGGGCACAATGGGGAATATAGAAAAGAATGTTTAAGCTGGTTGCCCTGAGAATCAAAACACGTTAGCGGTGACGTAAATTGCTCTTTGGTCGTCTCTCCCCCCCCCCCCCGCTGCTAATGAGAATGTGAAGCGGCCACTCATTTTAGGGGAGACAGAAAGGCTGTCACTTTTAGCACAGAATTTGTTGCCCCGGAGTCATCCAGAATTTTAACTTGTACACCACAGATTGTTAGCGTATATTACGGGCATGAATTATCTCTAAAAAGTGCCAATTGCAATTTGTTGTTGTTCAACTTACATGAGCGGTCGCTTTGGTGACGAATGTGAACCCAGGTTTGGTCAGTCGCTCGTGTTTCCTCCGTGCCCGCCTCTGCCGTCCTCTGGCCCCGTGTGAGCTTGAGAGGCCCTCTGCCTTTAACGCCTCCTCCGGTAACAGTCCTTCGACCCATGTCGAGCACACAGTCTTTCCGCCGGGCTGTGGAAGTTTTTCAAAGTCCGCAGGAGGCCCAGGTAGCCCAAAGCGTTAGCATGTGGTCCATGAGGGTTGGTGAATAACCCAAACGTGCCGGTCACAATGGCTTCTTCTGTTTGCGGTGCGGGAACAACTTTCAAGGGGGTTTCCGCGGGTGCGTTTGGTATATCACGCTGCCCCCTCCGTGGAGAACAGTCACGGGATTTGGAGCAGTTTCTCTCTGTGCTCCAGAGCAGTTGTCGGTGTCTCACATATTTGCTTCCCCCGCTTCTTCTGTGGTTTCCTGAGCGTGTGTCTGTTTCCGCCTCTTCTTCTTCTGCGGTTTGGGCCCACTTCTCGCGGGGTCTCAGCTGGTGCGGGCGCCGCCTGTGGTTGGGGCGTGGGGCTGGTGCTTTGAGGCAGAGGACAGAGCGCGGAGGAAAGGCGCCGACAGACCTGGATAAGGGAGAGGGAAAAGAGACAACAGTAGTCTGCTTCATTTTTTAAAAACCCAACGCCTTGTTTGGGTGCAAAAAGGGCGGTAGGGTGGGGGTGTGGGGGTGTGGGGGATGTGTGTGTGTGTGTCCGCCTGTGTGTTCTCCGCTTCGGTGAAAGGCGGAGGAGCTATTGTTTTTACATATTTCTTTCTCTAACCTCTTTTGCCGTGATATTCTTAAAACCAAGTATATTTTTTCTTCCCTTCTTCTAAATTATCACGCAAGATGCGTAATGGCCTGCACCATAGGCAAGCACTCCATAGCTTGCATCTTCTAGATTGATTTTTACCCATTTTCTCGTACGAACAATGGGCCTAACCCGCTTAGTCTCTCCCTGCTCCTACCCACTTTGGGGCGCTCCGTTCCCCCCCCCCGCTGGTTCAACCAGCGAGCGCGCGTTCTTGAAAACGGAGCGGTTCTGGCTGAAGACACTTGGAGAAATTATCAGGGTCGCCTACAGGACGATACTAACGCGCAGCCGCTAGCTTCAATCTAGAACAAAAGCCCCCAAAAAATCCCGCACACAGACTATGCTGTGGCAATGAATGAAATACCCCAAAAATACATAAATAAACAAATCCCCGTGTCGACTTAAGGGCTGCCCTGGGCTCGTTACGCAGATGAAAAGACAAGACTCACCAGATTAGGTTCTTTTTGGTCTTGTGTGGCAAAAGGATTCCTTCCGTGCGCGGGACGAGCGCGCCCTCCTTTGTCTCCAAAAAGGAACAGAGGCTGGTGATCCAGGTCGGCCAAACAAAGCCGCTCGTCCCGCCGAAAGTATCCCATGCCAAGACATGTCAGCAACGCCAAATTGTTGTAGAATTATATACCCCATGAAGGAGAAAACTCAAAGGTCCTTTGTCTGATCAAAAGCGTAAGTTTATTGTTAACGCACGTGCGGAGAGCCAGCACATACACTCAAAAAGCAGCATGTACCAGCTCTGAGCGCCGGGCCCCGAGTTTCCTGTATTACAAGACACACACGAAAGCCAGTCCCGCCCACAACAGATGGGAGGGGGCCACCGGTGCAGGAGGCGCATAGGGATGCAAACAGACTGCAGGATGTAGAGAGTGCACACATACAGACCGATACATATGCAAGAGGTGAAAGGGGGCAAGAGTGATCGCCATTGTCTGTAGGTGTCGGGGGGGGCCCGGCTCCTTCCTGGCAGCAGGGACATATGGATAGAAGCAGGCATACAGATTCAAGATACGAAAGACACAAGGGTGTGACAGACAGCAGGGGCCCTCACAAAGCTCAGCATGGCGTCAGAAGGTCGTCTCTGCCTTGATAAAAGGCCTTTGACGTCCGTGTATTAGCTGCGGCTGGTTTTATGTAATTACTCCAAAAACTGTCACCACACTCTACATCAGTCCTCTGGCCCGTACTGTCCTCTACACTGCTCCATAGACCCAAATAATGTTACGTGCACATGCGCGCAGACAACGCGTACGCGCTGTTAACGCCTACTGTGGAAATTCCCCGTTAGTTTCAAATATTCTGGAAATGTCTAAATGTATTTTCTGTTGTGGTGTATTTGTTTCTCATGTCGCGTGTGTTTAGCTTTTCAGACCGAGGGAAAGTTGTACCTGATCCTGGACTTTCTCAGAGGAGGAGATCTCTTCACTCGACTCTCCAAAGAGGTCGGCCATTCTGAATGATTACGACATGATTTAAATGTCTTCTCACACTTAGATACACTGTACGAACATGACGTGTATCTACCACACGACTATATTCACCATCACCGATGTGTCGGCCTGTGTGATTGTGCGTCCATGACCACGCACTGTGCATGTGCTGAACCGGGGGGCGTGGCCTTAGACTGAGCTCATGAGCAAAGTTTTACTTCATGTCACTCTGGCTCCGATTTACTTACTTTGAAAAATCAGCAAATGGGAGCAAAAAATGCTATTAAATCAGAAAATAATAAGAATTCTGTACTAGCCCAGTCCTGGTCCAGTCCTGGCCCGTCCTGGCCTAGCCCTGGCTCACAGCAGCTATACTTGATGGCAGTGCATCATTCTTCGCGGTTTTAAAACATTGATTGAAATGTGTGTCTTCCTCACTCACAAACCGGACTCTGGAGCGGCTCATATCTCTGTGAATACTACTCTTTTTTTTTTTGTACCCTTTAAAACAGAGCTTAGACTTTCATCTGTCGCGTAGTCCCCATGTCTCTGCTCTTTCTCAAACGCCAACCGCTGAGCAAATGGGCAGAGACAAAAGACTGGGTTCACAGGCTCCGGGACCAGTACTATTTATGCCTCTCGGTTGGTGACCCACGTACAGACGGCTACTATTGATGCTATTTCTCCTCTGCTGATCTTGCAGTGGCATAGTATAAAAACAAAACTCTTAACTCAATGTAACGCACGTTACTGACCTTTTGTACTGCCTAAATATTACCCAGGTTTTTTTCTGTAAGTCCTTACATTACTAAGTTACAGAAGAAAATATGGAAAAAATATTGCAGTAATTACATTACTTTTGTAATACATTACTAGCAACACTGATCTTAATTCACATGATCTGGCCGTGAAAAAAAAAAAAAAATTATAAACTTTTTATATAGATTTTGATGTGTGACTACAGTCTGTAATGTGTGATTTCCTCGCAGTGGAAGAACCAAAGGATCTTCTGGTTCCTGAGGTTCCTGAGGTTCCTGAGGTTCCTGAGGTCCCTGAGGTCCCTGAGTTCCTCTGTGCTTGTGTCTCCTGCAGGTGATGTTCACGGAGGAGGACGTGAAGTTCTATCTGGCAGAGCTGGCTCTGGGGCTGGACCATCTGCACAAGCTCGGCATCATCTACCGAGACCTCAAACCAGAGAAGTATGTCCCCACACCAGGGAGGACACCATGTGAGAGTGTAGCCTCTGACACCAGGGAGGACACCATGTGAGAGTGTATCATCAGATACCAGGGAGGACACCAGGTGTAGCTTCAGACACCAGGGAGGACACCATGTGAGAGTGTAGCTTCAGACACCAGGGAGGACACCATGTGTCGCCTCTTACACCAGGGAGGACACCATGTGTAGCCTCTGACACCAGGGAGGACACCATGTGTAGCCTCTTACACCAGGGAGGACACCATGTGAGAGTGTAGCCTCTGACACCAGGGAGGACACCATGTGAGAGTGTAGCCTCAGACACCAGGGGGGACACCATGTGAGAGTGTAGCTTCAGACACCAGGGAGGACACCATGTGTCGCCTCAGACACCAGGGAGGACACCATGTGTCGCCTCAGACACCAGGGAGGACACCATGTGTAGCCTCTGACACCAGGGAGGACACCATGTGGCGCCTCAGACACCAGGGAGGACACCATGTGTCGCCTCAGACACCAGGGAGGACACCATGTGTCGCCTCAGTGCAGTTCCTCAGCAGGGGGGCGGAGGTGTGGATGACAAACACAACCGTTCAGGAAGAGAGAGGTGGAGCTGTTGTTAAAGTTTAAAGAAATGTAGTTCAAATGTTCAAATGTTTGTAGGAGAAAAATGTTGAAGCTGAAATCTCAATCCAGAGCCACGAAGGCCGCGCAGCCTTTCCTCGCCGGGCAGGTGGAAGCGGCGCTCATTGGTGCTCGTGGGTCTAGTTTGGTCTAGTTTAGTTCAGTTTAGTTTAGTTTGGTTCAGTCTTTATTTGAAAAGCACAGTGCACAGCAACATTAAGATCTAAGACAGAAATGTTCTGCACCAGATTTTAGCAGCACAGCTAATCTCATCTGCAGTTGCCGGGTACATGACAAAACACACTAACATACAATCATACTACAGCAAAAAGGAACGTACAATGGCATGTAAGGAACCCTCCAACACACAAACACACACCCGTAGACACACACACGTAGGCACACACACTCACACACACACGCAGATACATACACACACACACACACACACACCTGTACAACCACACCTCACACATCACATCGTCTCATTCACATCAAACCAAATCACCATAAGATCCAAACAGACAATTTCTAGTTCATAACAACATATTCTCACACTATATTTTTTATATTTACATGTGACACACACGTTATAGTGTCGGGCGCACACTTCACCAGAGTAAACTCAGAGAAAACACACAAGTGAAACAGATAATCATTTAATTCAAAATCACAGTACTATACTAAATATTGCGATACTGAACAGAATCTATTTTTCCCACTAAAGATTTCAGACATCTGACAATGAACAGTTTTTGGTACTTTGTGAGCACTTTTGTGAAGTAGAAATGTCATGAAGCTTCATAAAACATGCTTTTGAATCTTTTCTATCTTGTTTGCACCATGAGCCAAAGCAAACTCCCTGTGACTGGTAACGAAACGATTCTGATGTTGGATGTTTGTTTCTGTTGCAGTATTCTGTTGGATGAAGAAGGCCATATCAAACTCACAGGTACCATGTGACCCCTGTGCACTATCTGATCACGCCCCATGGTCATAAAGCACTGACCTTTAGTCCTGCAGGTTTATGAGACGGAAGTATTTAGTGACACATTTATCAGGACAATGTAGAAATATCCACATCAGCCGAACGTTTCCAAACTAATATTTCTAAATTAATATTCTCTGATACAAGAGACATGAGAGACTGTGTGTTTTCCAGACTTTGGATTGTGTAAAGAGGCCATCGATCATGAGAAGAAAGCCTACTCCTTCTGCGGGACTGTGGAGTACATGGCTCCAGAGGTGGTGAACCGGCAGGGACACACGCACAGCGCCGACTGGTGGTCGTACGGTGTACTGATGGTGAGAGAAACCTCCGCAGGGGTTTTACACCTGTACACATGGGCACAGGAAATACACTTTTTAGAAAACATTCACCAGGATTTAGTCAGAAAGTTGAACATCAGATTTTTAAAAATATATATATCATTATTATTTGGAAGCATCAAGCTTGGAAGTGACAAATTGCATTATATAAAAAGCAATCAATATTTACATAAGATTCATACCAATATTAGCCTGGCCTTATCCATCCGTACACTCCGCTCAATCATCATTTCCTGCATGTAACGTCTGGGTCTGGTCCCAGTGTTAGCGAATACAATCGGTTGAATTCCATCCGACCAATCAGAGAGCGCGGCAGGCGGGTGTTGTAGTTTAACTGAACGCAACACATTTTTTGACAAAGAACTTGAACGTGAATTAGTCCACTTTACGTGTCATGAACGGCAGACAATTTGTTTTCCATTGAAAACTGAGAGAAATCTGTTTTCTCTTTTGTAACGCAACCGTCAAACTAAAAAATTCCACAGTTTCCACCGTCTGTGAACGCACCCCGACTCCTTGTTGCGGTGCGCCGCCGTAAAGCCTAGTGTATACTTGCGCGGCGCGGGTTACGTTAGCGGTTGCGGTGGACCTTCGTAAGCACAATTTGTGTTATACTCCTTGCGGCGTTTTTAAGAGAATTTTGTAATCCCACAACCAACCACACGATGGCGATCTCACAGGAGTTGCTTGAGATACCAAAGCGGTCTCATTTACGCTGCTATTTTCTCCTCTTCAGAACAAAATCATGAACAAACGAGCTGAGATCATTACATGTGTTTCTACTGTAGGTTTATGTGATAGTTCTATGGACTCAGTATTTCTTAACTCATTTAACTGTGATGTTGTGAATAAAGACACAGTTCTCGTTGGAAACATAGTTATTATTAAATTGTATTCAGCACAAACGGCAAAACAATAAGTGGTAAATATCCGAGGCAAACATGAACTACAGTATTTACAACTGCAGGAGGAATGCAACAGACGCTACGATTCAAACAAAGACAGGAACAGTGCAAAAGAATATGTCACAGAACTCTAGTCCACAGTCTCCGCGTATATATCAGGCTCTGAACCCAAACTGCTTTTCCTTTGTTTCCTTCGAAGCGTGAAGCAGTCTGCCTCGTCCATTGTCCCTGCTGCAGCCGCTTCATGCTTCCGCCCAAAACACACACAGGGACCAATCACAGCGGAGATTCCTTGCGGCGACCCTTACGTAGTTAGAAAATGTCGATGCTGCGCGGCAGGCAACGTAAGGGCCTTGCAGTGACTAACGCGTTGCGCAAGTGACGTCATAATAATAATAATAATAATAATCTTTATTTGTATAGCACTTTTAAAAACAATGTTTACAAAGCGCTGCACAGTCAGCATGATAAACAATAAAATCAGTCATAATGCAAGGTCAAAATAATTAGATACAGAAACACAAAGCAAACAGTGCAAAACACAAAAGAGACTCAACAAAGACAAAGCAGACAATTAAATACAGCATGTGAAGTTTAAAACTAACAGTTAAAAGCTGTTTGATAAAAGTGGGTTTTAAGAAGAGATTTAAAAGAGGATACTGATGGAGCCTTATCTCCTCGGGCAGGTGGTTCCAAAGCCGAGGAGCCCGGACAGAGAAGGCTCGGTCACCTTTCGTCCGGAGCCTCGACCTTGGAACAGTCAACAGGGACCTGCCCGAGGATCTAAGGCTGCGGGGGGGCTCGTAGGGGGTTAAAAGTTCAGAAATATAGCTTGGTGCCAGACCTAAACGAGCTTTAAAAGTAATCAGTAAAATCTTCAAATCAATTCTAAAACGCACAGGGAGCCAGTGGAGAGACGCTAAAACAGGGGTGATGTGCTCCCTTCTGTTAAAACCAGTGAGAAGTCTGGCTGCTGCGTCTGGACCAGTTGGAGGCGGGAGAGGGATTTAGTGTCGAGACAGGAGAGGAGGGAGTTGCAGTAGTCGAGGCGGGAGAAGATGAGGGCGTTGACGACTTTATGGAGCTCGGGAGGAGTGAGAATGTTTTTAATCTTTGAGATTGTGCGGAGGTGATAGAAGCAGGTTTGGGTGGTTTTATTGATGTGGAAGCGGAAGGTGAGGTGAGAATCGAAAATGACACCAAGGTTACGGGCGGAGGGAGTGATGTTTGAGGACAGGGGGCCGAGGTGGGTTTGGATGTGGGATATAGATGGAGGCGGGTTGATGAGGAGGACTTCTGATTTGGAGGTGTTGAGTTGAAGGAAGTTATGGGCCATCCAACGGTTCACATCGTTAAAACAGTCGACCACAGCAGACAGACTTCCAGGGTCGTTTGGTCTCAGCGGGAGGTAGATCTGTGTGTCGTCCGCATAGCAGTGGACGGGCCATAACGTGTCCTAGGGGAGCATATAAATAGAAAATAAAATGGGACCTAAAATAGAACCTTGCGGCACACCACAGGTAATGGGGGCTGTAGAGGAGGTAAAATCACCCATGGTGACCGCAAAGGTTCTGTCTAAAAGATAAGAATGAAACCAGCCAAGTGCAGTATCTCTGATGCCAACCCACGTTTTGAGGCGATCCAATAAAATCCTGTGGTCGATCGTGTCGAAGGCTGCGCTTAGGTCTAAAAGAATTATAATAGAGGTCATGTCACCTCCGTAAGCTCCGCGCCGCGTGAGCATACACTAGGCTTAAGCTAATGCTTTTCATGGCTTGTCGGACTCGCATGTGCCCGAGTGTGATGAAAACAAAGGGTGAGTCAGCGACACAAGGCCGTTTACATTTGACATAAAGTATAGACACACGCAAAGCAGCGGATTACTGTTCAGTACTTATGAGCAGAGATGGGACAACTCAGTTTTACAAAACTACTCCTGTTTTGGAGTCAAATAAGGATTTATAAATAATATACAGTTCGGCCCCCTTGAACCTTTCAACATTTCGCCACATTTCAGGCTTCAAACATAAAGATATAAAAAAAAAAAAATGTTTGTCAAGAATCAACAACAAGTGGGACACAATCGTGAAGTGGAACAAAATGTATTGGATAATTTAAACTTTAACAAATAAAAAACTGAAAAGTGGGGCGTGCAATATTATTCGGCCCCCTTGCGCTAATACTTTGTAGCGCCACCTTTTGCTGCAATTACAGCTGCAAGTCGCTTGGGGTATGTCTCTATCAGTTTTGCACATCGAGAGACTGGAATTCTTGCCCATTCTTCCTTGCAAACAGCTCGAGCTCAGTGAGGTTGGATAGAGAGCGTTTGTGAACAGCAGTCTTCAGCTCTTTCCCCAGATTCTCGATTGGATTCAGGTCTGGACTTTGACTTGGCCATTCTAACACCTGGATACGTCTATTTGTGAACCATTCCATTGTAGATTTGGCTTTATGTTTTGGATCATTGTCCTGTTGGAAGATAAATCTCCGTCCCAGTCTCAGGTCTTTTGCAGACTCCAACAGGTTTTCTTCCAGAATGGTCCTGTATTTGGCTCCATCCATCTTCCCATCAATGTTAGCCATCTTCCCTGTCCCTGCTGAAGAAAAGCAGGCCCAAACCATGATGCTGCCACCACCATGTTTGACAGTGGGGATGGTGTGTTCAGGGTGATGAGCTGTGTTGCTTTTACGCCAAACATATCGTTTTGCATTGTGGCTAAAAAGTTCGATTTTGGTTTCATCTGACCAGAGCACCTTCTTCCACATGTTTGGTGTGTCTCCCAGGTGGCTTGTGGCAAACTTTAAACGAGACTTTTTATTGATATCTTTGAGAAATGGCTTTCTTCTTGCCACTCTTCCATAAAGGCCAGATTTGTGCAGTGCACGACTGATTGTTGTCCTATGGGCAGACTCTCCCACCTCAGCTGTAGTTATCTGCAGTTCATCCAGAGTGATCATGGGCCTCTTGGCTGCATCTCTGATCAGTCTTCTCCTTGTTTGAGATGAATGTTTGGAGGGACGGCCGGGTCTTGGTAGATTTGCAGTGGTCTGATACTCCTTCCATTTCAATATAATTGCTTGCACAGTGCTCCTTGAGATGTTTAAAGCTTGGGAAATCTTTTTGTATCCAAATCCAGCTTTAAACTTCTCCACGACAGTATCTCGGACCTGCCTGGTGTGTTCCTTTGTCTTCATGGTTCTCTCTGTGCTTTAAACAGAACCCTGAGACTATCAAAGAGCAGGTGCATTTATACGGAGACTTGATTACACACAGGTTCATTCTATTTATCATCATCAGTCATTTAGGACAACATTGGATCATTCAAAGATCCTCACTGAACTTCTGGACTGAGTTTGCTGCACTGAAAGTAAAGGGGCCGAATAATATTGCACGCCCCACTTTTCAGTTTTTTATTTGTTAAAAAAGTTTAAATCATCCAATACATTTTGTTCCACTTCACGATTGTGTCCCACTTGTTGTTGATTCATGACAAAAAATTAAAATTTTATATCTTTATGTTTGAAGCCTGAAATGTGGCGAAATGTTGAAAGGTTCAAGGGGGCCGAATATCTATCTATCTATCTCTATCTCTATCTCTATCTATCTTCCTTCGAACCTTTCAGGCTTCAAACATAAAGATATTTAAAAAAAATGTTTTGTCAAGAATCAACAACAAGTGGAACTAAATTTATTGGATAATTTAAACTTTCTTAACAAATAAAAAACTGAAAAGTGGGGCATGCAATATTATTCGGCCCCTTTACTTTCAGTGCAGCAAACTCAGTCCAGAAGTTTAGTTTATATATATAATCACGTATAGTGATTTCTAGCTTGTAGTGTGAAAAAAGTATTTATTTGAATATGTCACAAAAAAAGTAAACTGAACTTGAACTAGTTCAGAAAAGCTGTGAACTGGCACAACACTGCGACCAGGCTATACCAATAGAGAAGATGTAAAATACAGTAGGGAGGGGAGAAGGATTTGAATCTACCATAATTCTGTGTGTATCACTGTTATTGCTGGATATTGCCAAAAAAATTGGGAAATGAGTTCTTGATGTTTGTAATAGTTATATTTTGTTCATGTGTGATGGTGTAGTTGTGATGCATTAAAAACCAAAGTTTGTTATGGGGTTGTCAAAGGGAGGTTCCATGTCCGTGAGAATGACCCAAACTATAAACTGTTGCAGTTCGAGATGCTGACCGGGGCATTACCGTTCCAAGGGAAGGACCGCAAAGAGACCATGAACATGATCCTAAAGTGAGTCCCTCTTTATCATGATATAATAGACAAAGCATGTTATAAATACCATGTGTGATGGAGCAGTGGGACCAGAAGTGTCCGTGTGAGAGGTCAGTGTTCAGCTCTCTCTCTGCTCCAGGGCTCGTCTGGGGATGCCTCAGTTCCTGAGTGCGGAGGCTCAGTCTCTGCTCCGAGCCCTGTTCAAGAGAAACCCCTCCAACCGCCTGGGTATGTACCCCCACAGAGAGAGAGACCAGAGAGAGAGACCAGAGAGAGAGACCAGAGACCAGAGAGAGAGACCAGAGACCGAGAGAGACCAGTGAGAGAGACCATAGAGAGACCATAGAGAGACCAGAGACGGAGAGACCAGAGAGAGAGACCAGAGAGAGAGACCAGAGAGAGAGACCAGAGAGAGAGACCAGAGAGAGAGACCAGAGAGAGAGAGAGACCAGAGAGAGAGACCAGAGAGAGAGACCAGAGAGAGAGACCAGAGAGAGACCAGAGAGAGAGACCAGAGAGACCAGAGAGAGACCAGAGAGAGAGACCAGAGAGAGAGACCAGAGAGAGAGACCAGAGAGAGAGACCAGAGAGAGAGACCAGAGAGAGAGGCCAGAGAGAGAGGCCAGAGAGAGAGGCCAGAGAGAGAGGCCAGAGAGAGAGGCCAGAGAGAGAGGCCAGAGAGAGAGGCCAGAGAGAGAGGCCAGAGAGAGAGGCCAGAGAGAGAGACCAGAGAGAGAGAGGCCAGAGAGAGAGGCCAGAGAGAGAGGCCAGAGAGAGAGGCCAGAGAGAGAGGCCAGAGAGAGAGAGGCCAGAGAGAGAGGCCAGAGAGGAGAGGCCAGAGAGAGAGAGGCCAGCAGAGAGAGAGGCCAGAGAGAGAGGCCAGAGAGAGAGGCCAGAGAGAGAGGCCAGAGAGAGAGGCCAGAGAGAGAGGCCGAGAGAGAGAGAGAGGCCAGAGAGAGAGGCCAGAGAGAGAGGCCAGAGAGAGAGGCCAGAGAGAGAGGCCAGAGAGAGAGGCCAGAGAGAGAGGCCAGAGAGAGAGGCCAGAGAGAGAGGCCAGAGAGAGAGGCCAGAGAGGGAGGCCAGAGACGGAGACCAGAGACGGAGACCAGAGACTGAAAGGTTAGCATTAGCATTAGCATTAGAGTCGTGTGATCACTGATGGACGGTGAACCTGAGGAGATGATACCTCTGCTTCCTGCTGCTGTCGCCGCTAAACCTCTGAACTGTGACCTTTGTTGAAGGTTCGGGATCAGACGGAGCAGAGGAAATCAAGCGCCACGGCTTCTACTCCACCATCGACTGGAACGTAAGCATGCGCCGCGCTCCGAAGGCCCGAGGCTTTTGCCAATTTCACTCTTTCATTCTGATCATTTTCCTTCATCTTCCGGCCCTCTCTCTGCTGCTCAGTCCAGCGGAGTCCAGCTGTGCCTCCGTCCACATCTTTCATTATCGTCTCTCCTGCCCTCCACACTATTCCACCACAGCCTTGAGGAGCACACAAACACACATCTGACCTTCACCACACACACACACACACACACACACACACACACACACCCACACCTGCTCTGGTCCACCCCCTGCTCCTCCCCCCATTATGTTTCTATCACAAAATGGCTGCCTGTTTAAAAGAAAGATAATAAATTGTGAACCATTTCAGTTGTATTGGGGGTATGTGTGTGTTTATGTGTGTCTCTTTGTGTGTGGGGTGTATACATGTGTCTCTTTGTGTGTATACATGTGTGTGTCTGTTTGTGTATGTGTGTGTTTGTGTGTGTAAATCTGTATGTGTGTCTGTTTGTGTGTATGGGTGTGTTTGTGTGTGTAAATCTTTATGTGTGTCTGTTTGTGTGTGTGTCTGTGTATTGGGGGGTATACATGTGTCTTTGTGTGTCTGAGTATGTGTGTCTGTGTGTTTTGTGTGTGTGTGTATATGTATGTATACGTGTCTGTTTGTGTGTGGGGGGTGTATATGTGTATTTATGTCTGTGTATGTGTGTCTGTGTGTGTATATGCATGTGTGTGTGTCTGTGTATGGGGGGTAAACATGTGTCTTTGTGTGTCGGTGTGTTTTGTGTGTGTGTGTGTGTATGTATACGTGTCTGTTTGTGTGTGTATGAGGGGTATACATGTGTGTGTGTGTGTGTATGTATACGTGTCTGTGTGTGTGTGTGTGTGGGGGGTGTATACGTGTCTGTGTGTGTATATGCATGTGTGTGTCTGCGTGTGTGTGTGAGTGGCTTATACAGCTTTAAATGTACAGCTGCTACTTCAAGGATTTCATTTAATGCAGATCATTTTGTTAGAACCATAAACCAGGACCAGAGCAGTCACGACAGTAGCTCAGTTGGTAGAGCATTGGCCTTTGAGCCAGAGGGTCGTGGGTTCGAGCCCGACCTTCACCACTGACTCCCACTGTCTGCTGTCGTTGTGTCCTTGGGCAAGACACTTAACCTCTGGGAACACCAGCCACAGTGAGGCGGCTGCAGCTGTAAAGTGCCAAACTGCCGTTGTGTCCTTAGGCAAGACACTTCACCCCCATTGCCTAGAATGAGTCTGGTGTGTGTGTGAATGGTTGGCATATACTGGTTGCCTCGCTTCTGTCAGTGTGCCCCAGGGCAGCTGTGGCTACAGTAGTAGTTTATCACCACCGCGTTTGAAGTGAATGAATAATGACATGTGAAGTGTCTTTGAGAGTCCAGAAAACCAATGCTTCTTCATCAAGTGCTGCTTCTTTTGCGACTAATTGATGCCACGCTAAAATTAAAGTTAAAAACGGCAGCAAAACTGATCGAGTCTTGTGTGTTTTACAGAAACTGTTTCGGAGAGAATTGAAGCCTCCGTTCAGACCGGCCGTGGCTCGCCCTGACGACACCTTCTACTTCGACTCGGAGTTCACCGCACGCACCCCCAAAGGTTAGCGCACACATGCTAACAGTCCAGAGGCGGAGGACTGAGGCGGTAGACCCAGGACTGAGGCGGTAGACCCAGGACTGAGGCGGTAGACCCAGGACTGAGGCGGTAGACCCAGGACTGAGGCGGTAGACCCAGGACTGAGGCTGTAGACCCAGGACTGAGGCGGTAGACCCAGGACTGAGGCGGTAGACCCAGGACTGAGGCGGTAGACCCAGGACTGAGGCTGTAGACCCAGGACTGAGGCGGTAGACCCAGGACTGAGGCGGTAGACCCAGGACTGAGGCGGTAGACCCAGGACTGAGGCGGTAGACCCAGGACTGAGGCTGTAGATCCAGGACTGAGGCGGTAGACCCAGGACTGAGGCCGTAGACCCAGGACTGAGGCTCCGAGACGGGGAAGGAGATGCACTAAACAGGAAATGTTACATACAAATGTCACCATGTGTAAATGAGCAATGGGGACTAACAAACACCTGACCTCACATAATAATAGTAATAATAATAATAATAATAATGATGATAATAATAATAATAATAATGCATTGGTTTTATATCGCCCTTTTTGGACACTCATAGACGTTCACTCCAAACACAGTGGTGATAAACTACTATTGTAGCCACAGCTGCCCTGGGGCACACTGACAGAATGTTGTGCATCTGTGCAACTAATGTCAGAATGTGCAATATAGAACCACACGCGTCACTGTCCTCCTGCTGCCTCCTGCTGCCTCCTGCTGCCTCCTGCTGCCTCCTGCTGCCTCCTGCTGCCTCCTGCTGCCTCCTGCTGCTAATGCACAGATGGAAACATACCACTACATATTCACTGCACTAGAATACAGCATTATATTGTTCAAGTTGAAAATGTTTTACTTGCTTCTTTATCATGCTAAATGTAGAGATGTTATAGTATAGTATAGTATAGTTTAGAGTTAATAAAATGCTAATAATTCATTTTATTTCATGGAGCCCCCAAGGACGCCTTACAACATATTAAAAACATCACAATACAATATTAAAGTACAAAATATTTCCCCACAGCGAGGTACAGCCTGTATTGGTGGAGCTGAAGTTGGCTGGATGACACTGTGAGACTACTGTAGGTTAGTGAAACAGACCATAAGACATGTCACTGCAGGCCCCAGTTTGGACAAGCCCGGTCTGGCCCTTTTCTTTGTTCAAGAATATCTGTGTCATTCCACTGCTAAAGTCTTCTCACAGGCTACAGCCCAGTGCTGACTCCAGAGCAGTCAAATTGACGGCTTTAAGTTGTTCTAAATGTAATTATTGTGAATGCACCTTTGGTCTTCATAACTTTGTGACTTTTTCTGTATCTCCAGTAGTTTATTTCTGTCATTATTATTATTATTATTATCTTTAAGAATAGAGGTTTTGCATCACCATGTGACCTACATAGCAACCGTCACTAAGCGGCCATGTTAGATGGCAGGTATGAAACTTTATACAGTCAGATTCAACAAAGCGGCCGAGAGGGTACCTTTACTTAGGCTGATGGGAAAGTTTTGCTGCGTCTTTAATTGTGGTAAACGCTCAGAGCGAGACAAAGATAGAAAAAAAAAAATACTGGCCGTAATTTGCCATCAAGGAAAATAAACTCTAAACCTATCGAAGAAACGACGGCAGCACTGGTTGGTTAGCTAGCATTTGTGACGATGCAGTTCAAAACGTGTTTGTCTGTTCTTGTCATTTTCACCTAAGTTAGTTGTTCTAATAAAAACATTGCGTTGGAGTAAAAAGCCTGTCAGTGACGTGCGGTTGCTGACTGAGGCACTGACTTCATCACAATCAGATTTACCGCTACATATCAACAGGACATACAGAGGATTATTCACTCATGGTCCGCATTGTTTGCTCAAACAAAACGCAAAAGTAACCAGCACATTTTAAAGTGTGTTATGGTCTTATCTTAAATAAACTCCATACACCACTTCATTCAGTTCAGACCAGTTTCATGTGTAAGTCCAGATAATAGTTGAGTATAGATATTTAATCCTCTGTTTACAATGTAGATGATGTAATCCTCCGTTTGGAAATAAGATTCAAAAAGTAAAAAGAACAAATATGGGCATCCCTCTTGTTTTGCTAGCTCCACGCTGCAGCCCCGACTTTTAAAGACACAGATACTTTGAATGAATCTGGTGAAAAAGTAAACATTCCTCATTGTGGCAGTCCGAGCGTCAATGCAGTCTGAGGAAAGAGTGGTCCCTGTGCTCTCTCCATGAGCTCCGGTGTGAGTGGTCCCTGTGCTCTCTCCATGAGCTCCAGTGTGAGTGGTCCCTGTGCTCTCTCCATGAGCTCCAGTGTGAGTGGTCCCTGTGCTCTCTCCATGAGCTCCAGTGTGAGTCGTCCCTGTGCTCTCTCCATGAGCTCCAGTGTGAGTGGTCCCTGTGCTCTCTCCATGAGCTCCGGTGTGAGTGGTCCCTGTGCTCTCTCCATGAGCTCCAGTGTGAGTGGTCCCTGTGCTCTCTCCATGAGCTCCAGTGTGAGTCGTCCCTGTGCTCTCTCCATGAGCTCCAGTGTGAGTGGTCCCTGTGTGCTCTCTCCATGAGCTCCAGTGTGAGTGGTCCCTGTGCTCTCTCCATGAGCTCCAGTGTGAGTGGTCCCTGTGCTCTCTCCATGAGCTCCAGTGTGAGTCGTCCCTGTGCTCTCTCCATGAGCTCCAGTGTGAGTCGTCCCTGTGCTCTCTCTATGAGCTCCAGTGTGAGTCGTCCCTGTGCTCTCTCCATGAGCTCCAGTGTGAGTGGTCCCTGTGCTCTCTCCATGAGCTCCGGTGTGAGTGGTCCCTGTGCTCTCTCCATGAGCTCCAGTGTGAGTGGTCCCTGTGCTCTCTCCATGAGCTCCAGTGTGAGTCGTCCCTGTGCTTTCTCCATGAGCTCCAGTGTGAGTCGTCCCTGTGCTCTCTCCATGAGCTCCAGTGTGAGTCGTCCCTGTGCTCTCTCTATGAGCTCCAGTGTGAGTGGTCCCTGTGCTCTCTCCATGAGCTCCAGTGTGAGTCGTCCCTGTGCTCTCTCTATGAGCTCCAGTGTGAGTCGTCCCTGTGCTCTCTCCATGAGCTCCAGTGTGAGTCGTCCCTGTGCTCTCTCCATGAGCTCCAGTGTTAGTCGTCCCTGTGCTCTGTGTGTTGCAGATTCCCCTGGGGTCCCCCCGAGTGCAGGGGCCCACCAGCTCTTCAGAGGCTTCAGTTTCGTGGCCTCCAGTTTGCTCGACGAGGAGGGCTTTGCAGAACCAGTGAAACCCACTCCCCACCCTGTCGTTCAGGTAACTGCTGCTGTTACTGCTACTGCTACTGCTGCTGTTGTTACTGCTGCTGTTACTGCTACTGCTACTGCTGCTGCTGTTACTGCTGCTGTTACTGCTACTGCTACTGCTGCTGCTGTTACTGCTGTTGTTACTGCTACTGCTACTGCTGCTGTTACTGCTGTTGTTACTGCTGCTGTTACTGCTGCTACTGCTACTGCTGTTACTGCTGTTGTTACTGCTGCTGTTACTGCTACTGCTACTGCTGCTGCTGTTACTGCTGTTGTTACTGCTGTTGTTACTGCTGCTGTTACTGCTACTGCTACTGCTGCTGTTACTGCTGCTGTTACTGCTACTGCTACTGCTGTTACTGCTGTTGTTACTGCTGTTGTTACTGCTGCTGTTACTGCTGCTGTTACTGCTGTTACTGCTGCTGTTACTGCTGCTGTTACTGCTGCTGTTACTGCTGCTGTTACTGCTGCTGTTACTGCTGCTGCTACTGCTGCTGTTACTGCTGTTGTTACTGCTGCTGTTACTGCTGCTGTTACTGCTACTGCTGCTGTTACTGCTTAAAACAAGCTTAAAAACTCGCTGCTCAGACTTTTTTTTCTAATAAGATTATGAAGTATCTTAAAACTAGTAAAATAATCTAACAATAATCCTATAATGACAAACAACAAAAACTTAAAATAAGCATAATTTATGTTATTTTTAGTCTTTTACTTTTTCAGTGTATTTTACTCTCGCAGGTCGAGCATGTTTAATGTCATTAGATCGTTTAGTTCCATTACGACCTCACCGGAGCCAGACTGAGACTAGTCCAAGTCTCTGTCCTCTGCAGCTGAGGACAGGGTGATACTTACAGTATACTCTTTCACAGATGTCTAATCTTTTAAAACATTTTCTTCAAGCTGTAATCCACCAAAATGAAAACAGACAAAGGTCCGCCCTGTGTCCCTTTGTCGTGAGTTTGTTATGTATTACTTAGAAATAAATGAACTTATTCATGATTTTTGTGATGCCTGATAAATCGGTCGATATGGTCATGTCTTTACACGTCAGGTGTTAAAACGTCCATCATTATACTGTGTCTGATGTGTGTGAGGGTGTAATGTGTCCCTGCGCCAGCAGAGGGCGCCCTCGGTTTGTGTTAAGCAGCTTCAGAACGCTGCAGTTCTTTAGTTTATCTGAAAGTATGTAGGGCACTCATCTCCATAAAAACAAGAGTAAAACAAGTGTAAATAAAGTTTTATATGTCCATATAGATCCAAATAATAATTGTGGGTTATTATTTTGATATTTTTACGTGTAAGTAAAGTAAGTTCTTGCCAAACTTAAGAAGAAAACATAATTTTATATTTTTTGTGAGTGTGCTGGCCTATCAATGTTGGCACATGGGAAATCTTTTTCTGACTGTTTTTGTATTTATTTACAATTTCCTGAAAATGATGCAGTTGTTTTTAAGAAGGCATGCTACATGTTTATTTATTTTATTTATGTATGTATTTATTTGATCGGGACAACACACATTAATGAACAATCATATACAAGTTGTACACAAATTGTAAATGTGCCGGATTGTAGAAAAACTGCTATTTTACATCCATGTAACACATGTGTTTTGGCTTAGTGTTTTGTTTTAACGTCAGACCATTCAAATATAAGCGGTGTGTGATTTGCATGAGCTGTGGCTTTGATCTATGATCTATGATCAATGCAAAGCACGGCACTAATGAAGCCTCGAAGACGTTGCGATGGATGAGACAAAACTTATTTACACACATTTGTTAATATCATTGTCATTAACGAACACTTATAACCAAGGACCACAGCATGTATCAATACATGTATAATAATGTGGTAAATATATTTCTCCATTGTATTTCCAATAATAAACGGACCAGACACGCGTCGACGTACGTAAAAAATAGGATTGTTTCTATTTTGTCGGTCCGCGTCCGTTGCACCCTCTGGACGGACTGCTCCCTACGTGCGTCAGACGGACGCATGTCGTGGGCAGTGGAGCCACTTCCATTCACCCTCATGGAGAAAACAGAAACGGAGATGAAACGGACACGTTTGGACGGATACGTAGTACGTTTCACGCAGCGGGTGGAGTCGGGGCCTTAGATGAGTGTGGGGGTGCGGTATCAGCCACAAGTTTCACATGGTGCATCACTTTATGGTATTCATGACATAACATTGTAAAGTGCAAAGTGTAAAGAGTTGAGCTCTTTGCAATGTGCTATATAAATAAAGATCACACACTTACTTTTGTAAGAGCTTCTGCTGCTCTGCACCAACACAGATCCAGAAGTGAGTCGCAGTTACAGCAGGACTGGGTTTTTCTGACTAAACCAGGACCAAGACCATGATAGGACCTAGTGTTTGACTCTTGCTCTGGTGTCTGTCTGCAGCAGCTCCATGGGAAGAACGTCCTGTTCAGCGACGGCTACGTCCTGAAGGAGGACATCGGGATGGGCTCCTTCTCCGTCTGCAAACGCTGCGTCCACAAAGCCACCAACACTGAGTACGCGGTCAAGGTACTTCCTCTGACGCCGAGTCCTTCACAATGTTTACCACCATCAGACAACGGGCTACTTTTCATATTCAGTCACTGCCTAAAGTCCATTATGACCAAAACAATAGACCTCAGATTCATTATATTTGCTATTAGCAGTAAAACCACATTGGAATACTTCGGCAAGTCTTCAGTGTGCGCCAGACAAATACAGGAATACAACAAGCTAAAACAGTACGGGAATAAAACAAACTAAAAATAACGGGAAACTCCTGAATTGAAGTTGTGAATGGTTTCAGATGATCGATAAGACGGCCACGGATCCTTCGGAAGAGATCGAGATCCTGCTCAGATACGGACAGCATCCCAACATCATCACACTCAAGGACGTGAGTACCGCGTGCAGCACAGGTATAGTCCGTGCTAAACGCTTCACAGGGGACACAAAACTGTTTTTTAGCCTGGATTTGAACATTGTCAGAGAAGATAACTCTCACATTTTCAGGAATTTCCCAGATTTTAGCTACATACATCTGAAATGCCCCCTTATGTTTAGTCCTGACTCTGGGACCAGCAGGAGGCCAGTCCCTGTGCTCCCCAGAGTCCCAGCAGGAGTCCAGTCCCTGTGCTCCCCAGAGTCCCAGCAGGAGTCCAGTCCCTGTGCTCCCCAGAGTCCCAGCAGGAGTCCAGTCCCTGTGCTCCCCAGAGTCCCAGCAGGAGTCCAGTCCCTGTGCTCCCCAGAGTCCCAGCAGGAGTCCAGTCCCTGTGCTCCCCAGAGTCCCAGCAGGAGTCCAGTCCCTGTGCTCCTCAGAGTCCCAGCAGGAGTCCAGTCCCTGTGCTCCTCAGAGTCCCAGCAGGAGTCCAGTCCCTGTGCTCCTCAGAGTCCCAGCAGGAGTCCAGTCCCTGTGCTCCTCAGAGTCCCAGCAGGAGGCCAGTCCCTGTGCTCCTCAGAGTCCCAGCAGGAGGCCAGTCCCTGTGCTCCTCAGAGTCCCAGCAGGAGGCCAGTCCCTGTGCTCCTCAGAGTCCCAGCAGGAGGCCAGTCCCTGTGCTCCTCAGAGTCCCAGCAGGAGGCCAGTCCCTGTGCTCCTCAGAGTCCCAGCAGGAGGCCAGTCCCTGTGCTCCTATACACTATATGGCACTATATGGTTCAGACCTGCTGTAGTTCAGACCTACTTTTGTGTCTCTCGCAGGTGTATGTTTCTCGCGGTTGTGAGACTCTCACAGGTGTGTGTCTCTCGCAGTCGTGCGTCTCTCGCAGTTGTGCGTCTCTCACAGTTGTGCGTCTCTCACAGTTGTGCGTCTCTCGCAGGTGTACGACAATGGGAAGCAGGTGTTCTTGGTGACAGAGCTGATGCGCGGTGGTGAGCTGTTGGACCGGATCCTGAAGCAGAAGTGTTTCTCGGAGCGAGAGGCCAGTGCGGTGCTGTTCACCATCACCAAGACTGTGGAGTACCTTCACTCTCAGGGGGTGAGCAACTCAGGACCACTGTCTGTGACATCACCAGTCATTTTGACGGTCACAAGTTTAGCCCTCACTAATTAACAGCATATGAAGTCCTAATATATGTATAATTTATAGTTAATTAGCTCTATTTAGGTATTCATTAACTACTTGTTAGTCCTTATTCAACATGGCTTTATTCAACATCTCACTAATCACTAACACTGACTTTACCAGGTGGGTTAGGGCCGGGGCTAAGGTTCAGGTTAGAGCTAAGGTTAGGGTTAGGGCTAAGGTTAGGGCTAGGGCTAAGGTTAGGGCTAGGGCTAAGGTTAGGGCTAGGGCTAAGGTTAGGGCTAGGGCTAAGGTTAGGGCTAGAGCTAAGGTTAGGGCTAGAGCTAAGGTTAGGGTTAAAGCTAAGGTTAGGGTTACAGCTAAGGTTAGGGCTAGAGCTAAGGTTAGGGTTAGAGCTAAGGTTAGGGTTAAAGCTAAGGTTAGGGTTACAGCTAAGGTTAGGGCTAAGGTTAGGGTTAGAGCTAGGGCTAAGGTTAGGGCTAGAGTTAGGGTTAGGGCTAGAGCTAAGGTTTGAGCTAAGGTTAGGGTTAGGGCTAAGGTTAGGGTTAGAGCTAAGGTTAGGGTTAGAGCTAAGGTTAGAGCTAAGGTTAGGGTTAGAGCTAAGGTTAGAGCTAAGGTTAGGGCTAGAGCTAAGGTTAGGGTTAGGGTTAGGGCTAGAGCTAAGGTTAGAGTTAGGGCTAAGGTTAGAGCTAAGGTTAGGGCTAGAGCTAAGGTTAGGGTTATGTTACAAAATCTAATCTAAAGTGTTAGTATTTTGACCCATTCCAATTTTATTAAAAATAAATCATGTATAATGTTTTTTGCTTGCTTTGGCCCTGTGTCTTCATGTTTACCGTCAGAAATCCACCAAATCTTAACCCTCTATGCACATGGTTCATTTTGGGGAACTTTCCTCGCCTGGTTTTCTTTGTGTATAATTGTTCATAAAACAGTCATCTTTTGATGCAGAGTCAAGCAGTATACTTTGTTTTTTTCAGTACAACCTGGGGTTTTAGAATATTCATATTGTAAAGCTGTCATATGAATTATATAAAAATTGTGGAATCATGAAGACAAAGAAAAAAATCAAACGCAAAATCAATTTAACAAAAATGTATTGAAAAAACACAATTAAATGCTATAAACAACTTTTTACACTGCACAGAAATGTTATTTATGGTCTTGGGGATAATGGGGTAAAAAATTGAATCTCTAACTATTATACTTTTTACAAAATTCCACTATAAAAGCAAAAAACTCTGTACTCCTGATGCCCTTCCTGAAGCAGTTTGTCTATAATGCTGGGGTTGCTTCTGTAGCACAGCTGTAAAAAACGTAAAACATAAGAAACTGAGCCAAAAAAAAAAAAAACATCAATTATTTATATAATGCATATATTTATATACATCATATACACATAATGTAATTTTACTGTATTTATTATCGTCTTTATCAATAATGCGCACTCTTCAGCCGGTTATTGCAATCGCAGCTGTAGTTTCAACTGTGGGACAACAAGGAAACGCAGAGGAGTGAGACATCTCACTCTCTGACGATCTTTGGCAGTCCCCGTGTGTTTGTATCTCACAGCTGTTTGTACCTCACGGGTCACGCTTTGGACACGGACTTTCAGACAAACGTAGTTTATCCTACGTGCATCGCACAGACAAATCACAGGTTTCGGAAAGCCCTGAATACGTACTTCACAGAGGAAAAAAAAGTAAGTTGCTACCTTTTACCGTTCGCGAGTAAATTGATCATTTGTAAAACATGTGCAATCATTAGTTTTCCAGCCCCTAAATCTTGTTATTGTTTTCATTTTGATGTCCCGCCCTCCACCGTTTCACCAATCAGAAAGTCTGTGATCCAGGTTGCCAGAACTCACCGCGTGGAGCTAATCTCACTGGTAAAGTACCTTGTGGCGCAGAACTAAAAAAGGTCTTGTTATGATTCTCAAATCATTAACGACAAAACACGGAAATAAACCAGGATTTCTATCTTTGTGAAAAAGGTGTTGGTTATAGATTTGTTGTTGACAAAACTCTATATTCAGCTGTTATGGTCCCAGCTGGATTTGTCTGCATATCTGGCAACCTGAGTCGGGGAGAGTGGGAGAGGCTGCAGTACCACTTTTGGCCGAATTTTGACATACTGCTCCTTTAACCATTTGAACTTACAATATGCCAACATTTGCCCAAATAAAATAAAATCACGTACAGACTTTGTCACGGTTGGACCCAATGTGTTGCATATGCAAGAACAGAAGATTGATTTTCAAATGATGATATCAAACTATGAACGCTGGTTCTCAGTTTCCGTTGGACAAAGACACACAACACGGACAAGATTAGTTCATTTTTTAACATCGCAGAGAAGAGGCAGTCTTCCTCACATATTCAGGAAGACTGTTCCAAATTTTAGCAGCATGAACCTGAAATGCTGCCTTATGTTTAGTCCTGGTTTAATAAAGGTTAAATAAAAAAATAAAAAAGTTGTGTTGTGCTTGGTGCAGGTGGTGCACAGGGACCTGAAGCCCAGTAACATCCTGTATGTGGACGAGTCTGGGAACCCCGAGTCCATCCGCATCTGTGACTTTGGCTTTGCTAAGCAGCTACGAGCTAACAACGGACTCCTCATGACGCCGTGCTACACCGCCAACTTCGTGGCTCCAGAGGTCAGACGGGTTTTCTCTCATATTCATCATTGTATTCATTTCTTTTGTCGGACTCTAGAGCAGGGGGGTCAAACTGGTCCTCATGAAGGGCCGTGCGGCGGCGGATTTTCATTCCAAACAAGATGCAGCACACCAGACTCCACCCACTTCCTTAACCCTTTAAGCGCCAAAGTCGCAATATTGCGACAAGCAACATTGCTCACTTAAACAGGCTGTATCTGAAAATGTGGTGCAGAATCTTGTTAATACTTTTCACCAGGGGTTAGTGGACATGTGTGCCTGTAATATGAGCAACATTTGTGGGTGTGGTTATATTGAAAGTTTTAGAGTAAATTGAGTTCGTAAAACACCTGCGGCGCTGCAGCGCGGAGGCGAAGCAGCAGCGGTAGAGATGAGAGGAGCGAGAGCAGAGCAGAGGGAGAGAGTGTTTTTTATTTTACTCACGAGGTCTTCAGTACCAGAGAAGTACTTGGTCTGGTACTGGCTCACTCAGATTCAGAGGAGGAAGACACACAGGTGTCCAGTGAAGCAGACACGGACATTATTGGTGACGGGGAGACCGCGCTCCATAGTCCACAATCAGCCACTGTGCAGCGGCTGCTTGTCCTCCGTGTGGCCGCGTTAGAAGCATTCTGTGAACGCCAAGCAGGGGCCGTGGTGGAGGGAACAGGGGCATCATAACACCGGGCATTTGGGAGAAAGTAGCCGGGGTAGACATCCACGGGGAACAGACGCGGGAGAAGCCGCGGGAAAAAGCACATCGCTAATTGCGTTCACTGCCTTTACCAACGGCGATGATGAGGATCAAGGCAGTTCTTGAGAGAAAATAATCCACAAAAGTGGACCAGAAGTGTTGAAGAGCCTGTTGTATGTTGTTGAGACGATCTGACATGTTCTGTGCCCATTCATTTCATCTCTCTGTTTCTACATGATAAAACCTGGAGCCTCTTTTCCACTGAGAAAAATAGTATGCCCACTACTTCTTTGAAAGGGATATATTGAAACCAATCTCCAGATTTCATGACTGTAAACTATAAAGAGTGCAGTCTTGATCACTGAAGGTCTTTGAAAAGAATAAAATTCCATATGGCTGCGAACCAGTGCTAAAACATTATGTATAATCTGGATCAGGGAATTTATTTCTATCCCAAATTCATTTTATACTAAAGATATTTCACATTGACTGTTTATAGTATTCCCTGATCTCAAATAACTCCCAAGCTACAGCTTTTTGAAGTCTTTATACAATAATTAACATTTTCCAAAATGGCCGCCACCTTGATGACGTCAGAATATGCAAATTAGATGACGAATCAACTTCCATCCCAAAGTTTGGTTCAGACTGAAGATATTTCTAATTTACAGTATGCCTTTATCTCAAACCATTTTAAAGTTATAGCCTTTTGAAATCTTGAAAAAAAAATTGAATATTTTCTTGAAAAAACTCTGGCGCCTGAAGGGTTAAGTCGAAGGCCCAATCCCCGCACCCTACACTCCTCTACGAAGTGTGCATTTGTTTGAAGTGCACACAAGGGTTCGAGTGGCTGGTTACAAGTGTGCAAAAAAGGCGGAATTGGGACAGTGCACACTGAGTGCAGGATACGTCATCGACTCGTCAAGAGATGGTCATTTTCAGACCTAAACTTAATAAAAATTAAAGGTAATTTTGTCTGACCCTTTGGGAAACAAAATGAGATGCTTCACTCACGTTAAAATACATGTACTGTATATTGGTTATTCGTAATTTGAGATAGCTGTATAATTTTAAGTTAATGTGGGTAACTAACTGTAGAATCGCTGCACCCACTGCACAGGACACGTCACTTCTGCTAATGTTTGGGACGTGGCTCATGCTGATCTGAATGAGCAGACCAGGGGCAGACATCTTGGAGAGACCAGGGGCAGACATCTTGGAGAGACCAGGGGCGGACATCTTGGAGAGACCAGGGGCGGACATCTTGGAGAGACCAGGGGCGGACATCTTGGAGAGACCAGAGGCAGTTGGGCAGACATCTTGGAGAGACCAGGGGCAGACATCTTGGAGAGACCAGGGGCAGTTGGGACATATTGGATTCCAAGGGCTTGTCTTGAAATGGAGCATGTTTGTTTGACAGGTGCTGAAGAGGCAGGGCTATGATGAGGGCTGTGACATCTGGAGCCTTGGGGTGCTGCTCTACACCATGCTGGCCGGGTGAGTCATAGTTCTTATGCTATACATTTATATATTTTCTAGATACTCTTAAGACGCTTCGCAGATTCATTCATTCTCTTACAGTGCCTTGCGAAAGTATTTGGCACCCTTGAACCTTTCAACATTTTGCCACATTTCAGGCTTCAAACATAAAGATATAAAACTTTAATTTTCTGTCATGAATCAACAAGTGGGACACAATCGTGAAGTGGAACAAAATTTATTGGATAATTTAAACTTTTTTAACAAATAAAAAACTGAAAAGTGGGGCGTGCAATATTATTCGGCCCCTTTACTTTCAGTTCAGCAAACTCACTCCAGAAGTTCAGAGAGGATCTTTGAATGATCCATCCATCCATTTTCTTCCTTAATCCATTTCTGGGTCGGGGGGGAGCAGTCAGAGCTGCACCCAGTCCACAGAGCACCAGCCCTCACTGATCCTCCTGCAGGTGGTGAGTCCACAGGAGCTGAGATCTTTCAGTTGGGGCTTTGGGCAAAGTAGGGTTAAGTGTCTTGCCCAAGGACACAACGACAGCAGTCATCAGTGGGAGCCGTGAAGTAGGTCTTACGGTGGGCTCGAGCCCACGACCTTCAGGCCCAAAGGCTAATGCTCTACCAACTGAGGTACTGTCGCCCTTTGAATGATCCAATGTTGTCCTAAATGACTGATGATGATAAATAGAATGCACCTGTGTGTAATCAAGTCTCCGTATAAATGCACCTGCTCTTTGATAGTCTCAGGGTTCTGTTTAAAGCGCAGAGAGAACCATGAAGACAAAGGAACACACCAGGCAGGTCCGAGATACTGTTGTGGAGAAGTTTAAAGCCGGATTTGGATACAAAAACATTTCCCAAGCTTTAAACATCTCAAGGAGCACTGTGCAAGCAATTATATTGAAATGGAAGGAGTATCAGACCACTGCAAATCTACCAAGACCCGGCCGTCCCTCCAAACTTTCATCTCAAACAAGTAGAAGACTGATCAGAGATGCAGCCAAGAGGCCCATGATCACTCTGGATGAACTGCAGATAACTACAGCTGAGGTGGGAGAGTCTGTCCATAGGACAACAATCAGTCGTGCACTGCACAAATCTGGCCTTTATGGAAGAGTGCCATTTCTCAAAAATATCAATAAAAAGTCTTGTTTAAAGTTTGCCACAAGCCACCTGGGAGACACACCAAACATGTGGAAGAAGGTGCTCTGGTCAGATGAAACCAAAATCGAACTTTTTGGCCACAATGCAAAAAGATATGTTTGGCGTAAAAGCAACACAGCTCATCACCCTGAACACACCATCCCCACTGTCAAACATGGTGGTGGCAGCATCATGCTTTGGGCCTGCTTTTCTTCAGCAGGGACAGGGAAGATGGCTAAAAATGATGGGATGATGGATGGAGCCAAATACAGGACCATTCTGGAAGAAAACCTGTTGGAGTCTGCAAAAGACCTGAGACTGGGACGGAGATTTATCTTCCAACAGGACAATGATCCAAAACATAAAGCCAAATCTACAATGGAATGGTTCACAAATAGACGTATCCAGGTGTTAGAATGGCCAAGTCAAAGTCCAGACCTGAATCCAATCGAGAATCTGTGGAAAGAGCTGAAGACTGCTGTTCACTAACGCTCTCCATTCAACCTCACTGAGCTCGAGCTGTTTTGCAAGGAAGAATGGGCAAGAATTCCAGTCTTTCGATGTGCAAAACTGAGAGACATACCCCAAGTGACTTGCAGCTGTAATTGCAGCAAAAGGTGACGCTACAAAGTATTAGCGCAAGGGGGCCGGATAATATTGCATGCCCCACTTTTCAGTTTTTTATTTGTTAAAAAAGTTTGAATGATCCAATAAATTGTTCCACTTCACGATTGTGTCCCACTTGTTGTTGATTCTTGCCAAAAATTTAATTTTTATATCTTTATGTTTGAAGCCTGAAATGTGGCAAAATGTTGAAAGGTTCAACGAATACTTTCGCAAGGCACTGTAATTCAGAGCAGCTGTGTCAACAGAAGTAGTTTATGATCATCTGTACCGTGTGGATGAATAATTCTGCGAAGAGACTTTGAGCATCTAGAAAAGTGCTGCACAAAACCAATTTCAATGTATTTGTGTATCAACAACAGGTCAGAGAAATGGTTAAAACACAGGAATTGCAATAAAAACTTAAATTTTAGGCAACATGTATAATTTGAGCACATCCTGACCCATAACCTGAGAGTGTCCTGATGCTGTGACGGAACTGGGGATTTTTTTTTTTTCATTTTCCTGTAACATTTGCATGGAATCTGCTTTAAACAAAACTCAACTAAATGAACTGACTTCCCTGTACTGGTTTAAAGAGACGGCTGAACGCTTTACAGTAGATAAACTGTCTGCACGTTTTACTTGTTTATACAAAATATTTCTTATTTTGGTGTTTTATTGTTTCATTTGATGTGTATGTTTCATGTTTTAAATTTTATCTTTTATTTTAGCTTGTATTTCTTAATGCTGTAAATGTATGTTAAATGTGTTGCCTCTTGCTCAGGACACTCTTCAAAAAGAGATTATTAATCTCAATGAGGTTCTCTTGGTTAAATAAACAAATAATTAAAAGTTCTGTTGTGCTTGGTGCAGGTGGAGCCCAGTAACATACTGTATGTCAAGGTCAAGTTTATTAATATAGGACATTTAAAAACAAAAAAACAAACAGACATTACTGTCACAAAGTGCTTTCCAGACATTACAAGATACAACACACAAGAACAAAATAGCATAAAAATAAAATGGAGGTCAGTCATGTTTCAAAGCCAAAGCAAAGAAATGTGTCTTTAGCTGCGATTTAAAGCTCTCTACAGATGGTTAGCGCTCTACAGAGGGTTAGCTCTAAACAGCTCTTGTTGGAATAGCAGGAAAAACATTTACCACTCCCTCAATGAGACTGAAGTTTAGCCTTATTCGTCACTATCACTTACAACAGAGAAATAACTTATCAAACTATGCTGCAGTTTAAAATGCCTATTATCTCAAATTGAAGGGCTGAGAGATTTCCTTTTGGGGATACTTGGTATAAGCTATCAGCCCTATAATTCACTTTTCACTGACTGTCCTCTCAGGAACAAGGAGTCATCGTAATAATGTCAGTGTAGCTATGCTATGATCGGGGCCTTGCTGAACGTATCGGGGGTATTTCGTTTGTCACAAAGACCTCCAACACTGGTCGAAACAATGGAGCTTGTATCCTGATTGAACTGCAGCTCCAGAAAGATCTCCTGTACTGTTCCGCCATCATGTCCTCAAGCTGCTTCTCACTGCGGCTTTACAACGGTCTTGGTCTGATCGTGCCACGGTTTAAGCGCTTCCAAGAACGCTCGCAACACTGTCATAAAGCCACCTGTGCCATTCCCTTAGTGATAACACAAAGAATAAATAACAGAAAAACATCTGAAGTTAGTCAGTCTAATCTGGAAAATCTAATTTTTGTTCCGTGTAAAAATCAGCCGACCACAACCGCTGATACTGAAACTTTGAAACTTGCTATGCTAAATGTCAGATCTCTTTGTAACAAGTATTTTTTAATCAATAATTGTATTTGTTCTTATAATCTTGATCTTATGTTCATGGCTGAAACGTGACTTGACCAAAATACAGGAAATGCAGTTTTAATAGAAGCATCACCACCAAATTTCAAATTTGAATCTGTGATAGGGGAAAACAAAAAAGGAGGAGGCTTAGCTGCCATTTTTAGAGACCACTTTGTCTCCCATAGAATGTCTCTTGGGAAGTTTTTGTCATTTGAATATGTGTCTTTTAAAATAAAACAAAAACAATCTCCTCCAATACTCTTCATTGTCCTATACAACCCGCCGCAGTCATGTCACAGTTTTATTGATAATTTTACCGAGTTGCTTTCAGTTGTATGCACAGATTTTGATAGCTTAGTTATTACAGGTGATTTTAATATTCATGTGGATAATGTTAATGACAGAAATGCAAAAGAGCTGAGTTCTTTACTTGAATCCTTTGATCTCACTCAGCACGTGAGTGGCCCCACCCACAGTAGAGGGCACACTCTAGATCTGTTAGTTACAAAGGGGGTGAATATTTCAAATGTAAACGTGGTCGATGTTGCTCTTTCGGATCATTTCGGTGTATTTTTTGACATGTGTTTCACTAACAAACCACCAGTAAAACTGCAACTGTTCGAAGAAGACACATAAATGAAAATTTGAGTGAACTATTCATGGGAATGATAAACTTTGAAAATGCATCGTATTCTACTGTAGATGAACTGTTTAACTCTGTCACCTCTAGTGTTTTGAATGTTCTGGATACCGTTGCCCCTGCGAAGGTTAAAATAGTGAAAAATTAGCAGAAGGCGCCGTGGGCTAAAGCAGACTCGGTCATGGCACAAAAAAAGTGCCGGAGGGTCGAGCGGAAGTGGCGCAAGTCCAACCTACAGGTTGATTACGAGATCTTCAAAGATATGTTGTGCGAGTTTAACCGGGTGCTACGTAGTACAAGAGAAAGATATTTTTCTGAAATGATTGAAGGCTGCAACAACAATCTGCGTGTTCTGTTTTCAACAGTTAATAGATTAACAAACCCCCCTGTTCAGATGCCAGTAGAGCCTAATTCCAAACGTAAATGTAATGAGAGTGCACATTTTTTCAATGACAAGGTTCAAGGCATCAAAAACGCCATTGTCTCCAATCCACAGATAACCATCCAACAGCCAGAAAGGCTCTCTGAGCTAACTCACTTTGCAACTGTAGTTGATAAAAAATGTCCAAGAGATAATCTCCAGTCTGAGCTCCTCCACATGCAGTCTGTTACCTTCACTCACACAGATAGTAAACATGTCCCTTCATTCTGGAATATTCCCAAAGGCCCTGAAAACTGCAGTCATCAGGCCCCTTCTATAAAAGAGCAGGCTGGATGCCACTGTACTTAACAACTATCTTCCTATCTCAAATCTGCCATTTATGGGGAAAGTCCTTGAAAAAGTTGTCTACCTACAGCTTACTAGATTTCTTATAATCAACAACTCATTTGATATGTTTCAGTCCGGCTTTAGACCCCACCACAGCACTGAGACTGCTCTCGTCAAGGTTACAAACGATATCCGGCTGAACACTGACGCAGGCCAAGTCTCAATCTTAATCTTGTTAGATCTAAGTACTGCCTTTGACACTGTCGACCATGAGATCCTCTTACAGAGACTAGAGGACTGGGTTGGCGTCGCTGGCACCGCCCTAAGTTGGTTTAGGTCTTACCTTGAAGACAGGAAGTACTTTGTGGAGATTGGAAACTGTGTCTCAGATCATATGGCCCTAACCTGTGGAGTACCACAGGGGTCGATCATGGGACCTCTTCGGTTCAATCTCTACATGCTGCCGTTAGGTCAGTTAATACGCAGAACCGAAGTGTCCCATCACAACTATGCAGACGACACTCAGATCTATGTCTCGCTGACTGCAGGAGAACATGGACCAGTGGACTCACTCCTTCACTGTATCCAACAGATCAGTGAGTGGATGCAAAACAACTTCCTTCAGCTAAATGCAGACAAAACTGAAATGATTGTCTTTGGTCCCCAGAAACAAAGAGAGAGCGTCATCTGTCATCTACAGTCTCTCTCCCTAAAACCTTCAAACAAGGTCAGAAATCTAGGGGTAATACTGGACTCAGACTTACTGATTTAATGTGGCTATTAAAATGTAACATTATCAGCTTTCTACCACCTAAAAAACAGGGCTGTAGGGATGGGATCTAGCTTGAAGGTTTGGAATGAAGAACGATGGCGGATGTATCTTGGGCGGAAGGGAGGGAGAAGTGTGAGAATGCGGAGAGGAGATGGTTGATGGGGACAGTGGGGTCAGATCCAGAGACTGCAGCACTGCTTGTGGGTGGATGGTTGTGATCTTGGATAGACAGAAAGAGAAGAGATAGTTGCAGAAGTCAGAGGAGTTTAAATGGTCGGTCAGTGAGTCTGGGTTTGGTTATGTTGGAGAGAAGGGAGAAAAGTTGATTTGACTGGATCAGACCAGATTAGGAGTTGATTTGGGCAGATTCAACAGTTCTTATAGAGTAGTATGTAGGGGTGTGACAATACTTTCTCGCGCGATCCGATTATCGATATGCATTTGCCAAGTATCAATAAAGTTCAAAAAAAGAAAAATAAGAAGTATATATATATATCTTTATTTTTGTCTTTATTTTAAAAAAAAATAGTATCAATAATTCATTTATGGCTACATTACGCATCTCCATTCCAATTATTATGAAATAAAGTGTATTTTTTCACTCAACATTTTTCTTTTATTTATGCCATAAATTGGCATATGGTATATTTCTGACCAATATATCGATAATCGTCATATCGTGGTAAATTGTTGTGATATTATCATTATCGTGAGCTTTGTATCGTGTATTGTATCGTATCGTGAGGTACCCTTAGGTTCCCACCCCTAGTAGTCTGTGGTTATTGTACATGTTGTTGTGTATTGTCAGTCCGGTTTTGTTTTTGAGTCTTTCCAGTTGTCGTCTTTTGGCTTTGAGTTGTCGTAGTGCGGGTGTGTACCAGGGTGTAAAGCGGGTGAAGGAAGAAAGATCTGGTTTTGAGTGGAGAATGAATGTCTAGTAGAGAGTTTAGGAGGTTGTTGTAGAGGGAGACCAAGTCATCAGGGGGGAACCAGGATCCGTGTAGAGGAGCTTAGTGATGTCAGAGCTAAAAGAGTCTGCATTATTGTTTTTGATTTTGCAGAATGAGATGCTGCGGGGAAAAGTGAGTTTGGACAGAGACAGATTGGTTGTGAAAATAATTATGAAATGGTCAGTGGATGGAAATGAATGGCTTTCATTGTTAGGGATGTGCTTTGACTTCTTCTTTCTATTTTTGTTAATTAGCTTTGGTTGCACATGCTTTTATCTTCCAGTTTCACGCCATTCGCCAACGGCCCCGAGGACACTCCCAACGAGATCCTGAACAGAATAGGCAACGGTCACTTCAGCCTGACTGGCGGCAACTGGGACACGGTGTCGGACGCAACAAAGGTCTCACTGTTTCACTGCAGAACTCCATTTTATAATTGTTTGTTTCAAGCAGAATAAAACCACAACATACAAACAAACCTCTTAAAACCAAGTAATAAATTACACAAATACTAGAGGACACCCGCGGTACTGCAGCCTAAATCCACAGGGGGTGTAAGGAGTTTTCTCCCACAGACCTCAGCGTTCACTAAAACAGCTCGTTCTCAGAGGCTGAACTCAGCTTTAACAAAGGAGGATTCTGTGAGGATTTTAGTTGCACAATTAAAATCCTCACAGAATCCTATTGCACAACAAGATAAAACATGATGTCATCTGGATGTCTACAGAGGACACCCAAACCGGCACCCACACTTTTTTCACATGACAGTATTTAGAAAGTGGCAGAATGTGCAACACCTAAAAACAGTGAAAAAAATCCGCACAGCTATGTAGCTCCCAATAAGTGTATTTTATCTACACAGCTGTGCGGATTTTTTTACTGTTTTTACGTCTTACATTTTTTTAATCCAGCACGCTAGCTCAAACTACAGGGATGTGCGGCCTTATTTGAAACTTTCTAGAATGTGCAACACCGCCGACATCATGACCTTGGATTTGGAGGTGCAGATTCTCATCCCAGTCATTTCACACTCGGCTGCAAACCGTCCCAGTGCATGCTGCAGGTCCTGGTTTGTGGATGCCAACATGACACCTAGAAATTCTGTCCCTAAATACAGTGAACAGAACCATGACAAAGGGCAGCCCAAGCGGAGGCCAACATGCACCGGGAACAGGTCTGACTTACTGCTGGCGACGAGAACACATGTTTATGCATGTATTAGTGTGTTGCTCCTTTATCTTAACGCATTAACTGCCATTGACGGGTTAACACGTCAATTACGTTTCCCGCTATTTTCACGTTCCCAGATGTCTATTGTATCAAATATGTAAGACTTGAGGCAATATTTTATCGAGCCAGCAGATGGCAGCATTGCTCTATGAATGGTTTGAAAACAGCTTGTGCCTCTTTTTTCTCAGCTTTCTGATGATTTCAATAAAACGTACCTCTACTCGACTGGGGATTACAGGGGAACGAAACAAGCTAGAAACAAAATTATTTTTTTGCTGATGAAAGTACACAGTCCATTCTTTCAGAATCTGGTGTTTCAGATAGTCATAGTACACAATATTCTGTGGGTCTTGAAAATTCAGTAAAAATCATCAGAAACGGCTGGCAATATGAGAGTACCTGTTCTAAAATTGACTGGCAGTCAATGAGTTAAAAAGGCTTTCGACACTGTCAGCCATGAAGTTATTCTAACAAAATTAACAGACTTCAACATCTCACCAGAGGAATTTCAGTGGATCAAAACTAGGGCTGTCAAAATAATCACGATAACGCACATTAATACAGTATATTTTTTTCATTCATCGCGTTAATAAAAATGAACGTATTTGACACATGGCAAGGCAAGGCAAGTTTATTTGTATAGCACAATTCATACACAAGGCAATTCAAAGTGCTGAACAAAACAAGAAAGCATTAAAATCATAAATAATCACAGAACATTAAAAAGAAAGCTAAAAATATAAAATAGCTCAGTTGTATGCACAGCTAAACAGAACTGTCTTTAACCTGGTTTTAAACATTGTCATTGAGGAGGCTTGTCTCACATCTTCAGGAAGACTGTTCCAGATTTTAGCAGCATGAATCTGAAAAGCAGCCTCCCCATGTTTAGTCCTGACTCTAGGCACTAACAGGAGTCCAGTTCCTGTGCTCCTCAGTCCGATTGACACGCCCAAGCATCCCATAATAACACTCAGAATGCCACAGACACATGTCATGGATCTATTACACACTTAAAAAGAAAACAGAAGGCAAGGCAAAGCAAGTTTATTTAAATAGCAACAATTCATACACAAGGCAATTCAAAGTGCTGAACAAAACAAGAAAGCATTAAAAAATCATAAAATTAATTACAGAACATTAAAAGAAAAGATAAAAATAGTAAAAATCCCTCAGTTGTATCACAGCTAAACAGCACCGTTTTTAACCTGGTTTTAAACATTGTCAGGAGAGGAGGCCTGTCTCACATCTTCAGGAAGACTGTTCCAGATTTTAGCAGCATGAATCTGAAAAGCAGCCTCCCCATGTTTAGTTCTGACTCTGGGCACTAACAGGAGTCCAGTCCCTGTGCTCCTCAGAGTCCGGGCTGGTTCATATGGGACTAACATGTCACTAATAATTTTGGTGCGAGGCCATGGAGAGACTTGTACACAAGCAGAGCTGTTTTAAAGTCTATTCTCTGACCACAGGAAGCCATGCAGAGACCTGAGGACCGGACTAATGTGGTCGAACTTCCTGTTCTAGTCAGGACTCGAGCTGCTGCATTTTGAATGTACTGCAGCTGTTTTACAGCCTGATTTGGACAGACCTGTAGCAGGCCATTGCAATAGTCTAAACCTAGCTGGAGACAAATGCATGGATAAGAATCTCCAGGGTCTGCTTTAGACACTATGTTTTTGATCCTGGCAAATGTTTTTTAGATGGTAAAAAGCTGCTGATGTTACTGATTTGATGTGGCTATTAAAATTTAAGTCTGAGTCCAGTATTACCCCTAGATTTCTGACCTTGATTTTGAAGGTTTTGAGGGAGAGAGACTGTAGTGACAGATGACGCTCTCTCTTTGTTTCTGTGGGACCAAAGACAATCATATTCAGTTTTGTCTGCGTTTAGCTATGAATGGAAGTTGTATTTTGCATCCACTCACTGATCGTGTTGGATACAGTGAAGGAGTGAGTCCACTGGTCCATGTTCTCCTGCAGTCCCAGTGAGACATAGATCTGAGTGTCGTCTGCATAGTTATGATAGGAAACTTTTGTTCTGCGTATTAACTGACCTAACGGCAGCATGTAGAGATTAGAACAGAAGTAGAGGTCCCAGGATCGACCCTGTGGGACTCCACAGGTCAGGGGCCATATGATCTGAGACACAGTTTCCAATCTCCACAAAGTACTTCCTGTCCTTCAAGGTAAGACCTAAACCAACTTAGGGCGGTGCCAGCGACGCCAACCCAGTCCTCTCTAGTCTCTGTAAGAGGATCTCATGTCGACAGTGTCAAAGGCAGCACTTAGATCTAACAGGATTAGGATTGAGACTTATGCCTGCGTCATGTTCAGCCGTATATCATTTGTAACCTTGGACGAGAGCAAAATTCTCATGCTGTGGTGGGGTCCTTAAGCCGGACAGACACATATCAAATGAGTGTGATTATAAAAATCTAGTAAGCTGTAGGTAGACAACTTTTATTCAAGGACTTTCCACATAAATGCAGATTTAGAGATGGACGATAGTTGTTCAATACCTGTAGCATCCCGACTGCTCTTTTTTTAGCAGGGGCCTGATGACTGCAGTTTTCAGGGCCTTTGGGAATATTCCAGAAATCAAGTGACATGTTAACTATCTGTGTGAGTGAAGGAAACAGACTGCTCATAACAACTTTAGAAATATAGTGGGTAGACATCCAGTCTGCATGTGGAGTAAAAAGGAGCTCAAACTGGCGATTATCTCTTGGACATTTTGATCATTTACAGGTGCAAAGTAAGTTAGCTCAAAGAGCCTTTCTGGCTGTTGTGATTGTTTCTGAGGATTGGGGACAATGGCGTTTTGATGCCTTGAACCTTGTCATTGAAAAAATGTGCAAACTCTTTACCTTTACGTTGGAAGTTAGCTCTAATGGCCATTTGAACAGGGGTGTTGTTAATCTATTAACTGTTGAAAACAGACACGCCAGATTGTTGCTGCAGCCTTCAATCATTTCATGAAAAAATACCATTCTCTCGTACTACGTAGCACATGGTTAAACTCGCACAACTTTATCATTGAAGATCTTGTAATCAACTGGAGGTTGACTGCGCCACTTCCGCTCGGCCTCCGGCACTCTCTTTTGTGCCCTGACCGGGGGGGGGGGGGGAGTCCCTGCATTATCCCACGGCGCCTTCTGCTTATTTTTCACTAGTATTTAACCTTCACAGGAGCGATGTGTCCAGAACTTTCAAAACACTAAGGTGACAGAGTTAAAACAGTACATCTACAGTAGAATACATGCATTCCAAAGTTTATCATTCCCATAAATAGTTATCACCCGTATTTCCATTATGTGATCTTCTTCGTACAGTTGCAGAGTCCACTGGTGGGTTTGGTAGTGAAACACATGTCAAAAAATATACAAAAATGATCCAAAGTGCACATTTTTGGATATTTCTCCCAGAAGATTATACTTTGGGAAATACAAGTGATATTATTTTTAAATGGACTGTCCCGAGAGAACGAGCCATAGGAAGCCGGAGGAGAGCTGATTGATATTATGCAGCACAAGCCCAAAGAAAACATTTTTTTTCCGAAGTCACTTATTTGGTGCCCAAATTATGTGTTATACTTTTTGAAGGTTTTTGGGTTGGGTGTTCAAAACGCATCTGTTATGTCCAGCAGACATTTTAAAAATAAAAATTGCCACCGGCGGTCGGGTGGATGTTAAAGGTTAATGGCTCATATCTGGATTTTGAAAGACAATATCACAATATAAACACCAGGAAATCCGCGAGGAACTAAACCACAGAGGTGAGCTGTGAGTTTTGTACAAAAAAACCTCCTATTCGTCTGCTTCTACAGTCCAGAATAATGTCTACGGTTTAAAGTCTGATGCTAACTGCCTTCTGTCCTTTCTCTTTAGACTGTCCGGACCGAACTGTAAGGTGACTACAGTAGGATAAAGTCCATGTGTTGTGTATGGCAATATGTGGTGTTTCTGAGCCTGTTCATCTGCTCCTGCTCCAGTTTTGTCTACAGGTCGAGGACACAGCCTGCGTCAAGGTTCAGCGAGACACGAGCCGGGGGAAGAGATCTCCTGTTACTATCGCGACGGCTCTTTGGGGGAACATCCACGAGTTCTGTGAAATGCTTACCACGTGTGAAGGAGATGAATACAGAACTATCCGAAAGCACAAAACCCTCCATGTTGAGGAACCATGGCTGAAGCTGCTCCATTCTAGACACGAGTAAAATGAATTTTTTGGGACAACAATCATCACGTGTCTAAAGAATAACCTTTTTCTTCAGAATGTAAAGTGGGACCAGAGTTCCATGGCAGAGCCAAAGCGTACAGGGAGACGCCACTGTGAAAAACAGCCCATGTACCTTTGTTATGGTCTGAGGTCACACATTCCCATTAGGTCCTTCGGCCACTGCTCCTGACTTAAGCCTTAAGGTCATCATGATGGGTCACATGCAGAGGGACAAAAATATTTTACATTTTACATTTAAATTTTTAACATTAACAATATTAGGATCGACACATATAACTGGTGTTTTGGTCCCATTCACATTTGGGCAAAAGGTATCCCCTTCACTAGAGGATGTGATAGTTCTGGTGTCTGTCGCTAGGCAACATAGAACTCCCCTTCCTGACACCTCATGACACCTGGCCCCATTCATATCTATTCCTTTATACACAGATCTGTTGTCCTGTCCCCTCTGAAAAAAGCACTTCACCTTTTCCCCTTTTAATGCGCATGTCCCAGCAATTTTCCACCTATCTTGAAGATCCAAGCGAGCCTGGGAGAACATCACTCTCAGATTAGTTGTCCCTTTAAGGTGAAGAATTCGGTCAATGTTTATGGTCACATCAATGTGCTTTCTTGATAACATTGGGCCTCATTCACCAATATCTTCCAAAGAATCTCTTAAAGGTAACCTGTGTAATATTATTGCCATCTAGTGTAGAGATCTTATATTGCAGTCTATTAACGCTTGAATGCCAGCCTATTTCAGAATCAGGTACTCCCATATAGGCCAGCCATTTCTGATGATTTTACTGGTATTTTTCAAGACCCACAAAGAATATAGTGTACTAAGAACTGTCTTAAATCCAACACCAGATTCAAAAGAATGGACTGTCTACGTTCCTCAGCAAAAAAGAATTTTTGTTTTATAGCTTTTTCGTTACCCCTTAATCCTGCGTTGAGTAGAGGAAGTTTTTACTGAAATCACCAGAAATCACCAGAAATTGCGAAAAAACAGGCACCAAACATGTGCACCTACATGTTGTTCAAACCATTCAGAGAGCAATGCTGCACCTGGCTGGCTCGATAAAATAGGTTCTCAAGTCATCCCCATACATATTAGAACAATAACATCTGGGAACGTTAAAATAGTCAAAAAAAGCAATTGACTATTAATGCTCATGGCACACGACGTTTACTATTTGCTTTGGACGTATTTGTCGTCATGTGACACAATGAGTTAAAGTACGGAAGCCGGAGGTGCATATGTCGAAAAGACAGAGTCTCCTCAACTCTCAGTCATATCACCAGACTGCCAAGGAATAATACTTTTAGTTGATAAATGAACCGAATCGCTCCAAACTCTCAGGCACTTGACAGTCGGTGGATGAGTGGATGTAAACAAGACACGTTTCACTCTGCACAGAAGGCTGCACTGGCACTGAGTTTACCCTTGATCTATTATAATAACTGGATAGTGTATTACTACTTGTAGCTGAATAACACATGTTGCTCAGGGATGCTCGCGGTACTGCAGACTGAACCTACTAAATTCACGTGGGCTAACCCAGACATTTTCCCCATCAGAACTCAATGCATATTAAAACAGCTCAACCTCAGCTGACAGAGAACCTACAGCTTTAAAAAGATCGATTTTGTGGGATTTGAGTGTCCCTTGTCATTCTGACCTTTTTTCGTCTTAAATCCTTCGGTTTGTTTAAATCCACACTTTAGTTCCACAACTATTGCTTGTCTGGCTCTCACTCTAACTCCCGGCTCTGATGACTGCTCTTATTGGTCAGAGCGCAGCCGAGCCCCTCTGTGCACGTGCGGTGAAGACCGCGGTGTGAGACCCACCACACGCGTGTTGCGCAACGCATTATGGGAGATCCCTCCACTGCGCAGAACCGGGAGGACCATACATGCCAAATACAGGCGAGTTTCCCAAAAGAATCTTTGCGTTGTTCCGGGCGACGTCCGCTATCTTTCAGGCCCCCATGCCGTCACAAAGCGCCACTGAGCACGACCATTCCAATGACTAGGGGCCATCTTGGATCGCCGGGGCTTGGTTTTACAAGGATCTATATATGATATAAGTTTTTACAAACGTGGTAATGAATAGAAGAGACGCAATGAGGAATTAACATCTGAGGATCGATGATCAAGAAGCAGGAATCGACAGAGCCACGCAGGAGATGGCTAATACTCATGAATTAGCATTAGCGTTAAGACACAGCTGCCCTATCTGCATCCCAAATGTTCCTAACACATTTTGAAGATACATGCTTTATATGTAGAAGTTATAATAGCAGACACTACAATGGCTAATGACAGAGACTGCTTGATGTCCTCGTCGAGCTCATGCCAGATGCGAGGGCCCTTGCAGCAGATACTGAAGTTGGTAGATTTTAGTCTTCCGTTTTTCCCTTTTAGTTTGTATTTCTCTCGTGTCGTGTTGGTGTGAGGCTGTGGTCAGAGGATGAGCTCACATAGTCTGGGGTTTAGTTTGTGGACAACATTAAATATTACACAAGCGTTTTGATACAGGTTCATTTCAGCAAGTTTTAAGAGGCCATATCTGTGTGTCTGAATCAGCATAAAATGTGGACCATGTAATAGCTCTAATAGCTCTGTAGTATCTGGAGTTTTGCAGTGTAAGTAGGATAGGTCTTGTTCCAGATCACATTAGAATAATTCAAGTGTGGTTCAAATAGGGATCTGTACAATGTTAACATTCAAAAATGGATGTTAACACCTCCTAGTTAATGTCTTAATTTGTAAAATAAACCTACATAATTGGATAATTTTTTTTCTCCAGTTCTTCAATGTTTTGTAAATTTTAGGGATTCATCTATATATATTCCTAAGAATTTGGTTGAATCAACTCTTTGGACAGCCTTTCCGTCCATTTGGATGTTTACGTTTCCATCTATATATTTATGTTTGATTGGGTGGAATATTATAAAAAATGTTTAACTGACATTTAAGGCCAGCTTATTTAATTTGAACCAAAAAGCTACTTTTCCTAAGTGGTAATTTAGTTGTTTTTCTAATTCTTTCATGTTTTTATGAGATGTAAAGAGGTTTGTATCATCAGCGAAGAGTACTTTGTGCAAGTCGTTAGTGCAGAATACAAAATCATTTATATACATTATAAATAGAAGTGGTCCCATTATAGATCCTTGAGCGACGCCAGTTTCTAAGATTTTAGTATCAGAGTTCATCCCGTCTACATGAACATACTGCTGTCTTCCACAGATATAACTTCTGAACCACTGAAGAGCGGTTCCCCTGATACCGTAGTGCATTAACTTGCTGAGCAGAATCTCATGGTCGATGGTGACAAAAGCCTTCGACAGTTTAAGAAAGACACCTATACCATACTTTCCTTTTTCAAACGCATCATTGATTTTTTTCGATTCAATCTAATATCGCCATACAGGGGGTGCTGTTTTTTCTAAAGCCATATTGTGAGGGTACTAATATTTTGTTTTTTTCTAAATAATTGCTAAGTCTGGAATACACAGCTTTCAAATACTTTTGAGATAGTTGGTAGTATAGATATTGGTCTATAGTTTTGAGTATCTTTTTTATCCCTAGACTTATATATGGGTATTTTTGCAATTTTAGACGTTATTGGGACTACACCTTTTACTAGGGAAAGATTAATAATGTAGGCAAGGGGCTCGGCGATCTCAGTTGCTATAGCTTTAATAATTTTGCTACATATACCGTCAGCACCAGCTGTGGAGGACAATTTTAGTTTGTTTATGATGTTTAACACTTCCTCTCCGCAGGTGGGTTTGAGAAATAAAGAATTTGGATAATTTCCAGGTAAGTAATGTTTGTAATTGGCGCCCCCTGGTGGGTTGATATTGTCAGATAGTTGTTTTCCAACTGAGATAAAGTAGTAATTAAAGACATTTGGTAATGATTTTGTATTTTGTAGGTTTTGCACAGTGTCAGGGATGACAGATGTTTTATTATCACGACCAAGGATCTCATTTAGCACCTTCCAGGATTTCCTTTGATCACCAAGAGCATGATTACATTTCCCAGTGAAGTAGATCCGCCTGCTTGCTCTTTACTTTTGTTAAAATATTGTTATATTTTGTATACATTTGTTTATTTTGTGTGCTCCTATTTTATGCATACTGATCATACAATTTATTTTTCTTCTTTATCGACTTTAAAATCCCCTTTGTTATCCAAGGCTTAGGTTGTGTCATAGTTTAGATTTATTTCCTGTTTTATTTTGTAGTTTGTTATATCCCTGTGTCTGCTTTGGTTGCTCTTCCTGTCTTACCTGCCCTGCCCTCATGTGTATCACCTGTGTCTCGTTAGTCTTGTATTTAGCCCTGTGTGTTCCTTCACTCCCTGTTCCATCATTATCTTTCCTAGTCTGTTTTAGTTATGTCCTCGTTCTCTGTGGTTTTGGATTTGTTTTATCTTTTTATTAAACCATAATTTTTTAGCAGTTTTGCATTTTGGGCCTCATTTGTTTTTCACCCACGTGACAGAATGATGGAACCACACAAGGCCCAAGCACACCGCTTCATTTTTATTTTTTCTGGCCTTTATCCCCAACTGGAGAGTTGCTGCAGGAGTTGGAAGCATCCGTCTCTTGTCTTTGTCCTGGACCACTGCAGGACACTTTGTTCCGTCCTGGGTGGTTGGAGACTTTCGTCCCTGACCTGGCTCCGCTGGACATCGTTTCTCCATCCAGGGGGCCTTCCGGTTTTCGCACCTGCTTCGCTCCAGTCCCCGCTCCAGCTCCTGCTCCAACCCTGCTGGTTCCAGCTCGGCGGTTTCACGTCCCGGCCCCGGTTTCACGTCCAGGCCCCGGTTCAACATCCCGGCCCCGGTTCAACGTCCCGGCCCCGGCTCCACGTCCCGGCCCCGGCTCCATGTCCCGGCTCCTGCCCTTCCTACGGTCCCTCTCCTCCCTCCCTGGTCGTTTTTTGGACGTCTGGGATCGTCCCTTGAGGAGGGGTACTGTCA